GGGAAGAATGAGATGAAAAAATCCCGCCTCTGATTGGTGTCTACTTTTTCTGGCATTAGTTTTCTTTACTTTATTTCCTTAGAATCTATCGATCCATTATTTCGTAGAATGAATTTTGAAGGATCACAAGATCGTTGATAACAGCGCAATAGCAGAGTGTTACACTAATGCGCAGAACACTACAAAAGCGCAAATCTGCATTTCTACCTCGCTATTATTGGCACTGTATTGCTCAACATGACAGATAAGGAAGTTACGGAAGGTTATTGCTTTAGCCTGATTTGGCGATGCTACCACTGGTTTCCCCGCCAAATGACGTCTGAGAAACGAGCGCAGAAATTTCATAGTCGAATCAGAAGCACTACCCAGATCTGGGTAGTACGCGTCATCAGTATGGAATATTTCTGCGCTCGTTTCTCAGACGTCATTTGGCGGGAAAACCAGTGGTACCGTCGCCAAATGTCGGCTTTTTTCTCAGGCTACCGTCTCTTTAATGTTATTAGGCTAGCCAAGTCTCCCATTTCTTCAAGAGTATTCACGAGTAACTCTCACTTATTCAGTACTATTTGCCATGTTTACAAACGAACCAACCTTTAATGCCGATTCACGCCATCGTCCAATCAAAAGTCGGACAAGGCAAGGGGCGCTTTGACTTAAATTCCCCGAATATTCTCTAATACAAATAGCTCTTTAAAAATCCCGACTGTAAGTTTGTTTATTTGTTTCTTTTTTTTTCACAACATAAACCAAAATATAAATAAATTTGTGAATAAAAAAAAGCAGAGTCCAGTTTATTGTGCACTGGCTTTTTATAGCCAGTTCACTATTTTCATGGTCATGAAAAGGTTAACAGCAAGTTTTAGCAAGACAAACAAAACATTCTGTCAAGTATGTTCAATGAAGTGAATAATGAACCGTATTTCAATATTTGGAGAACAATCACCAGTGCGGACGTATGCAACTGGCCAATCTACCTGTCTGGACGTATGCACGTGGGCACTTGAGTAATTGTCTAGTAAGGTTAACAAAATTATCACACGGAAAAGCTTTATTGTAGACCAGGAAAACGCGGCCTTCTATACTAAAGCTTTGTTATTGTTGTTTGTTTAAAAGTAAAGCAATAGTTTCAATAATGCAGCCATAAGGAACGAAAATGCATATATGACCAAGCTTAAGGAGGGGGCTTGCTATGCTGAGGGAGAACAGCAAAATCTTGGCTCTCTTTTCCCATTAAAGACCTATGTTGAGTATTTGAGGAGAGGGGATCTATGAAGGTAAGGTCAATTTCCCAAGTGGCAAGCAAATCATTGATTCCAAGCAAAACTGTAAAATAAAATTCAGATCTACACTAGAAACAAAGAAGAGGCACCAATAAAAAGAATGACAAAACTGGAAGAAAGTATTCAAAATTCACGACAAAAAAGTTTGAATTTCACAAACTGTAGTTCATAAACTGATTGAAACTCTGAACTACGTAAGGAAGGCAGTTCGACCTAATCACAATGTCTGTTTATTATTTTTAGCAACGCTCAGTTCGGAATTCAATTTAAAATAATAAAAGTTTAAGATGCATTCCCAGCCTTTTCAGGGGAGATAAATTTGAAAGTTTTCCTGTGAGAGTAAAGCCCCCGAACCCCTTAGCTGTATTCAGAACTGTGGAAATGATTTGGCAGAACTGAAGGGTTTGGGTGGATTTTATAAAGTGTGCGCAAAAAATCCTGGCTACGCCCTTGATGACTCTTAATTTTTGCCGTTTTCGATACTAAGCAGTCCAAGTCGTTAAAGGCCTGGCCTTATTGTTCATAATAGGTGGTTGAACTAGCAACAATAATTTGCCCTGTAACAGGTAATTGTCTATACCTTAATCTATACTCTCTTATTAGGCAGTTTCATTTCTTGGTGTTGCGGCCGAGTTCGATTATCAAATGACAATAAAAAAGATAGAATAGAAATTGAACAATACCCTCCCCAAGAAACAATAGCTACCAAACAAAACAATGGTTTCGGTAGCACCGAGAAACCCCGCCTTTTCATGAGCACCAAATTCTAAACCGAAACAAAATGCGACATACTTTAAGGTAACGATAAACTGCGGCCACACAGTCAAACTGTGAAACAGTGTACCGTAAAGGAGGGAGGGAGGAAGGAGGGGCGATTTAACGGAGGGTTTTTTGCGTCACTGGTTTGGGGGGCTTATATTTGGAGGGGCTTAGTTTCCGAATTTTGCGGTATGTTATAATTGTGTTCAGTCGGCAATTGGGCTAAGTTGGATTGTATTAAGAAAAAAGTTACGTTCCATATAATATCAGAGACCTTTGAGATCAAGGTTTAGCCATCTTACTGAAAATGGCAAACCGCGGTTTGCGGTTAGAGGTTTAACGTTAGCCGTCAGCCCATATTTGGGATTTAAGATTCGCGGATAGTAGCTCGAGGCCGCCATACATGTATTTGTTTTCATCCATTCTTTCACTTCCGTTTTAGCTGAGAAATCGTCTTCAAAATTACGTTTCTATGAAAAAGAATTCGATAATTAATACTAAAGGGAAAGTGTTCTAAAAAGTAGAATTTCCTCGCAACCTTGCGGTAAATCAGTTACCTCTAGAATGTGGTCTTGCCATAAAAACGTTAACCTCAAGCCGCAAACCTGACGGACGTTCGCAGTTTGTGGGAAGCCCAAAAACCTCGAAGGTCTCTGATGTTATTATGTAACTGCTACTTTTATTTCATTAATTACTGAGTGGTATCTTATCAGGTGGATTTTAAATCGCCCGTATTTTACTGTTTGCACGTTATAAATGGGGATGCAAAGCTCTTATACTTCTTGATTGTTTCTTTGCAGTTAAGGTCTTATTTAAGAAAATGATTGATGTGAAGACTTAACGCGCTGTTATAAGTGGCAAACTCCTCGCGTCCACATTTTCTAAGGTAAGGTTGTCTGGCGCCTACATATCACTTGGATTTATTTGTGACGAACGATTCAAGAAAAATCAGTAAAATGAGAATCAACCATAAAACAAAACCTATAAAAAAAGACTTTAAAGAAAATACATTTGTGGCTTTCATTTCTGTGGTTTGTAAAGGTGAAAGGTGTCGATGGCATCTTTTGTCGCTTTTGCGTTTTATGGCCGTCAACTAAAACCTAATTTCTAATCAAAATACTTAGTTACTTGCTCATTCATCCATTCATTCATTTATCTGTGTATTTATATATTTATTTACTTAGTCAGTTTGATAGTTAGTTAGTTATTTGGTCAGTTAGTTGTCAATTTATTTGTCAAGACCTCGAAAGACCCTAAAACTTTAGAGTTCAAAAAGAGAACGAGTACGAGTACGAGATTTAACTTAAAATTTTTGCGCGTGTTCTTAAAAGAACAGACATGTACACCCTGGAAAGCTTCGTTTTACTTTTTTTCACCAAAAAAGTTAGTACGGTTAATTGCCCCCGCAGGGATTTCGCCTTCCCGAGGAGGCACCCTAGTAACTCGCGCGTATATTAAGGAAAGTACTTACAGTTGAAACATACAGTCAGTATGCCAGAAAAAATCTCTATTTGCTTGAACAGGGGCCGCGAGGAATCGGTAGGTAATGATGACGTTTCTATTGTTTGCGCCCGCAAGTACGAAATGGTTAGGATGACGTAAAGAGAGAAAATCCCGAAGGGATCCCTCAGGTAGATTTTGTGAAAGTTTATTATGCAGTCATACTTCGATACTCTTTTGCGTTACGTGTTATCAGTGACATTCTGTGGAGCAGTTGTTTTGAAAGTTATGGACCAAAAGACACTCGTTAAGCGCACTTGAAGTTATAAGGTGCGTATAACTGTGTATATATAAAAACACTTGGAGAGTTTGCCAGACACGAGTTCACAAATCTTTCATTTGAAACTTTGCCAGACATTCTTTCTCTTTCTTTGACCGAAATAAAACTCAGCCCCAAACAAGTAAGGCGAGCGGATCAACGGCTAGCTTCTCAATAGGAGAACGATGGACGATTACAGAAATTCGCTGACAATCAAATTCTGTGCTGACTTATTCCCTGCTCAAAGATGTCCTTCCGCTACAAAGTTTAAAATAAGACTAGAATGCGCGAGCGTGAATTGATCAAAGGTCCTTTTAATTTCTAAGGCTTACTTTCTGTTAAATAAAATGAACTGAATCAGAATGTCTCTTTTTCCAAATCTAAACTCTGACAGACACTCGGACTCGGTCATCTTATTCAGGTTGAATAATCTTCGTACAGAAAGCAGGTGTTTTTCCCCTCGAAAAGGTCCGACAACACAAAAAATTCTTCATCGTCAATTAAATTAGACGTACGGCTTAAAAAATAAGATCTTGCTTTGTTTATAAAGACGCCATTGCGAAAAACTTTGTTGCGACCGAACATCACAATTTTACATTTGTGTTTACATTCAGTGTGCTCGTCGTCCACCTACCGACCGACTGCATCTTAATTTTCCTTAAGTTTGCTTTTTCCCGCCGAAACCGACGTTCTCGTTCCAGTCTTTTCCCAGTCAACAGACTTCGTCGTGGTTCGTAAGTTCCCTAATCTCGTACTCGTAGTCGTTCTCGTGGGTCAGACGTCGGACTTTTCATGTAACGAAACTAACTGGATAAGTTCGAATTTGGAGCGACACTGGCGCGATTAAACAATCTCCGGTTAAACAATGATAAGACTGAACTCCTCGTTCTGCACGCTAAACATCGCCCCAAGCCACCATTAGATTCGATTACTGTCGGTGATGCTACTGTGGAGCCCACATCCAGCGCACGGAACAGTGGTGCCGTCTTCGACGATACCATGAGTTTCGAGGAACACGTCGACGTCAATGAACTATGCAGGACTGCTTTTTATCACATCAGAAACATTAGTCGTATACGTCCATGCCTTAGTATTGACTCAACCAAAACACTAGTGCATGCATTAGTAACGTCTCGCTTAGATCATTGTAATTCGCTTCTCTAGGCCTACCTGATTATCTTATTCAGAGACTACAATATGTAATGAACGCGGCGGCCAAAGTGATCACTTACAAGCGAAAGTTTGATCATGTCACACCACTACTTATTGAGCTACACTGGCTCCCCGTCAGTCAGCGTATTGTTTTTAAGATCTTATTGTACACCCTTAAAGCACTCCATGGTGCGACTCCAACGTACTTGACTGAGCTCATCAGTCCTTATGTTCCTAGGCGAGCTCTTAGGTCCGCTGACCAACTTCTACTGGAACAGCCAACGCACAAGCTCAAATTGATTGGCTTGAGGGCTTTCTCAGTGTGCGCGCCTTACCTCTGGAACTCGCTTCCATTTGAGATTAAAAGCAGCGCATCTGTCTCTATCTTTAAAGCTAAGCTTAAGACCTATCTTTTTCGACAAGCATATTTTTAGACTTTCAATTTTTTTTCTTTTTTTGGTTTTTAGGACTTTTAGACTTTTGGTTTTTTTCGATTCGTAGGATTTTTTACATTTTTTAGTGTATAGATGCTAATATATTTGACACTGTAAAGCGCATTTAGGCGTTAGGAAAATGCGCTACAGAAATAAATAATTTATTATTATTATTATTATTATTATTATTATTATTATTATTATTGACGTCTGATTCAGACGGCGCACCGTGTGTCGAGTTTAAGTTAAGTTCTAAAAAAGTTCGGAAGACTCTGTCGAACTTTTGCCGCGCTAAAACTTCCGTACCAAATTGATTCAGGCGCCGCTCTTTTGCCGTACTTAATTCATCAGTTAGGTTGATCGGCACATGAGTGGAGCGGCGTCTGAACCGGGCCTTAGAATCAAGAGCTCTATTATCTGCATAAGAAGTAGTTGTCGTGCAGAGTCAAGGTGAAAATGCGTTTGAAAATGAACGAAAGAGTAGTCGCTTAACCCGCTTGTAAATGTATCAAAAAGTACTTCCTTTTTGCATAAATGATGAATAAAAAAAGACTAAAGGAGTTTTTCAGTAAATTTATCTTAAACATCAAGGAGGGAAAGAAAAAATGTGTTCCCTAAATCCTCCATGAGTAAAAGATTAAATGAATAAGCTATCTTAAAGCTCAATTGAAACATTGTCAAAAATATGCTAATTTTGGTCCAAAATGGTTTTGTATTGTAAGTACTGTTTTGAAGATTACTTTCTCATCGATCTTTTTTTTTTTCTCTGAGCGCGTGAAAAAAGGTAAATTGGATTGAAGGAGTCTAAACTATTAAACACTAGAAACATTTATGGACTCAAAAACCAGTTTATCAACAATCTGCAGCTCCTTATCGTTTTGAAATGAAGATTGTTTGCAGTCCATCTGATCATCCCCAAGGTGCGTGACAAGTTAGCTGATAATCGAATATGCCAGTCTCCTGCGGCGGTCTTTTGGTGCTTACGAAACAAGAACAAAAATAACGTGCTCGCTTTCGCGTATTGGCCATTGAATTCTTCTTAGACATCAACTTTAAAAATACATCCGAGTTATTTATTTATTTTTTTACAAAATGAGGGGATTTGTTTTGTTCAAAATTTATAGAAACTGTTGATAAAACATTTCTTATTTGCAATTTTACATTAAATCCGGCCAGTCCACGATGCTTTCGTAGATGCTGTTTGGTCACGATTTGTTCAATAAAGAGTCTAATATTCCTTTGCTTGTATTCGGAAAACGTAAACAAACACTGGCTCTTGTAGCACTTAACGAATCCATTTGATAAGTTCGGTACACGCGCCTTTTTTCATGCTAAATGACATTCAAGTTGAAATTGCAACTTGATTCTTATCTCCGCCTGTTTTAGGCGTAAAGGTTTTCTTCGATTTAGTAATAGACAATTAAATCAAGATTCAAGCACGCATAGGTACAAAAATAATATGCAGTGTAAACCTCAAATGACGCACGAACCAAATGATATATGGAAATTCTTTTTGGTGATCTCTGGTTGTCCGGGAAATTCTGTTCAGTTAGTCGACGCTGAGCTGGATTCGTGCCTCAAAAAAACCAGTTGTTTGTTCTTTCAGCGTTAAAGAGGTATTAGTTTTAGAAATTCTCCTGTGCTTTCTCCACAAGATAAAAGTTGGATGGTCAGAGGTGTAGAGAGGTGCATTATTTAGCAATTGGAGATAACTGCAAAGGTAAACATTAAATTTTGCTGCCACGCTAAGTCTTGGTTTCAAGTAAACAGATGTGAAATGGGTATCAAATGTTTTGTACAGTTCAAAGATATAAGTGAAGACTTGGTCAAGAAAAGTCAAAGGCCTTGATCCCAGACATTTCCTTAAGTTTTGTTAAAGCCCAATTTTTTTACGACGGGAAAAATAAGTAATGCCCGCCGGAAGAAATGAGTAGGTTACGAAAAAAAGGAAGCCGTAGAATGCTGTGGAAATGACTTCCTTGCTTTTTTGCCTGTTATTGAACTATAACAGCTGTTCATATTGTTTCAATTTTTATTGCTAAATAAAAATATTTCAGCGAGATGAAAGAAAGGCAAAATGGCAATATGTCTGTCTCCTCAATTGAGCTAATCTTGAAACTGGGACGTACTTGTAGCTTCTCTATCCCCGGGATTATGGCCTAAGGTCTAACTATTATGGAAGAAATAGACCTTGTCACGGTTTTCGACGCCATCTTGACGAGTACGCGAACGCGTGAGAAGTTACAGTGTTTGTATGAAAATCTAATGCCGAATAATTTCTGTAGAACGGCTGTTCTGAAAAAAATATGAATTGCAAACTAATAAAGCTTCACTCCTAAGGATTCTACTGAAAAAAATTGACGGCGTTACATTCGCTAGAAGACCTAGAACCACTTTTTAAAATTGTTTATACATTTGTCTGTAAGAAATTCCCAGGAAAAATTACATACAAATATATGGAAAATCTAAAGCAAGCCTCTGGAGAAATTTAAGCACTTGTACGCCCCCAAAATGTTTAAGTACACTCGCCTTCGCTTTGTAGCTTTAGTTTACAATGGATATTTTTTTCAGAAAAGCTGTTTAACGGAAGTTATTCGACATTATATTCTCATATAAACACTGTAATTTCTCACATGTTTGCCTACTCGTCAAGATGGCGTCGAAGACCGTGACAAGGTCTATTTACAGAAAACTAACTAGTGGTGGGGCTGTACGTTAGCTTTGTAAAAATTAACCAAGCATATATTTATATCATTTGTTTCCAACTTTCCCTTTTAAGGATTGTTAATTGACAAAATCGTTTTACTCTTCATTACTTTGTATTGGTAGTATTTTTTTTTTCTTAGATTTCATAACTTCCTTCTGTAGAATTCCGTGTATTGTTAGGTTGGATGAACAGCTGCAACTTTTACGACTTTTCTGGGTTTTCCTGGTGAATTCTACCAGCATATCTGGCAACAACAAACTGTTGTATTCATAGTTCAATTTTCATATTTCAGTAGTAGTCAGCTTAACGCCTCATTCGCGCCTAGCCTGGCAAAGCAATATTGTTGGATTTAAAATGACTAGCAATCGCATCTTAATTACGCACGCAAACGGGCTATATACACAGAGATTCGAATTTGAAAGCTATGAGCAAGGACATATTTCATCCATGCTCAAGCTTTTCCCTCCTTGACTCAATTTAACTGTCGGATAACTGGCAAGAATAACTTTGGACCTCTGCAGATTCTATGCTGGAAGATTTGTACTATAACATACACTGCAATAATATTGTGGATGAATCGACCCCCATTTGCATTATGTGATTGGCATCATGTTTTGAAATAATAATCCGTTTCGTTTCGTCAAGTGCTGAACTTTATGCTTGGGCTTTTTGCGTCCATGAACCATGAAGAAAATTACTTTTATTCTTTGTGGAATGGAAAACACGTGAAAATAACTTAAGTTTGTCAGAAAAATTGAAAGATTGCTGTAGTTCTTGGCCCTTGCTACCTCGAAACCTCCGATCCAAGGACAATTGTTTTACTTGAAAGCTTTTCTCAGTCGACAAAAAACATGCAAAAACTGTTTTAGTATTGACAATGCATTATAGATTATTTTCACTAAGCACTTGAAAGCTTAATTAATTCATTTTATCCTTTCCTTTTTAGTATAAAATGACTTTGTTCTGCTTAGATCATCTTGACTAGTATACGATGACCCTGTTTTATAATATTGATTTTGTTGTCGTTTTTGTCGCGTTAAATTTGTTATAACGCATTTATATTCGGCCCGTTCGCGGCGTCCTATCTTTAATGATAAGAAACCAAATTTGCAAGTATGTTCGTGACTGAGGCGTCAGTTGATTACGTCAAATAGCTACCCCCCCCCCCCCCCCCCCCCAACCCAATGATTAGGTAATCAGTTGATTTTGCGGGTTTAAGAAATTGGCAATATGATGGTGGCCTTTTGTCGCTCCATAGCGCTATAAGCTTCATGTACACAAAGCGTACATTTCTCTTCAAGAATTTTCGTTTTCCGTTAAAATAACTGACAAAAAGTTGTATAAATGGCTTTTTAGAGCTAAATTCTCGCTTTGTTATAACTTAACCGTAGTTAGTGTCGTAAAAAATGAAATATGGTTGAATGCAATTAATTTTTGTCAAGCAAAAACTCAAATTTAAACAGAACTCATTTAAATGTATGGAGTAATTGTTCCGAAAATTAAAAATAATACTTTATGACGTTGTGGAAAAGTTATACTTTAATTGGAGAACGTACACCTAGTAGAATTCGTGATTTAGATCACAAAATGGAAGGAATAGAACAAATTAGATTGAGAGCAAAACGTAGTTTACTTTCTTCGATAAAAAAATTCAGTTAAAAAGTTAAGAGATCGTCGTCTCTCACTATGGTAATTCTAAGGTAGCCAGTAAATAGCTCAGCGTTATACGAGATGTCCTATATATGGTGATTGTATGTGACTTGCTGATGAGGGAATTGTACGCCGACTTGCTTTTTGAAGGAAAAGATACTGAGTTTGAAAGAGTAACAGTTATTTAATGGAGTAAGATCCTCTTTACACTGGCTCCGGTTTTAATAAATTGTATTTATCCCTTCATTTCTCAGTAAGACCGAGTTATGTTATGTTATGTTGTTTTCGTTGTAAAGTTAAGAAATCGTGATAAATAATGCTTGTGATGATTCGCAATTTCTCCAAACCGTGATCTCAATGTCACAGTGCACGCAGTGCTTTTAACCATCCTACGAATAACGACAGTGTTAGTTTAGTAAGATAAAAAAATATTTCTAAGAATGCTTTGATCCATTTTTGATTTTTTTCTTGTCAGTTTTTTTTTTCGGAAGAAAGGAAATAATTAAAAACGTGTGTGAAAGGAATAGCAAAAGACATTTAGGCTAGAGGGCTTTTTTGTGCTTGGCAACCGTTTAACAATTTCGTATCGAATCTTGATTAGTTTTTTCAATATATGATAAAATTTAGAATTAAGGTTTAAATTCCGCTCTTATGTGTCACTATATTACTACTCAGCTGAAACTATATATGATGGTCTGTTAAAGCTGAAGTTCACGGAAAAAAGTCTTTTAACCTGTTTATCATGCGGAAGTTGTACGGTTGTGCCCAGTTAGAATGATATATTCAGAAATTTTCGCTATTTCTATCACCAACAATTATCTTTCTAGCTTTGGCTGCTTTAACGTTGTTGACCGTTCATTAGTCCATCTCCAGTTTTTCTGAAAAAGAAAAGAAAAACACAACAGGAATCTGAGATGGAGGAACCAAGATGGTGGCTCCAAGATGGCGGTTACATACTTCTTCGTTCGCCAATTAACTACATTCTGTTTTTAGAGCCTCTGAGAAAATCCCAACAAAATTGCGACTTTCTGGAGAGTCAGACGTTTCTTCATGATACTGAACCTTTTTTAGCTTGTTAACTCACCTAACTGATGTATAAAAGTTGCATACTGTAAGTATTGTTTAATTACTTAGTCTGAAATAGATTTGAATATTGTGTGTTTAATTTCGCACTGCCTTTATATCTTGTAATGACCGAAAAATAGGTTTTAACATGACTTATTTTTATTTGCCGAATTTAATCCTCTATATAGTGTAATAAATTATAATAAGCTAAGAATTTTTTCGCGATTTGAGTAATTTTTGCCGAATTCAGTTTTTCCTTTTATGGGATTAAATGAAATTCTAATATGGCAGATCCAAAAGGGCGTCTATTTGAAATTAGATCACGGCATTACATACACATTACGTGAAATAAACCGGTTACCTAAGCCTAGACATTTTCTGGCGTGCTAAAAGGCTTTAACGAAAAATAATTCTCTTAAAAACTAATCTTGAAATTACGGAGGCACCCCACTGTGCTCCCAGAGGATCTGCTGTGAACGGCTAATTTCCACTCAAATAGACGAGGTTTTCAGTGAAGTTTACTGAGCTATTTTAACATAAGTCGGAAAAAATAACTGTAAAATGTTTCTAGCCTCATTTTATCGTCTTGAAACTGTCAAAATTTTTGGTCTTTTTTCTCAATTTTTGTAATTTATGTTATTTGTTTCATAGAAATCAAGCGCTTTTTCTGTCAATCGCTATATACTAGCAACCAAGCAAAAAAGCCTTACGACAATCAAGTTAATATTTGTAACTCATTACAAGGAGGTCTGTTCGTATATTTTCTGATCAACATTGAGAAAACAAGACTGAAAATAAAGTTCTGTGAGCAATTTGTGGCTTTGTCACCTACTTCCATTTTTTGCCAAAAATAATGAAAAATAGCATGCCGAGGGTCGGCCATTCATCACCACGGGTTGTAACACTGGGGTAATTATATACCGTAGCTAATCGAAAAATGTTTCCTCTAACGTAACGACGTTTTCACTGGGGAGGAGATATAACGAAAAAAGAACTCTCAACGATCATCTTGACTTTTGTAGACCCTTTATTAAGAGCGTTACATCACTGGAAAAAAGGGAAATTTAACAGAAATTGAAAGGTATGTTTTTAATTTTGGATGAGTCTTTAATTACTGCGTAGCAAATCTGCTCTTTAAACGGCGAAAAAATGATCCCTTCATGAACGACGTCGCCTGCGATAAGCCTGTTCTTCCGTAAAGCATTTTAAATCAATTTTTTTTTATTTGACGTCTTACATGGAATGAAGACCGAAGTATTCTCGTCAGTTTCGGGGAATTTTGTTTACACAGTGTCGCTGCGTTTACCAATGATTGAATAATATTTTCGACTTACGGGAGGCGTTAAGCATGTACCAACCGCAAAACACCGGGGTCAGCTTTGAATATGCATTTGATTATGTAGAACCATTTTCATTAGATTCAGCTACTCTCTCGACATTTTGAGGGTTTAAACTGTCATTTTATTAGCTTGGATCGGATACACTTGCATTCTGTATCCCTTCCTTGACTGGATAGACTAATATTAGTTGAATTTTGTTCTCACTGTATACTGAAGAGGTTTATCAAACTGCGTGATCGCAAGTTTCCAGGTATCGAGTAGTTAATGTTTATTGTGTTTGCACACCTAAAAACGGTACATAATAGAAATATTTTTATTATCTTTTCTTTTCCATTTTCGAGTGGTAGTTTTGATATTGTAATAATCACTTAACTTTCACTTATGTGTACATCATGGCCGGGAACATATTATATAAATTCACAGCTACTCAGTTTCTCGTAACTACCGCAAAGAAGTTCGAATGTAACTCAGTTTCAAGGTGATTTAAGGTTTCTTACTTTCCTTCTGATAACTATCTTTCAAGTGTTTTATAATACGTCATTTTTATTTTTTAAAAGATCACTTCATAAAACAAAAGAACGTGTAGAGCTCATTTCCATGCTTTACTGTTTAAGCTCAGTAGAATGCAAAGAAAATACCAAACTCTAAATGAGACAATTCCAACCCGCCTTACATGTATATTATTTCTAGTTTCTAATAGAAGGATAGTAATTGTAATGAATAACCAATCATGCAATCACTGAATGAGAGTACGAGAATTTTAGTCAGAGCATTAACCTTTTGTAACAGAGTTTTTGTACAGGATTGAACAAAGGATTTCAGCTAAAAGGAGAAAAGTCGGTTTTCGACTGATTCGTGTTGGGCATATTCTAAATTGCGTCAAGAAAGTGAAAATTCAGGTGCGAATTGGTTTCGTCAGGTACGAGACCTAGATTTCTTCCCTCTGTTAAAAAAGTTACCATTCTGTAAATTATGAATATTGGATATCTGCGTTATTTTTTGCTAATATATTTTATCTGTTTCATACAGAAAAATGACCATTCCAAATTTAAAAAAAAAACAGCTTCAAATAACCGAATTATTTCTCTCAGTTAGCTATTCGAAATTTTTGTTTCTAAAATCATTTATAATTCTCCGTTTACGTTGAAAAAGAGAGAGTGACATATTTTCAACGTCATACTGACATCACTGATCATATCATCAACATGTAAATCTCTAGCAGCGGCAATAAAAATGAAAATTTGAACGGAAATTGAATCGCTTAAGGAAGTCGCCCAACTTGGATTGGAATCATCGATCAGCTTAATGGGCACATCGGTGATGAATTCAGCAAAACTGCTAAATCTTTGTCACGAATTATCTAGTAAGCAACATTAATTTTTTTCCGTCGTTCTCATGAGTCTTTAATTTCGGAAATCCTCTATCGTCTTCGTGTGACCATCGGAAATCCCCTGACTGATTAAGCGCTATAAAGGTCATTTTAATGGTAAGTGTCATTGCAGACTTAAATGAACGTCTACAAGCTGTGATGTACGCAGTTTTGTAGAGGGTAGACGTCGTAAATAGGGCTTTCAAGGCTACATTGACAGACCCTTATCAACCCTTGACTCTTGCTAAAAACTCTCGAGGATGGTGTTACATGTCTCAGACTTTTCTTTAAAAAAAAAACAAGGTATGTCAAACTCTCTTCGAGGAACGTCTACCTTCTAGCAATGAGCGTCAGCTGACAAAGGTCTTTAAGGCAAGACCCTGCTTTGTCACTGCGTTCTGCCGCAGAGAAAACATTCATGTTCTACTAACTAAATAGAAAATCAACAGACTATGTAAGAAGGACAGGAACAGGAGGGAAACGCCATTGGCTGCGCTGAAACACAAATAATAAAATTATAACGATGGAAACAATTGTGCTAGAGAAAAGTTAAGGCTAGGCCAGATACGAGCGACGTTAGTTGTATGATCTTTGGGGTAACCGAGGTGGTTATTTGGAATGCCAAACATATACACAATTGACATTTTTTGCCTTAGTATCAGTGACTGAATTGTTGGCAACCTTCACGAAACGCATCCGTGATCATTAACTGATCATAACTCTGATTAATTGGCTTTCGCACAGGCTGAGGAAACCGGCGCTTAAAGTCACAGGCTGTTAACTATTCAACAGTCACCCTCCGGCGGTCAAACCGTTATATGGAGTAAAATTTGAAGTCGATTTCGCTCGGATCACTTGTGAAACCGAAAGAAATTAAAGTGTACGACAATTTGATGCAATCTGAAAAGATGTCAAAGAATTTTTAAATGAGAAAGACTCGAATTCAAACCTTTTTTGTCTTTTTTTGTTGTATTTTTTAAAAGTTTCAAGCCCGAGTACCTGTGTTCGGTGGTTCTTTTGGTAAAAATATACATCGGCGAGAAAAAAAAAAGAAGTAAAAGATTATTAAAAACGCCCGGCGGTGAGGAATTCTGGAAAACTAGCGTGGGCGTTTAGGCAGTTACTTAGGCCATCAGCTGCAGAAAAACACAAACACGAGCAATAACATTTGTTCGACATGCAAGAAAACAGTTCAATATTTGAGCGGACAGGGCGTTTGTTTCTGAATCCAAGGTAGAATTCACAAGTATTCGATGTCTTCCATATGTATATTGGAGCATGAAAAGCAATTGAATGTTATGGTAATGAAAATTCCTTTTTTAATGTCGGGTTGCCTCAAACTTAGATATCCCAGCAACTGGGTACGTAGAATTGTTAAGCTTTAAAATTATTCTGGTAGGCATAATTCTTTTACCAAGAAACATGCACCTATGAGCCAATATCTTTCTCACAAAACGGGTATAGACTTTTTAATATATATAGTTAATTGTTAACAACTTGGCGATAATTTCAAGGCTTGCCGTATCGGTAAGAAGGTCGGATTTAGTTTTACATATATTAGAGAGTGACAAATGTTCATTTAGGAAGGTTCTCGATGGGATTAACTTCATGTAATGTAACAGCAGGCAAACTGAACATTTTAGTCGTTGGACAGAATTTAATGGAAATTTTTAATCGTTAGTCTTAGAAGAAGTTAATATTGTGTGGCTTTTTACGGCATGACATGTCTTTTGGTAGCCGTTGAATCCAATTTCAGCCATTTTTCCTCTATCGATCCCGGAAAGATTCTTAGTCTAAACAGAAACTCATAAGGGGTTGAAACGTGTAACTCTCATATGTTTGCTTTGTCCAATGCTCGTGATTATTCATTTTCGAAAGTACCATATTTGGAACGAGAAGAAGAGATAACTGACCAACCAAACTTCGTAAACAACGTGACGTAGTTTTACTTCAGGTTCCCGCGCCCACTTAAAAAAATGGCTGACAAACGGGGGAAAAACTCCCGAAAGCCGAGAAAGCTTTCAAAGGTTGAAACCAGGAATCTTACCGAAAAACTGAGCAGGATATTGTTGCCTTATCATCCGGGCCAAACGTAACATTACGAAACCCTTTGACGTCCTCGCAACTTCTTGAAGTTGTCACTTCAAAAAACGATGCCTCGTTGACCCTCTGTACAGTAAACTTATAATGCAAATGAGCTTTTAAAATTCTTATATTAAAGGTCTAGAATAAACAGTAAACTAGAAATACGTTTTCGCAAAAATCTCGCGAAGCTAACAGGACCAATAGTGAGACTAGATAGTAAAAACAAAAGGGTAAAAAAACGATGAAAGAAAAAAAAAACTGGAAGTTGAAAAAAGTGCGGCCTTTAACTACTGGACTATGCAACCTCTGCGGCAATATACATTGAAAATTAATAGTGTTGAAGTATCTTTTTCTGCTATTCGCACGGTTTGAACCTTATGAAGCTGTATTTATCATGAATTCAAAGATACATTTGAGGAAAAATAGCTCAAACGAGTATTTCAAAACTATTTCGCATTACCTCCGTGTTTATTCGGGCTTTATATAGGCCGCTCGATTAACGGACTGGTCTTCTTCTTCGCTGCTTTTGGTGAAGTTCAGGGGTAGTTTCGAAAACGAAGCACTCGAAAACAAAGACCGAAGCACGAAGCACCCAAAACTCGAAAACGCAGACCCCTAGATCGAAAACGAAGCACCCAAAACTCGAAAACGCAGACCCCTAGATCGAAAACGAAGCACCCAAAACTCGAAAACGAAGACCCCTAAATCCCTGGAAAACGAAGCACCCAAAACTCAAAACCACTGTAGGTTTAATAACTACAACTTTACGTCTTGCATGACGCAATCCGAATCCGAATCCGAATCCGCAATCCGGATGCGTCCGCACCTCCAAAGGTCCACAAAATCCATCCCAAGGTTTTATAAAAGCCTGCCAACTGTTTAACTGAACGTTTCTAGACAGGATATCCTCTATTAATTTTATTATTAGTCTCGCTATACTTGATACATCTTATCTTAATATGCATTTTTTCGGTACACATACATGTTTATGTGGCCGAAACGGCAAGAAATTAGCCGTTGAAAGGCCAAAATATTAACCGTTTACCGTGAATACTTCCACCCCTGTGAGTCCTTCATTTAACCCCTGTTGTCACTCAGTTGGTATTGAGGCAACAAATGGTAGAACTTATGATTCGATTTCATGTGAAATTTGGAATAATTGGGCTCGAGTAAATTTCTTCAAAGACTAACAGAGTTGCATGATCGAACCTGTAGTAAAAAAAAAAAAAAAAGCGGGTGTGTTTATTTCGAGTATTCCATTTACCAGAGGAAAACTGCTCAGTACTATAACTGTACAGCCCTGGAAACAATGCAAGGAAACTTATCAAGATCCAAATAAAAGAGAAATAAAATGAAATATCGTCCTATTCCCTTTTAGAACTAAAATGATGTTTTTTTTTTTCAGAAATGAAATACCTCTTCCTTCATAAAAATTTTCTTACTAGCCAATAAGAATCTGAAAATGATTGTTCACGAATATTACATTATTTATATTAAAATTATTTATTTCTTCTCCTAAATAAGGTAATAAGAACTTCGTAACTGAATAATATTTTTATGGTGCGGATAAAATTGAACTAAAAACTGATTACTTGGCTCATTATCTCGAACTATTTCATTTTCTATGAAATCAACTATGCCATTTACCATTTCGTGCAGACATCGCGCTTCAATTTAAAAGGAGCTGTTTTAATTTCAGGGTTACTCATTAGTTTTCATCGATTTCTTACCATACTGCTTCCTGTAATTAATTCAGTTCTCATACTAAACTTTGCAAAGTTTACTACTGATTTCGCGGTTGTCTCCTTCATTATGTTTTGGGTGTTGTGCTTTCTAACACCCATTATGTTTGACCAAAAACACTTCCTCCTTAAAAATGATATATGCATAAAACGCAGAGCCAAAAATGGAGTATGGCAACATAGCTATAAACTGATTTTTCAGTGTAAACTTAGTTCAGACGCTCTAGAATTTAATAGCGAGATAAAATTAAGTTCATCTTCTTGTAAGATCTACCTTAGTTACACATGTGAAACGTGTATGTCATGACAAAATGAACAGCCATGCGTTTTCAAAACGACATTATTTTGAGATAAGCAGATGGCATCCCTGCAGGAAAGGAAGGCGCGAATGCAATCTATTCCTCCCTCGACGCTGATTATCTGGCAAAATCCCCGCCTTCATGGTTGGCACTATAAATTAATTTCAAAATCATTTATAATTATCGACTCAGGATGTATACGTGCCTAAGCAAATTTACTTTGTGTTGGTGGTTAACGGTGTTTAGATGGGCGACAAGATTTCCATTTATTTTGCTTCCAGTCTACAGGATATCAACCGTGCAATTTTAGCTGCCTTAACAATGCTCTATTAAAAATAATTGTGGTACTTGAAGTTTATTAATTTGATGTTTTTGGCCATCAGCGTTTTAATTATAACATATAGCTTCTGAATATTAAATATCGATCCATTAAGTAGCAATTGAAACAACAATTTTGATATGTCTCGTCCATTAGACTCGCCAAGAGTCGACAAGCATACTAACTATTTCCAGCAATCTGTCTAAGATCTGTGTTCTTTCTTCTGGTAAATTGAAACCTCTTGCTTTAAGAAGCGAAATTTTTCGAAAGGTAAGAATACTTTCAGTGGCGGATCGAGGGGAGGGGCTCCTTATTTTAAGACCAAACTTAGTCTGTCTGAATGACCGTCCCCCCACCCCCTTATCTGAAGGCCTGGCTCCACCACTGATGTTTACAATTCTTTTTTTAAAAGCAAAGACTTCGTTTAGTTAGAAAGTATTTCATATTTTGATCGTTAAGTAAAATGAATAAGGATTAGAGAGCAAATAACTGAGTGAACACAAGGTGGAAGAAAGACGGTTGCATGAGCCGTAAGGCGTTTCGGCGATTCGCCCTTTTTATGTGAAAAATATATAGACGTTACGAACTACCTTACATATTAGTAGGCTAAGGATACTGTCAAGGGATAAAATCACGACGATATAACCATTGTGGCAAATGCTTAAAAGTCGGTTGAAATTTGTGCTTTGGCGAAACAGTCAACAGTACTCATTAAAATGCAATGCAATTAGCTTAAAGCAGGAGCCGATTACTAAAGCTGTTTACTCATAGTGCAAGCAAACGTTGACTTATGGCGTACCGTAACTTAGTTTAGCTGATTTTTTGTTTGTTTTTAGTTTTAATGTCGTACTAACAGAAGACTGTTAGACCACAAAAGCGGCGGACCATTTTTCATTTCCAGTGGGGGGTGGTGGTGGTGGTGGTGGTTGGGGGGGGTGCGGGTAACCACCGGCGAAATCAGGGGTATCCAGGGGTATTCTTCCCCGGAAGATTTTGAAAGAAAGACCCTCGGAAATGCGATTTCCAGCGTTTTGAGGTGCATTTGCGACAAATTTTATAGCATTTTGCTCATTGTGTTAATGAGAAAAGGCATGGTAATAATGAAAATCTTTAATAAAGTAGCCAACTTTACAAAGTTATTTGCAGGTCGATCATCGCTTAAAAAAGGCTAACTGATTAATATACAAAAACAAATTGATACAACATATAATTCTTGATATAAACTTAATGTTTTACAGCCGCAGAGCTGGATAAATTGCTAACACAAACTTATTTTCTTAGGGGGAAGCAGTGAAACTAGAGTTCTTGGTGATTTCGTTTACAAGCGAGTTAAAAAATTTGGGTCCTTGGAGAAAAAAAATTATTATTTCTTAAAGTTTGTTCTATGATAGGGTAGACAGTACGACCTGGGAATTTTTACTATTTTAAGAGTGAGAGTTGATGGTAGTTGAGGTCAAGCTGCTTTAATTTTCATACAAAAAAAAATACCTTCTTTGGAAAATTATAACAGAACTTTTGCCTGTTTTCTCTTTCCTTTTCTCAGATCGACATTATTACGGGTCATACCTAAGATGAGCAGTACAGCAGTTATTTCCTTTCTTGGTATTGTCTTGGTGTTTGGATCACTGAAGTGTAACGCTAACAAGACAGATCTTTATATTCTCCAGATGGTTGCATCACCCTTTTTTAACGACATGATCCCCTGTGAAGGGATGACACTTGCTTACGATGTTGCTAAGAACTCTTCTTCTTTCAAATCCTTCTTTGAAAAGTATGAAATTAAGATGAAATGCCCTGCGACTTGGGTAAGTTCGCAACTCGCTTTATGGGGGCGAGTTTCAAGAAAGGCCGACGCCATTTTTACGACATATTAGTCAGAGAGATTGAGCATCGCGTTTACGGCAAACGTGAGGTTTTGGTGATATCCAGAATAATCAAGGTCGAGGTAGGGGTTATTAGCCGAAGACCTTGATTATTCTGGATATCACAAAAACTGAGTGTAATAATTGTTTTATTATACACTGAACGAAAAAAAAAATGGTCACGACAGTAATTGGAACTGATAATTTATTTCTAAACGTGTAAAAATACCTTAGGTTCTGTCAGTTTTTTCTCTTTCACGTAATCAACAAACAGCTCCCTCTTTGCTACCTTCGCCGACTTTTTTGTGTTTCGTGAGTCCTTGTCTTCAACTATTTTTCGATGTCTTGCTTGGAGTCAACGAAGCAAACCTGGAAGTCAATGTTTTTCCTTCTTCACTGACGGCAAGCACAAAGCGCGCAAACTTGACGTGATTACCCTTAGAAATCATGCACCGCGGTCATACATGACACGATTACCCGTGACCTTGAGTGTCCTTGACATGATTATTGTATAATCTGCAGCCTGATGACGTCCCAGGCGCTGATTTCGAAAATTCACTGTACGCTTTCGGCCAATCAGAAAAGAGATAGTGAGTTGAATGTATAATAATTGGAATTATTTCAGCGTGATTTCCGTAAAGAAAAAGGCAAAAAAATTTCTATCAAAACTAGGTCCATTCTAGCCTCAAAGGCTAGAGTCAGGGGCACCCGACGAATGAATGTTCCCAAATTCGTGAGAATTGTCTCAAAAAGGTTTTCTCCATGTTTTAGAAGCCTGTTTGGTTAATTTGGAACTGCCCTAAAAACTGTTTATCTGTTCGGATGTCTAAGCGGAACTTTGGTCGTCTTGAAAGTTTCGTCTCGCATTCGAAACTGTTAGCTACCCCTGGTGGGTCCCATCAAAAGTTCGAGGAAATGGAGTAGCCCTATTTTCATTTGAAAATTCTAGAGTACATTTTGTCTTTATACCGAGATTTTCAAGGAATAATCGCAACATCTTGGTATTAAATTGTGAAAAACACAACCTCCGAAAATCCTGGGTACTAAGTTCTTAGAAAAACTCCTAAATATCTTTGACGAATAGAACAGAATAGAACAGTTATCCAGAAAATTTTTGGCCTTTCTCGAGCTTTAGAAATTTCTAGGCAATATTTGCTACTTCGAACAATTATTTAGAGAAAAAATCGTTACGGATTCCCCTTTAGAGTAACAAATGCACACTGTAAAATGGACTGCCGATGGAAAAAATGGCTCTCGGCTTTGATGATATCCGCCTCCTGGTTAGCCTGCGTCACAAACGTAATCTAGATTCGGTGAGACGTAACCAGAAGTTTAGTTCCGTCAGTGGCGCAGGCTACCGAAATGAAATTCTTGCCTGCACCTGTAGCAAAAGAAGACAGGAGGCAGTTTCACTACCTCGTATTCTGAAGTAACAAAGCTGGGCCACTAATTTTGCAATTCAATTGAAGCGAAGACACGTTAGCTAGAGTTTTAACTTTAAAATATGAGCAAATAGCTTGACATATGGTCCCTGTAAGACCTTGAGTGTTGGCCCGGCTGGGACCCGATCCCTGGCCTACCTCTATAAACTTGGTACTGTACAGTACCGCAAATGATCCCCAACCGCAAATGATCCCGAGACCGCAAATGATCCCCAAACTGGACCGCAAATGATCCTCGACCGCAAGTGATCCCTAAAGTCGACCGCAAATGATCCCGTGAAAACTTGAGGAATGGAATGGATTTTATGGGACTGATTACAAAAAAGGACTGATTTTAAAAAAGAAACCTTTTTCTCTCGCCTTCTAAAGAAAAAGGGAAGGAGGACGCTACATCTCAGGTCAATTTATACAAGGCGAAAAAAAAAATGGAATAAATCTGAAAAGGTATGGTATTAACCGTATACTTCTTCCTTTGTCGATTGCTTCAATTTTCTTTCAAGAATGTTTCGTCTTTTGAAAAATTTAAGACAGGCAGGACGTTACGCAGAAAAATTATTTTAACGCCTATAAGCTCAACCTTTCTATTGAGGAATACAAAGCCGGGCACCCTCTACATAACAAGAGCTTTATTGACTTTACTGATCTTTTTTGAAAGCGTGAAATTAATCAGCCAGAATATTTCATTTTGATTTTTCTCTGAAGTGTTAATTTTACGTGATAAACAGCAAGACATTTGTTCGTAACTTAGGTGCCCGTTACGAAACAAGACATGATTTAACATAAACACAAGTCAAAATGCCCCCGAAGTTATCAATGTCCACAGGTTTCGGTTTATTTCGAAATAGCAACTTTCTTACATCTCATGAACGTGTTGTGAATAGTTATATTAGCGTTTTTATGTATATTCATTTGTTGTGCTTTGCTGAAGACAGTTACCAGAAATCTAAACCTGGTAATGAGAAACGCAAAGCCAGGTAAGCGGTAGTTATCGCGTGACAAAACATCGTAAGAAACCGTCACATTCACGGACTAAAAGAAAATCGCTTATGATTATTCGGATCCAGGAGGCACTTAGGAGAAAATTAAACAACCTAAAACCCTTATTTAGCGGCAATCAGGGACACCCAACGAGAATATAGTTCAAAAGCACTTAAACATAGCATTGTTAAACTTATTTTAGTATTTAAACGGTAGATAAAGGCATATTTTTATCCCCTAAAAATTTTTCATCTGTTCGGATTTCCTAGCTGAAAGTCTAGTGATCCGAATATTATAGGGATCAAAACTTACCTTTTCGAAAATTTCAGCCAGAAAAAAGGCTCCCGAAAATTCTAGGTGACCTTTTTAGGGTAAAAATCCGTTAAAAATATGCAATTATACCACTTTTTAGATGTTCGAAAATTCTAGGAGAGGCAGGCAAGCAAGAGATTTTACAACAAATGTTCCGAAAATTCTAGATCTCAAATCGTCCTCCGAACAGATATTTTTCCGAAAATTGTCGTTGGGTGCCCCTGGGCAATGAAGAGCACTGCATTTCAAAAGAGGTCAAAGGAAATGCTCTTGCATCAAAGGGCAAATCATGCCGACCAGAAACAACAGTAACCGCAGAAAATGCGTGTCATGACCTCTCACTATGAAATAAGCAGCAAAAATCACATATGCTCAGTCAAAACGTTTTCCTCAGAGGTATTTTTGCCTACCTACTTCGTTTTTACTCTTGAATGATTTTCTTCATTTAGTTTGTATTCATATATTTATTTGAGAAGTAAAATTTAGCTTTTGACCTGACTTATTGTAATAATAATAAAATCGACACAATGATCCGCTAACTTGAGTCCAAGTCTTTCCTATTTTTCTTTCGGGATCATTTGCGGTCGACTTTGGGGATCACTTGCGGTCGAGGATCATTTGCGGTCCATTTTGGGGATCATTTGCGTTCTCGGGATCATTTGCGGTACTGTACAGTACCTAACCAATATTTCGCTCAGTAGTTATTAATTAATTTTTTTATTGGCAGGTTGATTCATAGTATTGAAGTATTGTTTTATTATTTGCAACAGGGAGATCCCGGGATCGCCGTTCTGAAAATGACTAAAACGGTTCAAGCTCAAGAAACCTATCCGCTGATAGTCCTAGGGCCTCACACTTCTAAGGAAGCTAGTGCAGTTTTACAGGTGGTGAATGTTTACAGAAATCTTATGGTAAGTAACAGTCACAATAAAGAAATTCGTAGTATAATATACAAACAGTAGTTACATGGACACAGTTTGATAACGCCTAGATTGTGTTCACAGTGCCCTATTTTTCCGTAAGATCGTCGAGATCGAGCGCTTGACTTTGCGTTTCTTGGATGAGTGTCAAATCTACTAAAGGGGTAGGGGACGGTTTTTTTCTCGCCTCCCTTCCCCCACCGCTGTAAACCCCGACGCCTCTTCGGTACATGTGAAATCGAGATGGCCGCCCGTACCGGAAATCGCTCGATCCGGACGATGTTACTAAAAAAATAGGGGACTATGAACTGAAATCGCCTTGAGAGCCGTATGTTGACAAAAAGAATATTTCGAGACCCCCAAGTTTATTTCCCGACCTAAACGAAAGCTGGTTGGGAATAACGATGATAATCATCATCATCCTCATCAAAGGGCCAATATAGTTACAGGCCGCCCAGGTATACTGTGTGCCAATGATTGATCGTGGAGCCTACCGTCCTGTAGAAATTGGAAACCTATCGATGAGGGAAAATTTGTTATGAAGTCAGTCTAAACCCGTCTAAAAGTTTCCACGTCCGTCCTACAGACGGTGGGGGTAGGGCAGGAGAGACTCTGCAAGAGAAGGGAAGGGGGAATCCAATACATGCAGCTACTGGACGTTCCACCTGATTTTGTGCTATTTTGCCAAAACTGACTTATTTGATGAAAGACTGGGACTCCTTAAACACACAGCTAGAAAATCTACTTACCTTCAATATCCCGTAAAGCCAAAATCTCCAAGTGCGACAAAGTCAAAGAAAACGTTTGAGAATTGCTAGTAGAATGGAACTCGTGACCAAACGTTTAAGAGATTAGTATCAGATGAAGCACGTTAACTGCGCCAAAATATCCTTGCCTACTCGTCAAAAGTCGTCGAAAACCGTGACAAGGTCAATTGCCAGTCAAGAATTTTGTAGTGTGCTGAGGTTTCTTTTTTTATAAATTTGTGCCCTGAGTACCGCTTGAATGAAGTTTGATGCGTCTGTTGACATGTACTTTCTCTACCCTTGCCGAAAAACTATCTACATATGAAAGAATTATCGTTTCTTCTACCGACAGGCTCGGGGATCGTAACATTTCGAGATTATAAACTCTCTTCTCTAGGAAATAAAGCATTATCGTCTGTTTCACGATTCAAACAATCTTTTCACTAAGGGTGGATTTTCACTGTCTCGTAACACGTGCGTACGCACGTATTTTTTTGCGCGGGTAAATAGAATAGAAGCAATGTATGAAGTACCACCTACGTGTAAACGTAAAAGTTGAGCGAGTTTCAACAACTTTAAGGTTTACGCACGATCTTTCATACCTTGCCTCTAATTTGTTAACGCACGTCGTTTTTACGTGCCTAAACACGAAACGCGAAAGTGGAAATCCACCCTAAGAAGTCTAAGGCTTAATTTCCAGTGTCGCGTAATTTTTACGTTCGCAAAAAAAAATAGAGGCAATGCATGAAAAGTCTTTCGTAAACGCAAAACTTGAACCTCGCTCAACTTCTAGTTTAAGCTCAGTACTTTTTATCTAGCCACTATTTTATTTAGAATACGTGATTAAAATTTACGTGCGTCAACGTGCGTAGTCAAAAATGCGTCAGTGGAAATCAAACTTAAGAAAGTCAAACGGGCGATTAGGTCGACTGGTTACACGTCACGTTATATAAAAGTTCGAGACCGTAACCTGCCGCCTCTGAAACTTGTGGAAAGCGCCCTTAAAAACCTGTAAATGCAAAACGTATTTTGATCAATACTTTTATGGCCTGTTTCCAAACTCTTTTAATATTCCGGTTATAAGCCTTCTCGGGTATAAGCCTTGAGAAATCCCCTTGCAAAGTTGTATAAACTCTGAGGGCTTATAAGCGGCAATTTACGATTTTCTATGAAATGTTGGTAAATGTAGCTGTTGAAAACCAACCACTTACAACAAAACATCGTGCTTGATTCCGTTTTTGTATTTTACATTCCTATGCATTGCTTAGTAACATTTTGCGTTATCATTACTGTATCTCGTATTAAAGGCTCAACAGTATTTTGCAACCTCGAGTTTCATGTTCTTAGACGAGAAAACCCAGCTGAAAACCGTGCTTTAAATTTGGCTTATTCCTGAGTCAAACTTAACCGTCTTTTGAGGAACCGGGCCCTGGTGAAGACTAGCAACACAAATTCCACCTCACACGTATTATGTTTGTGTCGGATAACTGACCACCTGCCCGTCCCGTAAGTCGCGATCTGTCCTAAGTGAGAAGTAAGTGTTAATGTTGACTTAGGGGAGGGGTAGGTGGTCACCTTTCTGTCACACGCCTGCGGAACGATCACACGCACAATGCACAGTCCCCCAAAACGACCAAATAGGTTATAAGTAGGTTGAGTGTGATCGTTCGGGTGAACGTAGTCCTGAACAGGCCTGTTGTTGTTGACAGTGACTGACGTTTCGACAACCTGTGCGCTAGTCATCCGTTCAGATTCAAAATTGAATTGTATCACGTCAGTTGATGGTATTTTATCTGGTTATTGACCTGATTATCGGCGTCTGTCAGTTGAGCGGTGATGTTATTGGCTATAAAGACTCGTAATGTCATTGTCGCGTTTTGATCCGTCTATTGTCGCAGTTACTGAAACAGTTGTTTATTGTTAGTCAAATTGTCTGTTGTCCAGTCATTCTGTCCTAGTTAGTTTTGCTTGAGTCCGTCAATAATTCGTTGTATTGGTACGGTGCTGGTAACTGTTGACTAGGATTCCGTGACGTTTGTTGTAAGTTAGTAAACCACTTTTCTAAAGTGATTCGTTGATAGTAGTATGTAGAATACGTCATATATGTCGCAGAGTGCCTGTCGATTTGATGTTTCTTCTGTAAATGGTGTTCAGCAATATGATTATTGACGTCACCTTTTCGCTCGCTTATGATCAGTTAGTCGCGAGCTAAGGTTTCTGCAGGTTTCACCAATAAAATTGGCCTGCCAATTGCAGCATTTGATCTTGTATACTGCTCCCTCTGCCATCTGGTTTGTCTTTGTCATTAAAATTAGTTAGTAGCCGTCGTAAAGTGGTTATCGGTTTGTGCACAACGCGTACGTTGTAGAGTTGTTGTATACGTGCGATAGTTTCAAAGGCGCCTCAGATCTACGGCATTGTCGCTGCCGTAACAGGGCCAACACTCAGACCAACGTTAACTCTGGCATATCGTGAGACAAACGATATAATTAACCAATAACAATAACCTTATTTATTAGTAACATATGATTGCTTTTGAATTAACATATAGTTGTTTCTCCTTGAAACAGATAACATTTCTCGAAACAACAGTTCAACTGGCAGAGCTAGTGACTGGTTCTTCTGCCTTCACATTTTTACCAACGGCGTTTTCATTAAATCCGCCCAAGATCAAATTTATGAACATTTTCAACTGGGAGAGAGCTGCTGTTGTGTATGATTTCTTGACAGATAGAGGGGCTAACGTTAAGGTTAGTATTCTGTCAATTTATGGCACAGGGCAAAATGATGACAATTCACTTTCTCATATCAGGAATTGAAAAGAAGAATCGTGCAAAATAATCCGCATACAAGAAACTGACTTAAATATACTTATTTTCTTATGTAGAGATAGTGATAACTAAACAATCAGTAATTGGAAAACTTTGCTCCATGCGATGGTACAAATGGACGTTTGCTTTTTTCCCACTAAAGAAGTCAGTCTAAGTCTGTCGTTATTATGACTGGCGCTGCAAGCGGGCGAAGTGAAGCGAGTGTTGTGTTCTGATTGGCCAATTGCTGGCCAAATCTGTTCTGTCAGCAAGGCTGGAAATGAGACTTGTTCTCTGAGTGTTTTGATGGACCTCGATTTTGCTCCTAGCATTTTATTTACTTCCTAGTAAGCTTTAGCTTTTTTGGTGCTCCGGTCATTAATTAACTACCTGTATAAGGCCTGTTTCAAACGTCGTGCTACTGCTGTGCTAAGCTGGCTCGCCTGTAGCTCGACTGCAGCACGACATTAGCAAGACTTGGTTTCAGACGTCGCATTTAATTCACACAATGACAGTCGAATGGAACGGCTGTTGCCAAAAACAAAACACAAAAATAAAGAAACGGTTTAGCAAACTTTTAAATATATTCTAATGTATTTATAATTCATGAATTGAGTTCGGCACGGCGGTAGCACGACTTGGTTCAAACGTCGCGCTACTGCAGTGCTAAAGTCGAATTTAATTCGATCAATTGAGTTCGGCACGGCAGTAGCACGACGTTTGAAACGGGCCTAAGGCATCCTTTCTTATCTTGGGATACTTTGATTAAGTATATTTAAAACTGCATTTGCTGCATCGCAAGATCCAAGGCCGTTGGGGGTGTGAACAAAGTAAAGTTATGTTGATAGTGGCCTTAGCTCCCACGAGTCTCCTATAACTTATATAGTGGTAGAGCATCTGGACTGGTAACCAGAAGGTCATTGCTTAATTCAACTCCTACAGAGAAGAGAAGTGATGACGTCACAAAAACTAAATTTGTGAAATTATAAGATAGGTTGGCATATCCAGAGAGAACAAAATGAAGAATGCCCTCTTGCTAAAAAGCAGCCTTTTTTACTCCCCACCAATTTGCCTTAAAAGGTGGGGAGTAAGTATCCTGTACTTTGCGCACGTGCAATTCGTTTGATAGTACCATGTGCTTGGTCGGACATGCTTCTGATGCTTGTTGCATTTTACTGTTCAAATTCTCCTACTAAATACGTGAAATCCTAGTACATTACAAACTCCATATAAATCCTTCTAAAACTAGACCTCAATCGTAAGCGGTACGATCCAGGCCATTTTTACAAGGATTGGTATGGAGTCATCAGAGCATAACGGTACTTATTATATGACTGAGTCTGTTTTCGCCATGCGATTGGTCAATTTGCGGTCCGTAACTTGCTATACGGACCAAAATTTTTAAAGAAAATGCTCATTTCGGAGCTCTAAATCTCTTAACCTGGGAAAAAAAGGTTTAAATAAAGTCATAAGACGCCTGTCAACCTTAAGGACTTGGATGTTGACTTTGGCCTTCAACATTTCGCTTTTGGGCCATAAATCGACGGAAAAAAACTCGGTCCGTAATTTACAGTATGGACCGAAAACTCGGCTAATAAGAGATATTTTATATCTCAACACAAAGGGGACATTTCTCATATTTTTTTTTTTCAGAATATGTCAACCAATCCAATAATTTCTCAAATTTATATTTTGTGACGTCACCGTTCTCTTCGCTATTGGAAGTACTCCAATGTTTGCTTCCTTGCCGCCTGTGTCGGTGACTGCATAACTAAACATCTTTTTTCAAAATTCTACGAGTCCCCTTTGTTTTCGGCCTTAAAAGAGTACCAATTTTCTACTGTATTTCCCTTTAAAAGGAATCCGGTTTACGAACTTTTGCTGTACGCACCTTTTACACACCTCCCCCGTAAACTGAGATGAGTTTCCCCCTTATTCTGTTCACACTTTTTCACCCTTCTTGCTAGTCCTAATGGATTTTAATTATTTTATGTTTTAAGGTTGTGGAAGATCTTGCCGCGACAGCTTCTTCGAACCTCACTTCACCTCGCGTTAACCTGACGTTTGAACCAATTAACCCACACCGAACCTCAGCCGCGGGAGTAGTGTTTGAATTTATTAAGAACAGTCTGCAAAGCCTAAGGGTAATTGATCTTGTTTTTTCCTCCTATAACAACAACAACAGCAATAATAATAATAATAATAATAATAATAATAACAATAATAAAATAATAATAAGGTGACTCACTTCTTGTACGTAGACGACCTTAAAGTTTTCGTTTCCTCTTAGACCAAGCTAAATAGGTCCGCACGATCTACCAGTGCAGCTATGCAGGATATCGGCTTGCTGTGGAATCCAAAGGAGTGCAGTGTTATCCAGGTCAGGAAGGGCAAGCAAGTTGAAGATGCAGCAGACCTCAAGCTGGGCGAGACGGCTTTGGTCGAGAACCTCAAGACTGGGGCCGAGAACATTTTCCTTGGTGTGAGGGCCGTGGACTCAAGTCTGTAGAACAAGAGGAAAAATTAATTAATATCAAGGCGGCTATGGAGCTACATGTATATAAGAATCCAGACCGGATGATGAGAATTGTGCGGATATTTGAAGGGATTCTCCTCACTTGTGCAGGACGTACACAATTTAGTCTGGGAACTAGGGACTAGTCTGAATTTAGCCACTCCCTAACCATCGTGTAGCAAGCAACAGAAGATCAGAGTAAATTCGGTGAGACAATATCTTACGGAAGCTGTAGGAGAGAATGTTAAGGAGAGATGGCAAGGACGTCTGCTGTGGGCCAGATGGGAATTTTTTAGACTACTATTACCGATTTTAACCTTATCCTTCTAAGGTGTGTTTATCACCATTTGCAGCATTCTTGTACAAGTTCCACCCAGGCTTCTTTCTTTGTCAAAGAGCAAGTGTCACTCCTGTAAAGGAGAATTGTCTCCTTAGTTGCTCTGAATAACTTCCGCCTCTTTTTTCTACAAAGTCACTCTTCCAGATGTTGTTCACTTTGTCTAGCGATTGCCAGGCCAGTGCTGTGCGGACTTTTATGTCTCTTTCCTTAGAACATGTCCAGCTACCCAGGTATTTGCGCCTTGCTCCCCTGTCTCATCCACAACTGTTTGTTTACTCTTTTACCATAAATTGTCTCCATTTCTACACTTTAAACGTTGATATACATAACTTTGGTCTTTATTGCATTCTATATTCCCATTGCGTAAAAGCATCAGCGTAATTCAAGCCGCTCCTCTTTTCCTTGTGTGGCTTGCCACATTGCATGATCAACCGCAATGACAAATAAATATGGTGCCAAAGTCACCCAGCATAACTCAGGAAAATATCACCCTTGTTAAAAATAATCTGTTTCACCGTCAGGGGATAAAACCTTCCCTTTCATGTTGCTACACTTTAGCATGATTCCATTCGTGATTCTCTCAGCGATGTTGAACATCGGTTGATGGTTAATGGAGACGAATGCTTCAATGCTTCGAAAGTCAATGAGAACCATAATTGATGGTAGATGGTAATTCTTGACTTCTTCAAGGATACCTCTTAATGCCAGCACCTGCGTAATGGTAGATCGACACGGGCGAAAGCCATTCTGGTTGTATCGCAGATATGGATCTATTTTTGGGCGTATACGATTTAATGGCACTCTGTTTATTAGGTTGGCGACTATCGATGAGTAAGCTGATACCTACGGTCGTCGATGTCACAGCGTTTCAGTATCTCAGGCTATCCAGGTGCTTTACCTTGGCTTATCTGCTTCTTAGCATTAATCACTTCCAACACTGTGAATTCAGTCTCTGTTATTCGAAGGTTATGAAGAACAGGATGAACATTATCCAGGGTTGTGTCTTCAGAAGGGGTTCCAGATGAAGCCTACCCGAGCTTACGCGCAGAGACCGGTATGTCAGACCAAATTAACACCATGTGGAGAATGTGTGGGTAAGGTACCAGAGAGCTTTGCTCAAGTTTTGGCACGCTGTTCATCACTGGCGCACACTAAGTACATGACCAGGCATAATGCTGCACTAGTAGCGCTCTACTTTGACGGAAATGCTAAGGGACCTAAAGCTTGCCGACTTCTCTCCTCCTTGGTACTCACGAGTGGAGCTCAGCCCGTTGTACCTGTCAGACGACGCTCAAGCATACTGAGATGTTCCTGTTCACGCAGAGGACACACAGGGTTGATTCGCAATTTGTAAACCGCAAGGAGATGTGTGTGGCGGTTGTGTTAATGAGCTGTCCCTGATTAGACAACCACTCGAAGAAGGATACTGAGAAGACAAAGAAGTACCAAACACTGCGGTGGGAGCTTACTAGGCAATACCCAGTCTACAAGATCGTGCAGCTGAACGTCATCATTGACGTTCTGTCGTAATAGTCCAAGGAGCTAAATGTCGAGATGAGCACGCTCTTTGGGGCGCTGTTGAGCGATGTTCTGAAGTGGACGCAGAAAGCTGTACTATCCAGAAACGGCGAAATATTTTGAATGAATAATTATGGTTCATATTCCATGAGAGCTAAGCCAATCAAAGCTTTAGAATTGATTTATCCAATGATTCGGTTATTCATTAAAAATATTTCTCCGTTTATGATTGACTACAATCTCCTGGCTAATTCTTCAGTACTAACTTTCGCTGAACATATTTGAAAGATGTGAACAATATATCATCGATTCGATGGTATAACATGATTATGATATACTATAGATCAACCTCGTTTCTAGGCGCGGCAGCCTAGCTGTATATTCCTTAGCGAACTAATAAAAAAACGGTGTTCACGACTATCTGAAGACGAAATACTGAGATGAATTTCCAACTGACTGAACAGAAGAAATGCAAGGCAAGATCTGCATAATTCTTCACATCCTACGTACTCAGCCTCATTCAATAATTCCTTAATATATATATTTAGCCACAGCTAAAAGCGAAGCTCCCATTGATAAATTTATAACTTAAATCAAACAATAATTTTTTATTCCACAAATCAGTTAACGTAAGGGGCACATTCATGTGACTTTTAAGGGAAAAGCTAAGTGATTTTGGAGTGAAACAAATTTTGTATCGAGTTGATATAGCCTTATATGTACACCCAAAAAATAGTCTTCGGTCACATTTAAGAGCTATGATGGCTCTTGATCACAGTAGATAAGGCGTGAGAAACAAATTCTTGGAAAACAAATCAGACCGATTTTTTTGCGTTCGACAAGTTTACAAATTCTTGCCAATAAATCTGGGAGCGTGCAAACCAATCTTTTATTTTTTTTATGCACCACATCTGAGGAGAAAGAGTACTATGAGGCGCTGTTTTTATCAAACAGACCTCGTACAAAATGCAGTATTTCACAATACTTCAAGACAAATTGCATTCATTCAATATTCAGGACCATAGAACCACGCGTGGACTTTTAATTAGCGAAACCGTTCAAAAAATGTCCAAAATCAACTATACGGCCAGCCGGTTCTAACGTTTGACAAGCGCCAAATTTGCGAAGAAATTTTAAAAGAGTTAGGCTTCAACGTGATAAAGAATTTATTGAGTCTATTTTTTATTAACGGTTTTATAACGATGTGTAATCTTAAAAAACGTTTGATACGCTTGGCATTTTGAGTACTCCTGCGAGCGATGTTTATGAACGCCTGAAAACAAACGGCAAAGCGATGAAAATTACACTTGTGAGACTACCAAAAATCAATAAAGAAAAATAATTCGATAGAGCATTTACAGAGACTACAATTTTCATTCACGAAAACAAATGAGTATTTAAGTGTGTCTAAGAATCCTCAAGTCTTTACTAGTAAGCTTAAAGTTTATGTTTTAAGCCGCCGGTTTCCCGGTGTTGGCTGTTTTCAAAGATGAACTCACGAAAAGAAAATCGTTCAAAGCTTTCTTTCTACAGCCAAAATTATAACTAAATATTCTTCGGAAAGTTTTTCTTTCTATTTAAGGTGAATTAATATCGACTAAAGGCTTTTTAAAGTTCTGTAAGCTTAAGCTTATATCAAACCTCATACGAGGTCAGATCAGTGTCTCAGTCAAATCTTAATACAAACGTGCATAAACTAGCTTCATAAACTGCGCCGCTGGACTTCATGAAATTAGATTAAATACAATAATTACTCAGGCTTACCATATTTCGAGATGCAGCTCCTGAAAGCTATCAAGTAAGGCAAGGATCGCTTGAGCCTTTATAATTCTCGTACGCATCCAGCAAGGTGAAAAACAAAAGCGATGCCATCCGTGATCGGATTATCGGCTTTGACAAGCGACGCATTTTTCAACCAAAACCCAATAAACAAACCAGCCATGAATAAGAGAACGCTCTTGATAGCAGCTGTATTTCATTTTGTACATCCAGTGGAAAAAGACAGTTAAAAACATCACAAGTTGACTCAAAACTCTGTCAGCTTCAGCTGTCAAAGTAAACAACTTTCAACATGCTGCATAAATTTTACGCATGAACTCACCTGTCAAACTTTAACCAATCAGAGCATAAAAATTGGACGTGGAGCGTGACCAACACGTGACCATGGTAAGAAAAGGTCTTTCTTGCCTGTATTTTAAAAAAACTGGCTGAATTTTTGCGTCTGAAGTCAGTTTGAAATCAAAATCGTAATAGTGCGGGACGATACTGACATAAACACAACATATTTGATATGAATTTAAAACAAAAGTAAACGTGAGCCTGCGATCATTTGAAAACGAGTAAATTGTCAGCGGATAACTTCAAAAAATACTCAACCGTCGATGGGTCGACACCTGAGCCCGCCATTTGGTCAGGTGATAGTGGTCAGCGGATACCCTGTTTTAACAGCTGTCAATTGATGACAACATTGATGTGCAATCAGCTTTCTCCTGGGCTCCCAAAGTAGCTAGAAAGTGTGAGAGTAAACATTGATATACCTGTGGTGCGGACGGACGGTCGGTCGGTCGGTCGGTCGGTCACGTGATTACCAAATTTTCTGGGATGGGTAGATTTCCTTAGCTATGGGGCTCCGCCCACGCGCGCGCTTCGCGCGCGCGTGGAGCTCCGCTATTATACCATGCTCTCTAAATATGGTCAGTTTACGCGTAAGTTTGAGAATATACAAGAAGCGAACTTGATTTTTCTTCGAGAAGGAATTATTACAACGCTGAAAAGTGCAAATTGCTTAGATTTTACCCTGAAGCATAGTATCCTACTGTTATGCATTTCCCATCAACAACTGGAAGTTCACATCATCATTCTAAATTGATGATGTTCTGCGCACAGCCGGAAATACCTCTGTGCTCGTAGACTTGGATGTACATTTCTTAACCAAATATCAAATATGTTTTCATTGATCAGGAAAGAGACTATAAAATCTTCATCGGAGAATTTGGTGACATAGCAGCTAGCTTGGTTTTTTGCGAGGTAAGAAAAGTAGAACTAGATAATTGTTCCCGCAAAAAAGTGAACTGGTGGTATGAAGCGTGTGTGGATGTCCGGTGTTGGTGTTGGTGGTGGTGGTGGTGTGTGTGTGGGGGGAGAGGTCGGGGTTCCTCCCTATAATGGCCTTTACGAGGAGGTTCCGCTCAAAAGAGGTAGCTTTTTCAGGTTTCAGGTGTATGAAAGGGCACGGATTTCACCAGTTGAAGTATATGAAAGCGTAGGAAAGCAGGTCCTAAGATGGTCTAAAAGGACTAAGAGATGCATTTTATGGCTATGAAAAAAGTCGAGAAAGCGTTCCGGCTTTGCGATTTATTCATATTTTGAATACACTGCCTTTACAGTAGTAAAAAGGGATTCAAAGTTCTAAACTAGGTATGTGAAGAAGGGGTGATTAATGTCAACGTCTTCACACAATTTGAGTTACTGTAGTTTCTTTTTGGCTGTCTGTAGAATCGTATCTTGTAAGACTCAATAAAGCTTAAAAGGTACGCCTAAATTGGTATAATTTAGGCCGTTTAAATTTTAATTTTCTTTTGATTAATCTCGGCCAATTTTACCCGTAAGTCACCCTTTAGGAAATTTAACAGCCATGACCAGGAGCGCATCACCCAAGAGAGTCCATTTTAAATTTCTTGGTGGAGAAAAAAGGCGAAAACCGTATTTACTCGATTAAACAACAAAAATTGGATCAAAATTGCTCTCAAATGAATGCCACACCAATCATAAGAATGCAGCGGTTATTCGAGGATTATAGAAAAATCTTTACAATTTTGGGACCGATACACCTTTGGGACGATACTAAAGGCGCTTTCTATTTGTCAGAACTGGCCGGCCGGACCATTGCCAGACCAGTCTTTTTGACAATGAAATTGGCTTTTCCAAGGTTTTTTGCTGAAAAACCATCTCCTTCCCGACACTATAATTTAGGATTTGACTGATCTGGCTAAATAGTTTTGATTAACAGTTAAATTCTCATTATGACAGGAAGGGTCTGGCCGGACAGTTCTGACAAATGGAAAGCGCCGTAAGTGTCCGCCTTAGAGAGAGATGGCCCTCTTATAGAGAGTCAAATGAAAGGAGTGAGAAAAGGAAGATAGGCTTACGTTTTACAGAGGTGTCAGAGGTACGTGTCCGTTAAGAGACAGTCGACCGTATATGGTATTCTATATCATTCAGCGATGTCGATTCTATCTCAGAAGAAGAGCGACGCATGAAAACTCTTTACATCTTTTTGTTTTAAATAATATTTACAAATGATGTTTTATAGTCGACTCTCTCTGAAAGGACACCTCCATAAGACGGACACCTCTGTAAAACAGACACCTAAAGTTGGTACCTACCTTTCTTTACTCCTTTTATTTAACTCTCTATAACAGGGCTATAACACAAAACTTTATTTTACATGAAAATCGATAGCTTGATGTAATTGCTGAAATTTTGGAGGTTGCGAATAATCCAAATCTCAACAAAAACAGGGGTAGCAAGGTGCGAAACGATAGATGATTCGAACTCCACGTGATAGAATATTAAAGCAGATTTAAAGACAGATCCTTAGAATTCATAACAATAGCAGTCGCGTGTACAACAATTCAATGTAATAGCAATGTTCGTGGCCTAGTTACGACGTCACAGATCGCAGTAGTAGCGAGTAGTAATACACGCAGTAGACGAAGTAATAGCAGACGTAGTCGACGTAACAAAACGTAGACGTAGACGTAGACGTAGGGGTAGGTTCGAACTGAAAGCGATAATTAAAGAACACGAATTTGGTCGACGACTCGCACCAAAAGTAGCAAAAAATAGCACTCTAGCAGCATCAAAGTAACTTGTGATAGCAACTCCAATGATAGCGGGATAACTTATAATTTCTAGTATTGCGTTGCCTCTTTTATAATAGAGTATACGAGTATTATGCCTAGGGCTTTAACTAAGTAAAACTGTACCTACGCTTTACGCGTTTCCTAGCGGAAAGTACCGCACCATGACATAAACGTGAAAACCTATAAAATGTTTCTAGAAAGATTGATATAATCACGTTCTATAACCTAAAAATAAAAAACTGTCTTAAAGCAGCCAAACAATATTATAAGAAAAATGAACAAAAGAACCTTTCAAAACTAACACTTACAAGTACAGACTACCTGCAATTGGCAAAGCTAATCGGGGCAGGTAGTATGGAGACGTATTACTTAAACTTAAATTACAATCAGTTGATACAAAGGGATTTTACTGAATCAGGCATTAGAAATTCGAAAATCTTCCGTCAGTAACTGGGAGCGTAAAGAGACACGTCCTGTCAGCACACGCACATGCGCAAGACAGACATCAGGGTTTAAGAAGGACACTTAATGCAAACAGTCCCAAAAGGTGATCGTCTAAGAGAGAGTTGACTACGTCGTAATTTTGTTGTCTGTGATTTAAGACATGTACTTTTAATATAAACGCCAACCTCGAAAAAACGCCCAGGCGTTTAATCGGTAACGTTGACGGTAACGGGGTCCCCGCTCTGTTGGCCTCTTTCGCACCTAGCCTTTCATTCGATTTTGTTTTTCTCACCAAGGCGCCTTGTCCCAGGCTATCTGAAAAATGGTACCTTAACGCAGTTTTTCTAGTATTATTAGGGAGTTTACGATACTACGACGGCGACGGCGGCAAATACCTCGCTCAAAAATTGACTTCTCGATCTATGAAACTTTAGCGCGATTAACTCCAACCCGGTCACTATGTTTTATGTAGGCGAACTCTCCTGCAGTTGAATTCTTAAGAAAAATATCCAAGTTTAGAAAGAGTAAGACCCTGTTTACATGGAGGGGGGACCCCGGTCTATTGGGGTAGGTTTCTTTTGTTTTGTGTCCCCCAGAGCGTGAAAACAAAAGAAATCAACCCCACTAGACCGGGGTCCCCCACTCCATGTAAACAGGCCCTAAGAGAGATTCGTCGTCGTATGTTCACGTGAAATTAGGCAATTCACGTCGTAGTCGTGCAGTGACGGCAAGGAAATGTACAAAAAATCGTGATGCACGTACAGAGTTGTTGTTTTGCTAATCTTAACCAGTTGCTCTTTGACGTTCTCGTTGCCGTCGCCGTAGGTAAACTCTTTATTATAAGGCTTAACCATTGAATACAGGTTTATTCGGTATATTCTTTGGGGTGGCGCGGTGGCTTTATAATCCCGGATGACGAGCCACCCTGCCGCCCCACTAAAATATATACCATTCTGACTCGTTTTTTGAAGACAATCACCTAGACTAACGAGCCATCGATCGAGCCACCGAGCCACTTGTATGTCTCATATCTCTCTCGTTCTTTAAACACTTGTCATGACTAACAAGCCATCGAGCCACTTCTGTTTGAGACCTTAAAGGGACGCGATCACGGTTATGCGCATGCGCGCCGTTTGTCTCTTCAGAATAAATTTGTCGGGTCAACACTAAATTCGAAATCGCCATTACCGGTACAATCATTGAAAATCCTTCGTTTTATTCGGACATCCGTCGCTTTGGCTGGTCTAGTTATACTTCGGTAGTGGTGATTAACGTGTGGTTGTGTTATTTGACTGGTTATGTTTTAAGAAGACGCAAAAAATAATGTTTTGATCATGGAGGTTCAGAAGAGCATCGTGGCCGTCCGGCAACAGGACACTCTGAAGAGTCTTTGGAGATAGAGAAGCTTAGCCGATCGATCTGGTATGGTTCTAGGAGTAGTGTGTGGCTTACGAAAAAAATACACGACACTTGGAAAGTGGTTAAAGGCATGAGTTCGTTCAACTTTGATTTGATTTTTGACCCCCACCTGTAGTTATACCGCAACAGGCCGCGCGATCTTCACCGATCTGGTACAATTGAAATGTTCCTTGTATCTTTGCTTTACGATCGTATATGTTTAAGAATTGATGTTTTCAAAATAAATTATTGCCCGAATTTTCTATTTATAGTCTAGTTTCTTTATGTGTTCTACTCGATGACATTTGTTTTGCGGAACACTGGCCCGATGTAGCCTGCGAGCAAGCTCTCCTATTTGGGCGAGTGAAAAGTACACGCGCGAGAGGCACGCGAGAGGAGACGCGACGGCGGGGGGCGGAAAAGAGAAAGGGAGAAACTCGTGCACATTCAAAAGACTAAGGTCATCGTCGCTTAAATCGACAACATTCTCTTTGTCCGTTCCGGAAATGGAGAACAGCGTTTTCCTGGACTTAGCTCTTTTTCGATTTACTCTTGTTTCTTCCCCTTCTTTCTCTTGTTCTTCTCGGCGGTCAACTGCTATTTCTTGGTCAGCTACTCTGCCATGTACTTGTTTTTTAATTTTCCTGCTCAGTGGACTTCGATCGGGCGAGGAAACCGACCTTGGAAGGCAGCGCTTGAATCTCTCTTCGCTCGAATCACTGTTCTCATTGTCGGAATTAATCAAGGCGCTTAAAACAAAGGAAAACAACTGATGAAGGTTTCTGATCTTCCTTCCACAGGAACTACACACTCGATCCGACTTATCCTCGCAATATTTTACTGGCAAGCCAACACTTTCACACAGCTTTGCCAGAATAACACCAAACGAGCCCTTCTGCTTTGAGGGCTGAAACAAGTTCTCGGTTCCAATATGACGGGCCTGAGATCCAAATTTGACTTTAAATGAACAACCACACAGACGACAGTTGTCTCTCACAGAAGGAGAAAGCGATCTTCTTCCTCTGCCAGTTTTCTTTTTCGGAGTGAGCTCCGCGATCGCCGACATAACACGGGTTTTTGGCGAAAAGAGCATCGTGTTTCTACATTTCCCGCGAAAATTTAGGGCAGGCCAGCTAGGCCTGTTATCAATCAACTTTAATTTCCGGAAAGTCATTTTTCAGCCAATGGTATTTCCCTTCGTCTGGGCGAAGTACAAATGAAAATTTGTAAGGGATGGTTGCAAGCTCTCCTTTCGCCGGCCCCTCGCGGCTTCGCCGCTCGCTCGCGCGTTCTCGCTCGGCTCGCTTCGCTCGCCCAGAAAACAAGTAGGAGAGCTTGCTCGCAGGCTAGACCCGATGCAACGCGAATGAATTCGTTCATTTGCTGACAAGCAATTGAAATTTATGCTCAGTTAAGGATAATCTTTATACTCATACGTTGTGTGTTTTTGTCACTAATCAGGCGCTATTTGTAGGTATTTCTGGGTTTATATAAGGCGAACTGAGAGAACAGTAATAAGATGTTTGTTTACAAATTTTGTTTGCCGATCGGTGACTGCTTTGTTAGCGTGGGTACGACATCGTAAAAATACACGTTGGTAAATGTTTGTTTCAAAGCAGGACAGGGCTGTATATCTTATTCTTATCGGCTGCAACATATATCTGAGGAGTAGCAAAGAATAAACTTGAATTATGGGGATAAATAAAATCAAACCAAATGCCCGGAAATACTCTCGCGTCGCGAACAATTAATTTGAATTTTGTACAGTCTACTTGCGTGCATCTAACTCGCTTTCGATTGGTTTAAAAACAATCAGCTACTGTCAGAACTCACACATGCGCATTATCGTGAACCAGTCCCTTTAGAGAACTGAAAATGTGGCAATGAATTTTTCTGCGAGCCTCAGACTGGTCAGATTCATGTGTCGTAATGGGTATGTACTAAGGAGTAAACGATTTTTTTTTTCTGATAGTTGTATAAGATGGGAATGTACGGACCAGAGTTTGTTTGGATTTTAAACCCGAATGTTGGAACCATAGATGAGTGGGTCACTCTTGCCAACCGCGCGATTAACCAAGATAAGATAAAGACTGAACAGACATGCAACAGGACGCAATACCAGAAAGCTTTAAATAGAGCATTCACATTTAAGGCACTCACGATAAGGGAGGACGACAACTTCACTACCTCATCAAATCTGGTAAGAAAATTTCTTTTCGTGAACGCAGCCCCTTCAGTAGATCAGATATGGTACACTTGCAGCGTTGAGGTGAGCTTCCAGGTTATACCGTTATGATCCAAATTCACAGTAATTTAGATGGCTTCAACTAAAATTCTTTCTGTTCAGTCGAGCAGAGTAAAATCCCATAACCCTGATGAGTTTTCAGTTTTGAAAGTCTTCATTCACTCTGTTCGCGTGGCCAAAAATGCGGTAATTGCTTGTTTGTTTCCGGTTTGTTTTAACAAAGTTAAGTTAGGATGTTTTACGCCCTGGGTACCAGAGATTGGCGACCAATTGAAAGATAGGTATTTGGCAAGAAATGAGCTAATTTTGATTTGTCATACTTCCATTTGCAGACAGTATCTGAGGCATTTTCAAGACTGGGCATAAATGATCTATCGAGCGATAAAACGAAAAACCTGGCCACAACTTCGTTTGATGCTATGTGGGGCACCATGCTAGCCATAAAAGAAGCTAGTGAAACAAAAAACGTTTCTGATAAATTGGGAAATAACACGGACGATACAGAAAGTCAGCAAGTATCTAATTTTCTGATGAAAAAACTTACAGAGTTGAACTTTCAAGGACTAACGGTACGTTTTACTTTTTACTGTTTTATTTTCTGTTTTGTGAGAAAGGCGGGGGAAAGATGATTGAACTTAACTTGCTTCAAAGTATTTTTGTCATGATATTTAGTCAGTAATTCTGCTATTTCGTCTTTGCATAGCCGTGAACTCTTTGGCATTCTCTTAAGTTCCACACTCGTAGCAAAACAGCCAAGCTGCCAAGTCGCTTTCTTACGAGACGTCAATGACGGTATAATCACACATTTCAGTGACGTTTAGGATCTTCTATCTTCATCTTTGGTCTTTGAATGAATAATAATAACAATCAGCTAATGTGAACTAATATCTGAAAGACCATCCCGTGTACGTAAATGGCATATTCGAGGAGTTAGGTCTCACTTTATTTTAGCTCTAACGTATTACTTTCCTAGAGTGCCACTCCCGCAGTAGAACCAGGTTTTTTTAAAATGGCCTTATGGTGATCAGTGCATTCCTTCATTGAGGAGAAAAAAAAGACCTTAACCTTCACGGGGCCATGACAGTTGCACTCGATTTTGTAACCGGCGCTCGACCAGCCCTATGAGAGAACACTGCAAGAGTCAAAATCCTGTAAACGAGAAATTAAGAATTTGTTCATGCTTAGCGTGCGTATATCGAGTTATGGATGCACGCGGGAAGTTTGGAGAGCACGAAAGATGCGTAAGAGTTAACTCTAGCTTCTTGAGTGCTCTCTAATCTTCCCAAGTGCATCCATAACTCGATATACGCACAGCTAAAAGCATGAGCAAATTCTTTTATAACACAGCTTACAAAAATGCTTGCTTTTTGATTAACTGCAAAATTCTCGTGACGCACGACACAATAACAAACGGTTCTATTGACTGATTACGAACACGCCACAATCGTCTACTTTGAATGAAAATATTCTTTCTGTAAAAGTGAGAAAGAAAATTTGCTTCTTTATTCGTTAACGGTCAACGAAAACTAAGCAGAAACAAAGGTAAAAGAGTCTTAAAGTTCACCTGAAGTTAAAATACTAACATGTTCGTAAGAAGTCGTGGAGTATGGTTTGGATTTGCTGAAAAGATGTTTACGTTTTGCCCGGCGAAACCCAGAAAACATGTTTTTAGCGAAGACGACTGTCATCCTTCTTTAAACTTATATTCATTTACGAACGTTGGCTGGTCATTAAGGCTTCTTTAGAAGACCTGGCAGCAGTTGTTTTTGTGAGTAGTAAATTTATGTCTTCTTGTGTAATTTGTGTTGTTATTGCGAGAGAAATTTTCCTGCTTCAGTCGGATTGTCCGGAGATAACAAAGTGCATAAAAAATTTAAAAACAACCATAAAAACGGACATTTTGCCTTTAATTGTTGTTGATGACCAGTTGGTGTCTGCTCTGTTCCCAGTGAATGTCTTTCGGCCAAAATTTGCTGCAGCTGGTCTTCGACAACATGATTTGCGAAACGCGCAACTTGCGAGTTTTTTTTCAATTCGGCTTTATTTTTGCTGCTTGTTGGATCAGGACCTAAAAAGTCAATGCCGATAGAAAAATTGGACAGTTCTTCGCTGGTTTCTTTCATATCTTAAAGAGAAGGAAAAGTGCACTGCAGCTTAAAAGACGACAACTTTGCAGCCAGGTAAAAAAAATGCTCACGTCATCTTATTTACGCACGGGCGTGCGTAAACAAAGATTTTGTTCATAGCGGCTCAATAGGGTCCTTTCGATATTTTTGACCGCGCACTCCTGAGAACTAGGTAGTCGCATGTAAGCGAGGCTTAGAGGACACAAGATGGCTGACTCTGCTGCAGGCAGTTTTCACTGTAAACCGGTTCCTTGGTTAAAAGAATACTTAAAACAAAGGGGCATTCAAAGCTCAGGAAAACGTAAGGTTGAACTGGTAGAACTTTGTGAGAAAAGTGAGGAGATGAAAGTCCCAAAAATTGCTGAAGAGGAAGCACCAGTCGATCCAAGAGTTTCTATGAAAGAGCAACTGAAAACCGATGAGGAGATCTCGCAAATCCGTTGGATAACGAAAACCGTGTTTTTTCCCAATGGACCAAAAACTTTACTAACGTACCGGACTTTAGATTCCCCGATCTTTTTAATTACCTGGTGGGTAAAGATCCCGTATACAACAGCGAAAGCCTAAAAAGTTACAAATCTTTATTGGGGTACAAATTATTTTTGATGGACATGTGGAAGAACTTTGGTATCATCCACCTCAACCCAATAGTAATTACAGTTATTTTAAGTTTGCTGTAAAGCCAACTGAAAAATCCAAGACTGATGATGGTTCAGCAACATACAGAGGGTTTTTTTTCATTTTAAAGAAGGATGGAAGTGTCAATTCAGCCTACTGCTTATGCAAAGGAGGGTATGTATTTTCTTCTTCTGATTTCTGAAGCCTGTCTATGTGCTTGATATTCCATAAACATACGTTTGAGAATCAAAACGTTTGGTCTTTTCGGTTGTTTTTCTCTGTGACAGGTTTTGTTTTATTCAGATTCGAAGGTTTATATTTTCCTTGTAGCAGTTATAACATGAGTAAAAAGTAGATGCCTCCTGAATTGAAGATCTAAATCAATGGATGCATTATTTTAAGTCTCAAACCTTCTGGATCACTTATGACTTCAGCACTAAGTATTAAAACAGTGGTTCAAAGTCAGAATCTGTGAGCCTAGTAACTGAACTTATTGGCTACTTTACAGTCTATCAGTGTGAACAATGTGAGATACATATTTGTCATATTGGTCCTCCTTTAAACAGGGCAGATGGAGGTTGCCGACACATAGCTGCAGCATTGTTTGATCTAGAAGCAAATGTGAGATTCAATGATCTCCAATCATGTACATCAGGACAGTGCATGTGGAAAAAGAGAGGAAAGAGAAATGAGGGAAGTTTGCCCATTCAGGACCTTCAAACGAGTGGTAGTTACGGTGTGACATTGAAAGACCCAATTCACCCAAGAGATTTTAATCCAATTTGTATTCCCTATAATGTGACTGAACTGGAACAAGATTTTAAAGCTGGGTTGCTGGAAACATGTCCTAGCTCTTCAGCTCTGCCTTTTTTTATCTTCAACTAAAGGACCCAGGCATACAGAGGAAGAAGTCAGAGCTTTCATCAGCAGTGATGTTAATGTCTGTAAAGAAGAAAGTGTTCAAAGTGTACATGTATATTCAATGAATGATTACGCCAAAGTGTTTGTTTCTGTTAATACTGAGAAAGTGATGCCTACAGTTTCTAAAGAACTTGCAGTTGAATTCCTCGAGTCTATTCCATTTAATGAAGAGCAAGCAGAAATGATCAACAAGAAAACTGTCTATCAATCCCAGTCTCAATTTTGGTTTGATCAAAGGGCAGGAAGAATTACAGCTTCCTCATTTTACACTGTGTGCCACCTTAGAGAGAGCACAGACAGAAGAAACACTATTAAACATCTCATGAATTACTGTCCAATTGCTGAAGATGCCATGCCACGACAGTTGACATGGGGGCATGAAAAAGAAAAGCGAGCACTTAGTCTTTACATAAAAAAACAGAACAAAAATCATGAAAAGTTGTCAATAGAAAAAAGTGGACTCATTGTAAACACATTATGGCCCTTCTTAGGAGCCAGTCCTGATGGTATAAGGATTTGTGCTTGCTGCCAAAAGAAGTTAATTGAAGTTAAAAGCATGTATGCAAAAGAAATCTCCCTCCACATGTTGCAGCTGAGGAGAACCTCATGCTTGTGGATGGCAAGTATGAAATTAAAAAGAAACCAAATGGAACTACCAAATCCAGGGACTGATGGGGATAACAGGGATTCATCGCTGTGATCTAGTTATATATACCCTCAAAGGAATATTGATTGTAAACGTTAAGTTTGATAGTGATTTGTGGAGTGAAATGCTCCAAAAGCTGAGAAACTTCTTCGTGGAGTATATAGTTCAGGAACTATTCCACCATGACATACTTAAGTCATTATAGAGTGACTGCCGTTAGATGCTGATTGTAAAAGTGAAGGTGCTTAAAATTAATAGTGTTTTTTGTCTGTGCTGGATTAGATACCACATAATTTTATTGATCTGTCTCTGGATACGTTTAATACATGTTTCATTTACCATTTACATACACTAAGTAGGTCTGCTTTTTTTCTGCTCTCTGGACAAATGCGTCAGTCATTTGGCCAGTGGTGGTAACAAATTACACAGAGCAGCACAAACACTTAGAATATTGTCTGCAGTGGGTAGCATTTGAAGAAGGAAGTTCCCTTGTAGAATTCTAAAGTCCTTAAGACGTCCAATAGCACGTTCAACGTGGATCCGAACACTTGCAATGGTACGGGTAGATTTTACTGCCTTTTTTGAAAGTTGCTTTCCTGTGTAAGAGGAGAAAAAAGGATTTTGAATGAAGTAAATGCCAATTCAAAAGGTACTGATAGTAAAGTACTTGCTTTTTTGGAAACCTTTTTTCCAAACAAAACCTGTACTAAATTATTGGATGGGTGGAAGTGGCAAACCACTGCCTCACACCAGCTCTTTCTGAATTTTCTGGATCCACCCCTGCTATGTAGACATGTTTGGAAGTTAGTAGAGACTACCTTTATCTTTGAGCAGTTCAACTTAACCCTATAATATAAAAAATATTCCTAAGAAACTTCTTCTGTTTAGTTAGAAAGATCCTTCTTACAAGCAACAAGTAATGGATGCTGTTATATCTAGTTTTTTTTTTTTTTTTTTTTTTACTTTGTCCAGGGAGACCTTCTCTTTTATCTTAGCATACCCTCTTCCACCCCTACCCCATTAGCTGCCTTTATTGGAAAGGTACCTTTGCAAAGTGGTGGGATATTAAGTGCAACTTTCTTTCTTGTAAGCAGATCTCTGATGTTGAACCCCTTGTCGGCCATAACAGAATCCCCCTCTTCAAGTTTGTCCAGTAGACCACTTCTTTCTGTGATGTATCTGTCACTGACATTTCCAGTCCATAGTTTAGAAACAAAGGAGAAGTAACCTGTTGGAGTGATTCCCACCAGTGCTTTCATGGTATTGTGCTGTTTATAGTTACTCCATGTAGCTCTCTGGGCACTAGGGGATGTTGGCTTTTGCAAAAATATCTCTGTGCAATCTATTATTATTCGAGTGCTTGGAAATTTATTAAAAGAACTTGGCAACTTTTTCTTAATTTCTTCCTTACAAGGCCATTTAAGAAGAATGTCACGAAAAACTGTAGATAAAAAGCAAATCCACGTTGTGAAAACTTTGCTAACTGATCCTTCTGATACTCCAAAGATATCTGTAAGATGTCTGCTTAAAAGCCCAAGTCTGAGTCTCACCAAAGTTAAGATAAATTCCTCCATAATGGTCAATAATCTTTGCTTTCCAGGCTTTTTTTTACTTGAATCTTTTTGATAGCTTACTTTTTTTTCTTTGTTTTTGTCCCAATACTTAAGTTTTTCTGCAAACGGCTTGAGCAAATTAAATATCATCATAAAGCAAGCAAGGCTAGGTATACCCGTAAAAAATTTGACAGACTCGTCATCTTTCAAAACATCATCCACAAAGAGCTCTCTTTTCAATTGTTTTTTGTTTGATAACTTTGATTTAAGTTCGGCGTTCTCTTGTTTTAAAGCGTCAATTTTACTGGTTAAAACCTCTAGATCTTCGTAAGGAAAGTCCGTTTGAGTTCCTTTGTCGTTAGGAAGAAGGTGGCAATAATTGTGATCTAAAAGGGCTGCATCGTCGCTTAAGAAACAAATGTCTTTGTCTTCCTCGGTAAGGCTTCTCTTTTGAGGTTCAGGACATTTTTCATCAACAGCACGTCTCTTTCTGTCCTCCAGTCTCTTTTCACGGGAAGAAACACGACATTGGTGGGTCGAGGGATTAAAATATTTCGGTAATTCACCTGGAATAACTTCTTTTCTTCCGCAAAGCGACTTTTTGATGGATGAAGCCTCGAAGTGTGCGCTGCAAATCCGAGGGTTTTTTTGATTTTGGAATTCGGGATCACAACGTCTACAAAAGTTTTTCCATAGCCTTCTAAAATGCCCTGAAGGAAAACAGAAAAAGGATAGATCCGGACGATTCCTCGAACTGTTCGAGCAGTTTGCTACCGAACAAAAATTCACCATGACTTTTGCAAAACTTGGAGCATTTCAACTTACAGTGAAGACAGTGAATGCATTTCTATTTTTTTATTTTCCCAGCTGTCCTCTAAGCCTCGTTTACATGCAAGTACCTAGTTCTCAGGAGCGCGCGTCCAATAATTTCGAAAGGACCCTATAGGACTTAGGGTGCTATGTTATAATGTAAAATCGTGCAGCGCCCGTGAAATAGACAAGTAATGCGATTTGTGACTATTTCCAACTACTTACATAGCCCTAGTGGCAAAACAATTGTTTGAACGGATCTATCTTCAAGGTATTCTGCAGTGTCCTGGCCCCGTCGTCAATTCAAAGCCTCGTGGCTATAAAATATACAACAATGAAATATATTAGTATGTTACATATTTATTAATTTTCAGGGCCCAGTGTCTTTCAACCCAGACAAAAGGAGAAAAGACGTTATTATTGTTCTACAGCAATACCGAGGTATAAATTATTAGAAATTTATACTCATTTTGTAAACTACATGCAAGAATTTAAACTAAGGCCCGGTTCATGGAGGCCCGTTCTGGTCAAAATTAATATAATAAAATGGCATCACAAGTGACTTTTTCGGCCAGTTCAGCATTTATTATGGACCCGTTGTGTATTTTTGTCATCACTACACAGGATTTTTTTAGTGTGTTGTTAATTTTTTTTTTAGCTGCATGAATTATTTTTTATTAAGGCTGTTTACTTTTTTATGTTTTTATATGAATAAAGTTTTCATGAGTACCACAAATTATTTTTTTAGTGGTACTGTATGGAGGCCCGTTCTGGTCAAAATCATGACAATACTTTGCACCACAAGTCAATTTTAATCCAACTGCAGCAAATATTATGGACATGTTGTGTATTTTTGTCATCACTAAACAATACTTTTTTCAGCGTGTTAGTAACCATTTTTAGCAACAAGAATTATTTTTGTTTTAATCATACGAATACTTTTTTCTATCATGCCATGCATTATTTTTCAGTGGTACTTCGAATTATTTTTCCAGCGTGTATCAAGAATTATTTTTTAATAATTGAGCCGAGAATTATTTTTCGCGGTATCGCGAATTTATTTTTTGGTCTACAATGCATTGCGGGCCTTGCATTTGAAGTGGACTGGTTCGAGTCTTTGACTGCCTTGGGCGACCATTGTGAAAACTTTGAAGAGGAGGAGTGCTTTCAAAGAGAATGCCAAGGCGAAACATTGTCAGGGAAAGAAACGAAAGAGGTTTTCATTTTTTTTACAAAATCTTTCAAGAGCTAGTAGTCTGTCGTTATTGATGAGGTTTTCTGGACCGATTTAATAGAGGAGACTACGAATGGACTTCACAACTCGTACACAATTCCAACCCTTATTCAACATGAGTCAAAGCCTTATACTGGAATCTCTCGTAAACGACCACCTCCCGTAATTATAAGCGATCGCGACCACTTTTTCGGCTGACAGTTTAGAATTGTCTATTGTTTTCAACCTTCGGTAAGCGACCACTTAGCACATGGTCTTACTTTGTGAAAATGGGCAAAAAGGAATTTATTCTTTGGCTGTCATTATTGTCTACACATCTATTACTGTGTTCATTAGTTCGATCTATAACTACAGTACTAACCATTACCCTTGAGAAAAAGACCCAGATTTCCAGGTTTCAGTTAAAGAAGTTAAGTTTTTGTTCGTCAGACGTTTTAGAGGCATTTCTTTGCAAGAAGTCACTTACACAACCAAGATTTTGTAACAACAAATTTGTAACGCGCGTAATCTAATTAATTGCACTTCCGTAAATGAGCTATCAAGTAGAATAGCTAATGATTTTGTCAATAAAACTACCAGTAATTGTCAGTGGAAAGTAAACTTTCATTATTTTTTTTAGAATAAATGTACCACTCTATTCGGCTAGGTTGAATTAAAAATTTCGCCCCTGCGGTCATCCAACTCTCGTAAGCGACCACCAAGCTTAACCTTTAAGTCCCAATATCAACATACAAATTCTCCAAACTGATCCTCATACATTTCCTTTAAGAATTAGTTGAGAGAATTTAATAAAAGATCAAAGCATTTTCTCTTTGGTGATCATTTGTTAATTCTCATAACCTAATCTCTTGACAATGTATGGATATTGTTAGGAGAAAATTGTTGTTGGTCACCATTGGGACTTAAAGGGTTAAGCCTTTGCATTTTGGGCGGTCGCTCGCTTACGAACTTGGGGCCCGTTTCTCGAAAGGCCCGGTAACTTTTCTGGCCCCAAATTATATATTCAAATCAAAATGTGAAGAGTAAAAGCGCGGGATATAGCTGACAAACCAGTCCTTTTTGTTTTGTTAACGGATAGTTTTATCGTGTTTATCTGCAAAACTATTGAAACCTCGATCTTGAATGTAAACAGCAATAACTTTCCGGGCCCGTTAATTATTGGGACTTTCGAGAAACGGGTCCATGTTGCATTAATTATGATAACGTATTTTGCAAGCAGTTTTACCGAAATGAACATTTTTCTCTTTTTGAATTTACTTCGACCGGAATTAAGATTGGTGTCTGAATCAATTCACCCGGTCTAAATAATTTGGGTCGGCCTTAATTCGGATTAGGTTGGGCTCATGAAAGTTCGGCCTCTTAACTGGGCCTAAGAACTAAGAAATATCTAAATCCAATTCTTTAATTCGTAAATGAGTTTATTTGCATGCGCACGAAGCACCATTAGCCTGGGAAGCAGGCCTTGAAATGAAGTGTTAAACAGACCTCTCCCTTTTTTCCTTTCACTTTAGTTTCTCCCCCTACACCCCACCCCCTTTCTTTGCCTCCCCCTCTCCATTTTGGCTTTTCCACGCAGACTAAGTACCATGGGGAAGAAAATCTGATTATCTATCCATGCGAAAATTATTTTGTCACTTGACCGTCCATTTTAACGTCGGATCATTCCATCCTTATCAGCCTTTGTGTAATGCTATAGTGAAGGATATCATTCAATTACTGTTGTTATTATTAGATTATTATAGTCATTATCGTTATCATTATTAGGTAATTTATGTAAATAGCACACTGAAAAAAAAGAAAGATGGCGAAGATTGAATAAGCTTAATCCTCACCATTTTTTCTCATCTATCAAACTCTGTGAAATCTTTGCCGTGATTGGATATTTAAACCTTTTTCCGACTTCACTATACAGCAGACAGCAGACTAAGTTTTAGCTTAAACTCAGGTCACATTATCTACACGAATAATATAAATTTCACTGAATTTTATCACAGAAAAAGAGAACAAGTGGGTGAACGTTGGTGAATTCTTCGTAGATGAAAGTGGTCAATTAACCTTGAAATTTTATGAAGGCATGGAAGAAACATTATGGGAAGGTATGTTTATAGGCCATTTCCGAGTTCAAAAACTCTCTCGTTCAAAACGAAGCTAAGTGCAAGACCTTTCGTTTGAAAAAAAATCTTTTTGTTTGCATGAGAATTAAAAAAATCATTTTCATGTCCATGGCTTTACATTTAGCCTCGTTTTAAAACAGAGGCTTGGGGCAACTCGAAAATCGTCTCCATTAAGCGGCCACCTCCGCGGTGCCGGCAAATACAAAGTAATCTCTGGATTTCCCATTATACTCTCATGTAACTTGTGTTCAGTTCAAAGGTTCAGACTTAAAAGTAATCATGCATAGTTTGCTGATGTGTTTTATAGCTGGAAAAGCGTGAAAAACCATCAGACCAATACATATTTTATTAACTGTATACTAACCGGCCCCGTATTTTGCTTAAGGTGGACCTGTCCCAAGCGACAGAACGCTGATAACAACGCAGCGAATGGATACTCCACGAGCGCTCTTCATCATCTTCTCAACGGTTGCCTCCTTTGGTATAGTTCTAGGGATCATTTTCATGGTATTCAATCGCTACTACCGCGATTGCAAGTGAGTTTCATGCACTCTTTAATAAAGGAGCAAGATAGATGTTTTACCAGGGTGGGGGGGTACCCCCATATGTAAACTACATTGGTATATCCTGGGTAAGAACCATTACGCACACACAGGAGCCTATGACACTAGTGATGGACTCCTGGCACACATTAATCCAAAATGGATGCGGAAGTAGTGTTCGGACCTTCGCAATAGTTATACAAAGGGTCGCAAGAGATGATTGCAGTTTTTAAAAGAACACGATCGATACCGGAGAAGTACGGTTTTTGGTCATGAACTTCAGATTTTGAAAACAAAGGAACGGCGAGTTTCTTGAACGACTTCAAACCCTTTGGTACAGTTCCGCCTTGTCTTCCACCAAACCTCAGGTCTCCACAGATTCTTTTAACAAGAAAGTGATCGATAAAACTCAGCTGCGCTCAATGCGCGGTGACGTAAATATCCCACATTGTTGTTCGAAAAGAGTAAGAGAGATGGGGGAAGGAGGCTGTTACGGGCCTGCAGTAATGTAGTTCTGTTGCGGTGGCCCTTCTAAAAATTGGAAAATGTTAGTAGATGAATAAATAAATAAATAAAGACCTTTATCAAATGTTTGAGAGGGTAGAAATATCATGTGATTCAGTGACTGACCAAAATTTAATGGCATGTGAGATTCCACGCATAAAGTATCAGTTGCATGGCAAAAATTATACTGTTAGGGTCGGGTGAAGCTTTACTTATTGAACAAGTCCGCCCAACTCAAATCCTTATCACATAATTTATGCTATTTCTCAGGTCATGAGCAAACTCGATCTTTTCTCCTTTTATATTCACAAAAATTAAGAAAGCAACGAGTATCAGGAAATGTTTACCGGTTTCCTTTTCGCAGTTATGCTGACCTAACGCAATTGTTGGCTTTTTTCTAGATTTATTCGTCTATCTGCTCCGATGTTTAATGATATCATTGTATTGGGATGCATCATGTGTTTGAGCACAATATATTTATTTGGAATCCGGAAAGTCAACGATGGCAATAGAACCATGCCACGTATTTGCAAGGTGAGGAGTAACGTTAATTTCATGTGGTTATCTACCAGTCAAACCCGAAAAGGATTTCATAATTCTTTCTGCATTCAGCATGTGCAACGCTTTCACGAGTCATTGTTCATATATTCACTGTTTTGTTGGAGTATTTGGGAGCTTTTGAAAAAGCCGGTTAAATGAGGGCTTTCTGGAATGAACAGTTTTTTGAAATGAACAAACCTTCGTAAGTTAGCTTTCGGAGACTTAATTAAGATATTTTGGTTGTGCTAAATAGGATATTCACATTTGAATAAACGGTTTGACGCATGGGAAAATTTTTGAATAGCTGCCTGTGGGTAGGGAATTTGACGCTTTTTCAAGCGCTAACAGGTGGATCATGCTACCACCTCAAAAACACTATACCAATTTACCGGGGAATTTAACCAAAAAGATCAAATGCCTAGGCCTAGGGAGTTTGCTGGGGGGCATGGGCGGTTTTGGAATTGACTGGTACATAACTGTGGTAGTGGCAGTGTAACGGACTCCAATAAACTGAACCAAGAGCTATTCACAGCCGAGGAAAGGAGATTATCTGAGCCAGACGACTAATTTACGGACGGTCTTATATATATATTAATTTTAACTACGCTCAAAGATACTATCTGTTTTTCTTTTAATTCTTTAATTCACATTTTATCACGTATCTTATTTTTTTTCAGGCTCGTGCGTGGCTCTTGAACATAGGATTCTCCTTGGCTTTTGGAGCCATGTTCATCAAAACCTGGCGAATTTACAAGATTTGCACAAACAAGCGTCTAAAAGTCCGTGTAAGTGTATCTAATTTTTAAATTGCTAGAAAAAAAAACTTTAAAAATATATTGGAACAAAGCAATTATTGGATTCGGTTTCGTATGATCTAAAGAATTGCGCTGATCTCGTAATTCTTCAAATCCTAATCAGCCTCAACTAATAATTGCTTACCGTATTTATTCGATTAAGCGCCAATCCTGTAGGGAGGAAAAGTTAACAAGCAACTAGCCTCGAACAAGAAGTTCAACCCACCCCACCCACCACCCTCTCTCTCAAAAACCTGACGTGGACAAGATAATTGCAATTGTTTATTATTTCCTTACTGCCCAATATGCTTATCGTCGACTGACCCATTTGCAGACTTTACGTTGTGAAAAATCGACGAGGCAACACGAGAGAGTTCGCTTATTGACCTCACTGACAATGAGAGAGAAATTGACTAGGTTCTATTAGAAGACTTCCCTGAGGACAAAGTTCTTAGTCGTTTTTAAATAAACTTAAATAAACGGTTAAAAATTCTGCTTTGCTACATCTTCACGTTTTGTTATTATTTACTGTTTTGTTGGAAAATTAACTTTAGTACTTGCTAAAAATAACGAAAATTTAATAAGCGCCCACTCTCGAGGCCCAGAAATTTTATAAGCGCCATAAACACAGTATCCTTAGTTGAAATCATAAATAAGTGCATTCTCTCCGCTATACAATAGAAGTTATTTGACTTGCTAACATCTATGGTCGAAATTTATCAGTTGGGTCCATTGTCTGATTGGTGGATGCTGGCTATGGTATTTGGGATCGTTGTGATTGACGTGGTGCTGTTAGTGGCTTGGGAACTTACAGACCCGCTCCAACATGAAGAAGCAGTCGTGGACAAGAAGGTTAGTGGACAGATTACAACCTGCTCCAACAAAGATTTTTCAGCGTATATCTTACACGATATTAGCACTTGTTGAGAGGTGCTTGTAATGCTGATTTCAGGTTTATAAAATTGCTCTATTCATGTGCTTCGAATTTTTACTGTATGATTTCATGTGGTGCGCGTATATGGCCAAATTTATACAAAATGTTATATTTGTGTAATTTTTGGAGGAAAATTCAACTGGGATCACATGGACTTTGAAGCTTCCAAATAACAGTCAGTAACTATAAACACTATTCGCGATCTGAAATAACGCGTACGTGCTCTCCCGGCGAAGTGACCTGGTCCATGGTATTGATGATTAATACTTGTATTTTCGGTTTTCATTGCAGAATGATCCAGGGGATCACCTCAAAATAATAATGTCTACAATAAATACATGTACGGGAAAAAATGTGGAAATGTGGCTGGCATTGATTTATGTTAGCAAGGGAATTCTTTTGCTTTACGGGCTGTTCCTCGCTTATGAGACAAGAAATGTCGTGTATGCGCATTTGAACGACTCACGAGTCATTGGAATTTGTGTGTACAACGTGGTGGTGCTGTCCACTATTGGTGCGTTCTTGGCTCTAATTTTGAAGAACGAACAGTATGTAGAGTTATACTCCGCACTAAGTGTGTGTATATCTTTACCAGCTGCAGCCACTATATCGCTGATCTTCATACCAAAGGTAAAACCTGATTTATTCGGCCATTTTCAACAGATAATTTCATTACGATTGTCACGGATTTAAAAGCTCGAAGGTCGCATCGTCATGGAACCACTTGTATTCATCTGACATATCACTCCTCGTATTAGATTTATACAGCCGCCAGGCTGCCTCGTTTCCAGGCGCCGTCTGCACTACTATTGCAGAGGATCACTGATAGGAAAAATCTATCCTTCCCATGACACAACGTGGGCTATGTAAGCGCAAGGAAGGACGCCTGGAGTCAAGGCAGGCCGCTTGACGAGTTCACTTAGTAGAAACCGTCCTGCGTCTTCTAAGGTGGATTTTTACCCACATTCGTACGCGCGTAGATAAAATAGAAATGTGTGGAAGGTCAGGCGTAAACGTAAAAGTTGAACCTCACTTAAACGTTTACACACGTCTTTCCATACATCGTCTAACTATGTATTTTATTTACGCGCGTAGGCACCGGCGTAAAAATTACACGATTGTGGACTAATCCACCCTTAGGCTGCAGACCACCTTGTACTTCCTGTGTGCCTGACATTTGATGGTGCATATTACTACTTAGACCAAAAGAAATGCAATGGATACTCATTATGGTAGCAAGATTCCCCCCAGTATTTCAGCGGCCTAAGCGTGCACGCAACGCCGTTAAGGTATTAACGAGGTCGCGATATTCCACAACAGGGTTCTTCAATCCCGTAATCCCGACCCAAAATTCGTGCAATCCCTTAAACCTGATGGGCTTTTGGCATTGCACCTCAAATCCAATCCCGAAACTCGCCCTGATTTTGCTTTAAAATCCCGAATCCCGAGCTTCAAGTGAGGGAATTCCCGGATCCCGAGCTTCATGTAAGGGAAACCCCGGATCCCGAGCTTCAGAAATAAGGGAAATCGCGGATCCCGAGCGTCAAATGAGGGAAATCCTGAATCCGGAAAAACTCACTGGAGACCCTCAACCAGTTAAACAACACTGTTATCATCTAATTATTCATTTAAATCGTAAATTTTTCTTTATAGCTGATACATCGCCTAAAAGCAAGCTCCCTCGACGGGGAAACCGTTGGAGAATCGACCTTGAATCACACTTTTTCTCGTCCATCCATCGACGTAACCAGCACATTTAAGGGCACAGAAATGGGAAGAGAAAGATTCGTAGACGCTCCTCCGTCAGGCAACACACTCGGCGTCTATCAAAATGGAGGTTTCATGGACAGTCTTTCTTCTATTCCTTCACCCTCACCTGCAAAATCTGTAGAAGAACCTGCACCTTCGGCAACAACACTAGAGGATTAAAATCTCCGACTAGCTTAAACTATCGTAAGGCACTGACAATTTTTCTTACGCCTCGCATATACGGATCGGTCATATTCTTACGAACAAAAAGCTTCTCATTCTCTTGTAAAATGCAAAGAAACTATGTCCCTAAATAATGGAACAACACACACGTTGAAAACGTCGCTGGGCTGATGATGGTGAAGATAAGATGGTCAAAACTAAAAATGCCTAGGCGAAGTTGTAACACAGGCCGCCAAAGTTTTTTTTAGCCATACCACTCAGTGAACATTCGGAACACACTGTACTGTTTTGCGGCAGCGCAGTTATTTGAAGTTCTGGTACCAAGAGCTCATAGAAACAGAAGAAAATGCTTTGAACTTTCCGACGTACAGGCTTGAGAACATTTTTTTGTGGAATTCAAGCTCTACGAGAAAAGAGCCAAGGATAAATTATTATGAAACCTTTCTAGTGAACAACACGACTAACACTAACAGTTCTTATTTGATAAGTCGCCGGGCGACATGGGATGTAAACATGCCTCTACGTGCATCATGCAACCCCTTGGTCTTAATAGCATGTCATAGTAACAGGTGGTGCTTTGCATAAGGGGCTTTTAATAAGCCCCACGTCCTAACCTACCAGAACAGGGCTGGGCGCCCTACCCCACCAGGGTGGTCTCCACTATAAGGTGCAAAGCTAGGCATTGAAATTAAGGTTCTTGCCCGCCAGTAGCTAGAGAAAATATTCAAAAAGAGAGAGAAATTTTAAGCTTATTTGTTGGTGCAAGGGATCATAATGGGACTATTATGGCTCTTGGTTGGTGTTATCCTTTTAATTACCCGGGTTGTTTCTAAACTCGAGGAAGCGCGGTTTTGCTTATTCTTTTAGTGACTGTTGATTGTTTGCTTGTAGGGAGGAAGATCCCAGAAGGCGGGTCATCCTAGAGCCACATATCTTCTCCTTTTAGTTAACTGGATGCAAAAAGTTGTAGTTGTCCCTACACTGCGAGAAGAGGCTGCATTTTGCGGTGTCGTGGTGAACTGGCGTGCGAAAAGTACTTTTCGCAGGCCAGAATGTAGCCTCTGCTTGCAGGGTAACTTGGATACCCCGCAAACGATCCTTTAGTTCTATAGAAAAAAACAAACATGATTACCAGGATTTCGACCGCCAAGGATCGACAATTTCTTCAGTCATTACAACTTTCAAGCGTGCAAGGCCAATAACCTAGCGACGCAGTGGAAAGCCGAGAGATCAATAGTCCATTTTACTGTTACAGGTGAAAACGAGGCTGGAGGTGACCGTTTATTGATACAACCAATCTCCTTTATTATCGTAATCATGTTTTTCTTATGCTAACTAGTATTTTGTAGCAATTTTCATAAGAAAAGGGAAGGAGGTTTGTATCAACATAAGCTCAAACTCAGCCTAACATTCACTCAGGGGCTAGCGTTCTTAGCTCTGTAAAATGGATAACACGATATAATCAGAAAGAAAATGGTCTTAAGGCTCATCAGCCTCTCGATGAAGAAACGATTTAGAAATAACCAGTTTCAGCCAAAAAAAGATGTTTTTACCCAGCCCCGATCGAAGTGTCCTTCATGTACAAGAAACGAAAAGTAGAAGGTGAAGATTTTTTTATCTTTTAACTAAGCCATATAGTGTATTTACCACTTTAACTAAATATTTTATCATTGCATTAAGTTGTTCCGCCTTATAGGATTTTTCTCCGTCCCTCCCTCTTTTAATTTGAGACCAGAAAAAGCACAGGTAAGTCAGGCGTATTACCTATTTATACATCGATAATAATTTCCCATACAAACTCTTACATTACGCTACCCTGCGAGCATCTCGAGAGAGGCGGGGTCGTAAACAAGCCAACTATACGAATAACAGCAACGCGAACGATTCCGCACATCCTAAAAGCCATGCCGTAAAGAAACTTCTGCTCGCAGGATAACATTACGCTAAGACTACCTGAGACTACCTGTCAGAGAGGGCAAATAATTAAGAACCTTAAGCACAACATCGTTGTTTGAGTTAAGACGACATGGGACATTTGTCTCTCAACAAGAGGGAATGCTCTCGATAAATAGAGAAAGAATTGTCTGGTTGGACAAAATAATTTTAGATAATTATTGCGTAAGTTAAGAGCTACATCTTTTTATTTAGGAAAAGCATGCAGTGTAAATTGAGGTTGAATTCAGTTTTACGTATTTAAAAACGTTGCTTATGTTCAGATGTTCAGAATTTTTTAAAAAAAATCTTCTGACCTTATTATCACGTCTCTGTAAGTTTGTTTTAAACGTTTTGGGAGAATTTGTTAAAAAATTAAAATAGTCTTTGTAAGCCAGTGTGAGCTTCCACTCATTCTTTAAACGTTTTTCTTTCTGTGGGTGGTGGGGGTGAAGAAGCTAAGGAAACAGATTGTGATTCACTTACCAACACGCGCGCGTGCATTGCTGGCGTAGTTTTTTCCTTTGCTTTCACTAGAATAAAAAACAGCGCCAAATGAATGGCCGAAGGTCTAAAGAATTTTGTCCGAGATTGTAGCGATGTAAAATGGAATGAATAATCTGAGCAGATATTCTATTTTTACTCTTAACCCAGTTTCAATAGAACCAAAAAAACTTCTCAGTTACAATAAGAGAAGTTTTTCATTCACAGAAGTTCAATGAATCATCCGAACCACGCGAAGAGTGCAGAGTTGACTAATCCTTGGTTAAGAAAATATCCCATCGAAATTTTCCGGTATCTGCATAGCAGATGAAGCGTGGAACGTTTCCTCTCGATAGTTCTATTATATTAATCTTTACCGTGACTGCGAGTAGTCTCTTGTTTTTCTTTTAAGGCACAGTAGATCGAGAGCATGCGTGAGGTGAAAGCGGCGAAGCTGCAAGGAAAGAGTGCGGAAAAAAAATTGCTCTCTGCGCTCCAATCTCTGCTCCCATTAATTTGCACAATTTAATCTTTTCACTAACGTCTCGTTGCTCTGAGAAAAAAAGGACGACGGCTTCCGGTCTGACCTTTGCCTCTTGATATGGACAGAAAAGGTTCCCCATCCCTATACCTTCTCTTGACAAAATTAATGGTGCCTCATTCACATACCTTGTTTAGAACGTTGCATCCCTTTTAGCTGCTGTAAATGCGCTGTCTTCAAAATATGAAGAAATCACAAAACTAGGAAATTTTCTCGACGTTTTCACAGCCATAAATTCTTCTGTTAGCCCTTTTAGGTCTTTTTACAGACGGAAATGACAAATTTCCCTCCCCTTTCACATACTTCAACTAGTGAAATCCCTCACCTTTCATATACCTGTGGCCTGACGGGTACCTCTTTCGGGCGAAGCCTCCCCTAACTCTTCTATGGATAGCCATTGAATAGAGCAAACGGTTGTCCAAATTGTTTGCTCGTCTCCATGCAGTTGACATAAAAACAGCGAAGTCACCAAAGACCGTTCCCGAATTCTAACGTGTTCTTTGTTCCGTTTGTGACCGTAACTCGGGCGCCGTACCAAGGCATCAAGTAAGAACGCTGCCTATAAGTCATTATCAGTTCTCAGGAATTGAAGCGGTTCCAGCTTTTCAAGTAACTAAATAATACTTCGTCATAAAACCATAATGTCGAAAAAAACTAAGGAGTTTTCTTTGAAAAATAAAGACAAAAGCGAAGACTAACTAAATTACTCTGAAGAACGTTTGTTGTAATGACCTAAGAGAAAAGAGTAAGCAACTCGATTTATTACCAGACAAAAGATAAAAATAGCGCATTATTGCTTGTTGCTGACAGAGTGGACGCGGGGAGGGGGTTGGGGTCTTATAAAAGCTGACAAGGTCTTGCTACCTGTGATTTAAGATCATCGTCTCAATCAGACTATCGCGTTATTTGGCAGGATCACGTTCAGCTGTTTGCGTTGCCTCCGTAGACCAATATGGTGTGGTCTATTTCTCATTGGAGGTGAGGGGGCGGGGGGGGGGGCGTTTATGGGCCGGAGTAGTTGCGCTGACCCTGTCGAGAACTGGCGAATCTAAATAAACTGAAATGAATTGAAATAATAGAATTTCTGTGAAAGTAGAGAAATTTTGCATGGACGAAGCTGACAGCAGCGAGGACTTCACTTTAAAAATAGATTCGCGAAGGATTTGATGCTTTGCGAGTTAATCACTACTTCCTGCAATTTGATGCAATCTGAAAAGATGTCAAAGAATTTTTCAATGAGAAAAACTCGAATTCAAACCTTTTTTGTCTTTTTTTGTTGTATTTTTTAAAAGTTTCAAGCCCGAGTACCTGTGTTCCGTGGTTCTTTTGGTAAAAATATACATCGGCGAGAAAAAAAAAGAAGTAAAAGATTATTAAAAACGCCTGGCGATGAGGAATTCTGGAAAACTAGCGTGGGCGTTTAGGCAGTTACTTAGGCCATCAGCTGCAGAAAAACACAAACACGAGCAATAACATTTGTTCGACATGCAAGAAAACAGTTCAATATTTGAGCGGACAGGGCGTTTGTTTCTGAATCCAAGGTAGAATTCACAAGTATTCGATGTCTTCCATATGTATATTGGAGCATGAAAAGCAATTGAATGTTATGGTAATGAAAATTCCTTTTTTAATGCCGGGTTGCCTCAAACTTAGATATCCCAGCAACTGGGTACGTAGAATTCTTAAGCTTTAAAATTATTCTGGTAGGCATAATTCTTTTACCAAGAAACATGCACGTATGAGCCGATATCTTCCTCACAAAACGGGTATAGACTTTTTAATATATATAGTTAATTGTTAACAACTTGGCGATAATTTCAAGGCTTGCCGTATCGGTAAGAAGGTCGGATTTAGTTTTACATATATTAGAGAGTGACAAATGTTCATTTAGGAAGGTTCTCGTTGGGATTAACCTCATGTAAAACAGCAGGCAAACTGAACATTTTAGTCGTTGGACAGAATTTAATGGAAATTTTTAATCGTTAGTCTTAGAAGAAGTTAATATTGTGTGGCTTTTTACGGCATGACATGTCTTTTGGTAGCCGTTGAATCCAGTTTCAGCCATTTTTCCTCTATCGATCCCGGAAAGATTCTTAGTCTAAACAGAAACTCATAAGGGGTTGAAACGTGTAACTCTCATATGTTTACTTTGTCTGATGCTCGTGATTATCCATTTTCGAAAGTACCATATTTGGAACGAGAAGAAGAGATAACTGACCAACCAAACTTCGTAAACAACGTGACGTAGTTTTACTTCAGGTTCCCGCGCCCGCTTAAAAAAATGGCCGACAAACGGGAGAAAAACTCCCGAAAGCCGAGAAAGCTTTCAAAGGTTGAAACCAGGAATCTTACCGAAAAACTGAGCAGGATATTGTTGCCTTACTACCCGGGCCAAGCGTAACATTACGAAACCCTTTGACGTCCTCGCAACTACAACACGGTAAACTTATAATGCAAATGAGCTTTTAAAATTCTTATATTAAAGGTCTAGAATAAACAGTAAACTAGAAATACGTTTTCGCAAAAATCTCGCGAAGCTAACAGGGCCAATAGTGAGACTAGACAGTAAAAACAAAAGGGTAAAAAAACGATGAAAGAAAAAAAAAACTGGAAGTTGAAAAAAGTGCGGCCTTTAACCACTGGGCTATGCAACCTCTGCGTCAATGTACATTGAAAATTAATAGTGTTGAAGTATCTTTTTCTGCTATTCGCACGGTTTGAACCTTATGAAGCTGTATTTATCATGAATTCAAAGATACATTTGAGGAAAAATAGCTCAAACGAGTATTTCAAAACTATTTCGCATTACCTCCGTGTTTATTCGGGCTTTATATAGGCCGCTCGATTAACGGACTGGTCTTCTTCTTCGCTGCTTTTGGTGAAGTTCAGGGGTAGTTTCAAAAACGAAGCACTCGAAAACGAAGACCGAAGCACAAAGCACCCAAAACTCGAAAACGAAGACCCCTAAATCTCGAAAACGAAGTACCCAAAACTCAAAACCACTGTAGGTTTAATAACTACAACTTTACGTCTTGCATGACGCAATCCGAATCCGAATCTCAATCCGCAATCCGGATGCGTCCGCACCTCCAAAGGTCCACAAAATCCATCCCAAGGTTTTATAAAAGCCTGCCAACTGTTTAACTGAACGTTTCTAGATAGGATATCCTCTATTAATTTTATTATTAGTCTCGCTATACTTGATACATCTTATCTTAATATGCATTTTTTCGGTACACATACATGTTTATGTGGCCGAAACGGCAAGAAATTAGCCGTTGAAAGGCCAAAATATTAACCGTTTACCGTGAATACTTCCGCCCCTGTGAGTCCTTCATTTAACCCCTTTTGTCACTCAGTTAGTATTGAGGCAACAAATACCAGATGCGTGATATTATTATGATTTGTTGGTAGAACTTATGATTCGATTTCATGTGAAATTTGGACTAATTGGGCTCGAGCAAATTTATTCAAAGCTAACAGAGTTGCATGATCGAACTTGTAGTGAAAAAAAAAACGGCTGTGTTTATTTCGAGTATTCCATTTACGAGAGAAAAACTGCTCAGTATTATAACTATACAGCCCTGGAAACAATGCAGGGAAACTTATCAAGATCCAAATAAAAGAGAAATAAAATGAAATATCGTTCTATTTCCTTTTAGAACTAAAATGATGTTTTTTTTTTCAGAAATGAAATACCTCTTCCTTCATAAAAATTTTCTTACTAACCAATAAGAATCTGAAAATGATTGTTCACGAATATTACATTATTTATATTAAAATTATTATTTCTTCTCCTCAATAAGGTAATAAGAACTTCGTAACAATAATATTTTTATGGTGCGGATAAAATTGAACTAAAAACTGATTACTTGGCTATCTATAACTATTTCATTTTCTATGAAATCAACTATGCCATTTACCATTTCGTGCAGACATCGCGCTTCAATTTAAAAGGAGCTGTTTTCATTTCAGGGTCACTCATTAGTTTTCATCGATTTCTTACCATACTGCTTCCTGTAAAACTGTAGTGAATTTGGAATGATAGACCATTATGATTAATTCAGTTCTCATACTAACTTTGCAAAGTTTACTACTGATTTCGCGGTTGTCTCCTTCATTATGTTTTGGGTGTTGTACTTTCTAACACCCATTATGTTTGACCAAAAACACTTGCTCCTTAAAAATGATATATGCATAAACCGCAACGCCAAAAATGGAGTATGGCAACATAGCTATAAACTGATTTTTCAGTGTAAAGTTAGTTCAGACGCTCTAGAATTTAATAGCGAGATAAATTAAGTTTATCTTCTTGTAAGATCTACCTTAGTTACACATGTGAAACGCGTAAGTCATGATAAAATGAGCAGCCATGCGTTTTCAAAACGACATTATTTTGAGATAAGCAGATGGCATCCCTGCAGGAAAGGAAGGCGCGAATGCAATTTATTCCTCCCTCGACGCTGATTATCTGGCAAAATCCCCGCCTTCATGGCTGGCACTATAAATTAATTTGAAAATTATAATTATCGATTCAGGATGTATACGTGCCTAAGCAAATTTACTTTGTGTTGGTGGTTAACGATGTTTAGATGGCCGACAAAATTTCTATTCATTTTGCTTCCACTCTACAGGATATCAAACGTGCAATTTTAGCTGCCTTAACAATGCTCTATTAAAAATAATTGTGCTGCTTGAAGTTTATTAATTTGATGTTTTTGGCCATCAGCGTTTTAATTATAACATATAGCTTCTGAATATTAAATATCAATCCATTAGGTAGCAATTGAAACAATAATTTTGATATGTCTCGTCCGTTAGACTCGCCAAGAGTCGACAAGCAAACTATTATAACTATTTCCAGCAATCTGTCCACGATCTGTGTTCTTTCTTCCGGCGTAATCAGGGGTATCCAGGGGTATCCAGGGGTATTCTCCCCCGGAACATTTTGAAAGAAAGACCCCTCGGAAATGCGATTTCCAGCGTTTTGAGGTGCATTTGCGACATATTTTATAGCATTTTGCTCATTGTGTTAATGAGAAAAGGTATGATAATGATGAAAATCTTTAATAAAGTAGCCAACGTCACAAAGTTATTTGCAGGTCGATCATCGCTTAAAAAAGGCTAACTGATTAATATACAAAAACAAATTGATACACACAACATATAATTCATGGTTTGAGCATGGCATGGCTTAACATGTGATGGGACATTTGGGTATAGCTCTTTGGTAATGCTTAACCCACATCCTGCTTTGTTTAACCCCAGACATCAGCACTGCACTGATGAGGCCCAGAAGGCCGAAACAGTACTGTCTGCAGTTATAATTCGTAATATAAACTTAATGTTTTACAACCGAAAGCTGGATAAATTGCTAACACGCACTTATTTTCTTAAGGGGAAGCAGTGAAACTAGAGTTTTTGGTGATTTCGTTTACAAGCGAGTTAAAAATTTGGGTCGTCGGAGAAAAAATAATTATTTCTTAAAGTTTGTTCCATGATAGGGTAAACAGTACGACCTGGGAATTTTTGCTATTTTAAGAGTGAGAGTTGATGGTAGTTGAGGTCAAGCTGCTTTAATTTTCATACAGAAGAAATACATTCTTCGGAAAATTATAACAGAACTTTTGTCTGTTTTCTCTTTCCTTTTCTCAGATCAACATTATTACGGGTCATACCTAAGATGAGCAGTACAGCAGTTATTTCCTTTCTTGGTATTGTCTTGGTGTTTGGATCACTGAAGTGTAACGCTAACAAGACAGATCTTTATATTCTCCAGATGGTTGCATCACCCTTTTTAACGACATGATCCCCTGTGAAGGGATGACACTTGCTTACGATGTTGCTAAGAACTCTTCTTCTTTCAAATCCTTCTTTGAAAAGTATGAAATTAAGATGAAATGCCCTGCGACTTGGGTAAGTTCGCAACTCGCTTTATGGGGGCGAGTTTCAAGAAAGGCCGACACCATTTTTACGACATATTAGTCAGAGAGTTACGGCGAACGTGAGTTTTTTTTGTGATATCCAGAATAATCAAGGTCGAAGTAGGGGTTATTAGCCGAAGACCTTGATTATTCTGGATATCACAAAATTGAATCTAATAATTGTTTTATTATACATTGAACGAACAAAAATGGTCACGACAGTACGGTGGAACTGATAATTTATTTCTAAACGTGTAAAAATACCGTAGGTTCTCTCAGTTTTGTCTCTTTCACCTAATCAGCAAACAGCTCCTTTGCCACCTTCGCCGACTTTTTTGTGTTTTGTGAGCCCTTGTCTTCGACTATTTTTCGATGTCTTGCTCGGTCAACGAAGCAAACCTGGAAGTCAATGTTTTTGCCTCTTCAGTGACGGCAAGCAACACAAAGCGGCGAACTTGACGTGATTACGCTTATCATGCACCGCGGTCATACATGACATGATTACCCGTGACCTTGAGTGTCCTCAGTTGACATGATTATTGTATAATCTGCAGCCTGATGACGTCCCAGGCGCTGATTTCGAAAATTCACTGTAAGCTTTCGGCCAATCAGAAAAGAGATAGTGAGTTGAATGTATAATAATTGGAATTATTTCAGCGTGATTTCCGTAAAGAAAAAGGCAAAAAAATTTATATCAAAACTAGGTTTATTCTAGCCTCAAAGGCTAGAGTCAGGGGCACCCAATGAATTAATGTTCCCAAATTCGTGAGAATTGTCTCAAAAAGGTTTTCTCCATGTTTTAGAAGCCTGTTTGGTTAATTGGAAGCTGCCCTAAAAACTGTTTATCTGTTCGGATGTCTAAGTGGAACTCTGGTCGTCTTGAAAGTTTCGTCTCGCATTCGAAACTGTTAGTTACTCTTGTGGGTCCGATCAAAAGTTCAAGGAAATGGATTAGCCCTATTTTCATTAGAAAATTGTAGAGCACATTTTGTCTTTACACAGAAATTTTTAAGGAATAATCGCAACATTGGTATTAAAGTTGTGAAAAACGCAACCTCCGAAAATCCTGGGTACTAAGTCCTTAGAAAAACTCCTAAATATCTTTGACGAATAGAACGGTTATCCAGAAATTTTTGGCTTTTCTCGAGCTTTAGAAATTTCTAGGCAATATTTGCTAATTTGAACATTTATTTAGAGAAAAAGTCGTTGCGGATGCTCCTTTAGAGTACCAAATGCACACTGTAAAATGGAATGCCGATGGAAGAAATGGCTCTCGCCTTTGATGATATTCGCCTCCTGGTTAGCCTGCGTCACAAACGTAATCTAGACCCGGTGAGACTTAACCAGAAGTTTAGTTCCGTCAGTGGCGCAGGTTACCCAAATGAAAACCTTGCCTGCATCTGTAGCAACAGAAGACAGGAGGCAGTTTCACTACCTCGTATTCTGAAGTAACAAAGCTGAGCCACTAATTTTGCAATTCAATTGAAGCGAAGACACGTTAGCTAGAGTTTTAAAAATATGAGCAAATAGCTTGACATATAGTCCCTGTAAGACCTTGAGTGTTGGCCCGGCTGGGAGTAGAACCCTGGCCTACCTCTATAAGCTTGGTACCTAACCAATATTTCGCTCAGTAGTTATTAGTTAATTTTTTTTATTGGCAGGTTGATTCATAGTATTGAATTATTGTTTTATTATTTGCAAAGGGAAATCCCGGGATCGCTGTTCTCAAAATGACAGAAACTGTTCAAGTTCAAGAAACCTACCCGCTGATAGTCCTAGGACCTCACACTTCTAAGGAAGCTAGTGCAGTTTTACAGGTGGTGAATGTTTACAGAAATCTTATGGTAAGTAACAGTCACAATAAAGAAATTCGTAGTATAATATACAAACAGTAGTTACATGGACACAGTTTGATAACGCCTAGATCGTGTTCACAGTGCCCTATTTTTCTGTAAGATCGTCGAGATCGACCGCTTGACTTTACGTTTCTTGGATGAGTGTCAAATCTACTCAAGGGGCAGGGGACGGTTTTTTTCCCGCCTCCCTTCCCCCACCGCCGTAAACCCCGACGCCTCTTCGGTATATGTGAAATCAAGACGGCCGCCCGTACCGGAAATCGCTCGATCCTGACGATGTTACTACAAAAATAGGGGACTATGAACTGAAATCGCCTTGAGAGCCGTATGTTGACAAAAAGAATATTTCGAGCGACCCAATTTTATTTCCCGACCTAAACGAAAGCTGGTTGAGAATAACGATGATAATCGTCATCATCCTCATCATCAAAGGGCCAATATAGTTACAGGCAGCCCAAGCTTACTGTGTGCCAATAATTGATCACGGAGCCTACATTCCTGTAGAAATTGGAAACTTATTGATGAGGGAAAATTTGTTATGAAGTCAGCGTACACCCGTCTAAAAGTCCCCACGTCCATCCTACAGACTTTGGGGATAGGGCAAGAGAGACTCCGCAAGGGAAGGGAAGGGGGAATCCAATTCATGCAGCTACTGGACGTTCCACCTGCTTTTGTGCTATTTTGCTAAAACTGACTTATTTGATGAAGGACTGGGACTCCTTGAACACACAGCTAGAAAATCTCCTTACCTTCAATATCCCTTAAAGCGAAAATCTCCAAGTGCGACAAAGTCAAAGAAAACGTTTGAGAATTGCTTAGTAGAATGGAACGCGTGACCAAACGTTTAAGAGATTAGTATCAGATGAAGCCCGTTAACTGCGCCAAAATAATATCCTTACCTACTCGTCAAAATGGCGTCGAAAACCGTGACAAGGTCAATTGCCAGTCAAGAATTTTGAAGTGTGCTGCCGTTTCTTTTTTTATAAATTTGTGCCCTGAATACAGCTTGAATGAAGTTTGTGCGTCTGTTGCTACCCTTGCCGAAAAAACTATCTAAATATGAAAGAGTTATCGTTTCTTCGACCGACAGGGTCCGGGATCGTAACATTTCAAGATTATAAACTCTCTTCTCGAGGAATTAAAGCATTATCGTTTGTTTCACGATTCAAAACAATCTTCTCACTAAGGGTGGATTTTCACTGTCTCGTAACACGTTCGTACGCACGTATATTTTACGCGGGTAAATAGAATAGAAGCAATGTATGAAGTAGCACGTACCTGTAAACGTAAAAGTTGAGCGAGTTTCAACAACTATAAGGTTTAAGCACGATCTTTCATACCTTGCCTCTAATTTGTCAACGCACGTCGTTTTTACGTGCCTAAACACTTTAAATTTACGCGAAAGTGGAAATCCACCCTAAGAAGTCTAAGGCTTAATTTCCAGTGTCGCGTAATTTTTACTTTCAAAAAAAAAAATAGGGCCAATGCATGAAAAGTCGCTCGCAAACGCAAAACTTGAACCTCGCTCAATTTCTCGTTTAAGCTCAGTACTTTTTACCTTGCCTCTATGTTATTTAGGTGATTAAAATTTACATACGTCAACTTGCGTAGCCAAAAACGCGTCAGTGGAAATCAAACTTAAGAAAGTCAAACAGGTGATGAGGTCGACTGGTTACACGTCACGTTATATCAAAGTTCGAGACCGTAACCTACCGTTTCTGACCACCTTCAGCCCACCCCCCCCCCCCCCCCGAGTTGTAGGCCTATCCACCTGTAAACAAAAACATACAACCGATTATAGCCCCCCTCTCTCTCTGATTATAAGCCACCCGCCGACCTCGATGTTTTGATGGTTAGGGCGCTTTCCATTTGTCAGAGCTGACCGGCCAGCCCATTCCCATCATAATGAGAATTTCACTTATTAATAAATATAGATTTCTTCATGGAAAGTGCTGACATTTACGCAAAAAAATATGCACGCGACAATCCCGAAAGGTAATATGGGATATGATCAATACACTGTTCCTGACGACTGTAGCTGTTGAACCTACTTTTGTTGCTTTCTTTTAGCACTCGCAAACACATTTCCATGGCCTTTCGTGCCAATTCTTTCAAATTTCTTTGAAAAAAAGAGAACTCAAAACCACCCACAATGCCTTTCAGGATTGTCGCGTGCACTTTTCCCGACAACCTTTTTCGAAATAGCTGTATACAAACTGAGATTTTCTTGAAATTCAAGGTGATTTATTAAATCGCTTTTACAAGTATCCATGTAGTTTTGGAAGCTTTCTAAACAACTTAGAAAAAGTGCCTGACAAGTTAAACCAAGGCTTGAAATAGTAAAATAAAATGCTGAGTTGGATTAACTAAGCTCACAGCATGACAATTGATAACAACGAATTAGTTTTTCGTAAGTATTCGTTCAAGAAATATACTGAATAAAAAGGAGGAAAAGCTCGACAAAAGTAAGCACTTAGCTTTTCAACGAAGCTGATTCTTTCTATGTCAAAGGAGAACTGTCGTCGTTGTCTGAAGAGTCAAATACGCGTTTTATTCGTTTACAAGTTTGTTGTTTGTGTGCTTCTGTTGGAGACGAGGACGAGCTGGTATTGATGGTGAAATTTCCTCCGTAAAACACAGCACCCTTGAATAGCCCTGCTGCTGTCGGCGTTGGACTTTCTTTTTTTGTTGTTCGACAAGAGAGTGCGTTTCAGTTTGAAGCATTGAAGTCGAGCCACTCAATATTCTTGACATACTTTTCTGTTGTTCTTGAGAAACATGAATGTAGTTGTTAATACTCTGCACATTTTTGTGTCCTGATAACTGCATTATATGACTAGGAGGAATATCCTTATCATTCAATGTTTGAATCATCCGTTTTCGAGCGCTGTGGTTCGTAAGGTGAGAGTTGTCAAGGCCGGACTTCTCAGCCATTGTTTTCATTAGACTGTTGAGTTTGTTAACTCCCATTGCATTGGCTTTAAACCAACTTTTATTAGAGTTTTTTGTAGTATGATTAACACCAAGACAAAAGGGTGCATCTGGTTTGTTCATGGATTCTGGTCTCTTTTCAGAGTAGATCTTGAAAACAACAACAGGGTCTCGTTGGCGCGGTAAATCTAGAGTCGCGAAAGCTTTAGGTTTGATCGGTCGGACATTACGTGGATCAGCTCCACTTCTGGTTTTAGTTTGTCTTTCAGAAAAATGTAAATATTCAGTGCCATCTGCATCTTTCATGAGCTGAACGTCTCTCTAGCACATTTGCCGATGCTCTCCACATCCTCGTACACCAAAATGCAGTGAATTGAAGAGCCAAAGTGTGTTTATCAATGCTTCTCCGTTTGAAATTCCCAGGAGGTTTTTTTTCGTAGAGAATATTGATCTCATCATCGCGTAGGGCTTCTGCTGCATTAGGTCTATTGCCTTTGCCCTCCTTTTTAAGTTGCTTGTTCTTAGCGGGGCTCCCACGCGCGTTTTGCGCGCGTGGGACAGAGCCCCATACTCAAGGAATATGGTCAACCTCTTTTCGTTTGGTTGTCACGTGATTGACCGAGCTTACGTACGTACGTATTCGTCTACAGATTGTACGGGTGGGGTAGGGAAGACTATCAAAAGGAAGGGAGGGGCTTCTCAGGCGTGTCTTGGCAACTCCACATCTTTAATGTAGGACATTCACAATATGGTCAATTGACAGCTGTCAAAACAGGATAGCCACTGACCAGTATCCCATGACCATATCGTGGGCTCATGTGTCAACTCATGGAGGCGACGTGATTTATTTGGAAGCTGTCCGCTGACCAGTTAATTGTTTTACCAGATCACCAACAATGTTCAGTCTCATACTTTAAGCTCGTTTGGGAGCACAGGAAAACTGGTAATGCACGCATATTGGACATCAATGTTTTGATCAATTGATAGCTGTCAAAACAGGGTACCCGCTGACCAGTATCACTTGACCGTATCGCGGGCTCAGGTGTCGACCCATCAAGGTTAAGTATTTTTTGAAGTTATCCGCTGACAAGTTATTAGCTTTTAAGTGATCGCAGGCTCAAGTTCAATTTTTCTTAAATTCATATGAAATATGTTGTGTTTATGTGCTGCACAATTAAAATTTTGATTGCAAACTGACCTCGGTCGCGAAAATTCATCCAGCTGTTTACAGGCAGGGAAGTCAATTGCTTTTGACTTTTTTCTCTCCGTGGTCACGCGTTGGTCACGCTCTACGTCCAATTTTTATGCTCTGATTGGTCAAAATTTGACAGGTGAGTTCATGCAGAAAATTTATGCAGCATCTTGAATCTTGTTTACTTTGACAGCTGAAGCTGGCAGAGTTTTGTGTCAACTTATGTTGTTTTTAACTGTCTTTTTTTTCCTCTGGATGTACAAAGTGAAATTCAGTTGCTATCAATTTTTTCTTCTGTTATTCATGGCAAGTTTGTTTATTGACTTTTTTGGTTGACTTTTACGTCGCTTGTCAAAGTCGGACTTTCTACGGAGCCCACTTTAAGTGCCATTCAAATTTTGCGCTCAATTTTTTTCTGTCTCGACTTTTTTTTTTTCTCGCTTTTTTAAGTTTTTTTTCCCGACTTTTTTTCTCGACTTATTTTCGACTTTTTCTCGACTTTTTTCTCGACTTTTTCTCGACTTTTTCTCGACTTTTTCTCGACTTTTTTCCCACTTTTTTCTCGATTTTTTTCCCGACTTTTTTCTCGACTTTCTTCTCGACTTTTTTCTCGACTTTTTTCCCGACTTATTTCTCGACTTTTTTCTCGACTTTTTTCCCGACCTTTTTCTCGACTTTTTTCTCGACTTTTTTCCCAACTTTTTTCCCGACTTATTTCTCGACTTTTTTCCCGACTTTTTTCCCGACCTTTTTCTCGACTTTTTTCTCGACTTTTTTCCCGACTATTTTCTCGACTTAAATCTCGACTTTTTTCCCAACTTTTTTCTCGACTTTTTTTCCGACTTTTCCCCCTGACTTTGGAGTAAATCCGCTGACATTTAAGCGCAAACAAAATGGCCGCAAGAATTTTTCGTTATACGATGTTGCTGTCTATAGTAATTCCCTCTACATGTGTTCTGCCAGGCTATTTCTCTCTCCCAGCACATGCAGAACGTGACGACATAATCGACCACTTCTTTCATCTAGGTCTGGGTTACAGCGAGATCTTGATGTGTTTGTTTCTTTTGCACGGCATTTGCTTAAGTATTCGTCAACTAAAGCGAATACTGAGATGTCGTGGTCTTGGAAGAAGAGCTAATAGGACTGATCCACGGCAGGTTTGCGAAGCCGGAGGAGGAACTACGAGGCAGTGGTAGCACTATTGGGTATAGGCAAATGACTCAGAGGCTGGTAGTTGATCACGGGCTAGTTGTTGGCAAAGAGACAGTTAGAGAATTGATGAAGATAATAAAAAATCAGTACGACCCACTTGTAATTTTTTTTCGTACTGTAATCTTAGTAACGGAAGTTACAACCCTAACTGTTCACCCTAAATCCTGCTATTGTGAGAGGGAATTTCTTTCCACAGGCTTTTGCTCTTCATTTTCTGTATTGCGTATCAAAAAGAGCAAACTTAAGTAATATTTACCCGATGTAAATCATTCGCAGTATTTATTTCTAGGCCACTTGTGATCTGCTCTCAGATCGGTAACGGAAGTTTCATAAAAATAGCGGACACCAGTTCACTGTAGTTAAATGCAACAAAACTGACCTGCAGTGAGAAATGATCATGTAGGACTTTAGTTTAGGTCCCTTCCGAGACATTGGATTGATTAGTTTCCATAGTATAAGGCGACAAACACAAATATACCGTAACCTTCTATACCCACCCTCTCTGTGGACATAGCAAAATTGCATTTTTTGGACACTTTTGGCCTTGATTCCCTCAAACTTACTGTCTACAGGAGCACAAAGGGGTACTGTTGCTATTTATTTGGGCATATTTTAAGTATTTTTCAGCGAAATGATTATAGGAAAACAATTTGAGTCCCCAAAACTTGCCATGGACACCAAAAAATGGTAATTTACCCACTTAACGTGGAATGAGTGGTTGTTCCTATTCCCCACGTGCCGAAATGAACCATTGACGCATGCGTATGTGATCAGTGGTGGAAAAAAAAGTCGGGAAAAAAGTCGAGAAAAAAGTCGAGAAAATAGTCGGGAAAAAAGTCGAGAAAAACGTCGGGAAAAAAGTCGAGAAAAAAGTCGAGAAAAAAGTCGGGAAAAAAGTCGGGAAAAAAGTCGAGAAAAAAGTCGGGAAAAAAGTCGAGAAAAAAGTCGGGAAAAAAGTCGAGAAAAAAGTCGGGAAAAAAGTCGGGAAAAAAGTCGAGAAAAAAGTCGAGAAAAAAGTCGGGAAAAAAACTTAAAGGCGAGAAAAAAGTCGAGACAGAAAAAATTGAGCACAAAATTTGAATGGCACTTACTGGGCTCCGTAGAAATCCGATTTTGGATGCCATCGTTTTCGTTTTCACCTTGCTTGATACGTAAGAGGGTTTCAAAGTCTGAAGCGATACTGGCCTTACTTGATACCTTTCAGGAGCTGCATCTCGAATGGTAAGCCAGAGTAATTATTGTATTTGATGTTTGTTTTTTGTATCTAATTTAATGAAGTCAAGCGTAGTTTATGCGGGTATTTAGTTTATGCACGTTTGTAAGATTTGAGTCAATGATCTGACCGAGTATCAGATTTGATATAAGCTTACAGAACTTTAAAAAGCCTTTAGACATTTTCTCACAGCAAATAGAATGAAAACGTTCCAAAGAATATTTAGTTATAAATATGGCTGTAAAAGAAAGCTTTGAGCGATTTTCTTGCCTCGAGTTCGTCTTTGAAAAAAGCAAACACCGAGAAGCCAGCCTAAAACAAGCACGCTGTGGCTATATGGCCGGTAACCGGTCAAGGTTTTCAAAACACTAAATGCCCGGCAGTCCTATATTATCAGTAAATTTCACAAAATCGAAAGATTCTAGCTAATCTAAATTATCATATGCCGATTACGATAAGTCAAGCGATCCTAAAATGCTTTATAGATCTCAAGTCTAGTGTTTGGTTTACGCTGGGCTCAGAAGACGAAACCGTGTTTTGTGGCACTTAGAACTTTTTTCAGCTCGACTCCCGGCCAAAGTTTTCAAAACACTAAACGGCCGGCAGTCCTATATTCGCAGTAAATTTCGCAGTCCACTCAGTGGCAAAGAGCGAATACTGAAACGCAAAGTTAAGATTACCTTGTACAAAAAAGCTTTTTTGTTTCATCATAACGTCGACAAGATGATGTTGAAGTGTATTTCAGCTCCAGAAGGGAACTAACGCGTAGAGACTTTTCCCGCCGGTTTTCCGCGTAGGTCGCATGAAGGGTCAAGATGTTATGACGTCAAACGTCGCCTGTCACGCCATATTGGACAGAAAATAGTAACGAAAATAGTAACTAAATATTCTAAAGGTTTAAACCTTTATATAGACTATATAGAGAGAAAACCGTTTACATAAAAACCCATAAAAGGGCCATAAATCGGCCCGTGGACCACAGGAGAGACGTAACACAAATTTTAAGTAAGGCAAGCTTTTTTTTATTGAAATCCTTTCATTTCGTAGGCTACAGAAACGATAGGTTTTTTTCCCATACAAATCCTTATATTTTGAATGTTATGCAACAATGCCGATGCTCGCCGATGCTCATACTTCCAGTTTGGGCTACCTGTGTCGAGACCAACAAAAACATGATATAGAAATCCCACAAAACCGGCTCGTTTGATCAGGATCACGACTTATGATAGTTCAGAACGGCTGAATTTTTTCTATTTGTGAAATTTACTGAGAATATGGGACTGCCGGCCATTTAGTGTTTTGAAAACCTTGACCGGCAGTCGAGCTGACCACGGTTTCGTCTTCTGAGCCCAGCGTAAACCAAACGCCAGACTTGAGACCTATAAAGCATTTCAGGATCGCTTGACCTGTCTTAATCGACATATGATAGTTTAGATTAGCTAGAATCTTGCGATTTTGTGAAATTTACTGAGAATATAGGACTGCCGGCCATTTAGTGTTTTCAAAACCTTGACCGGCAGTCTTTGTAGAAAAAAAAGTTTAAGTGTCACCATAGTTAATTCAGTGGAATGGTTATGAAACCCGTCAGACTAAACGAAGAAGACGAAACCGTGTTTTGTGACACCATAGTTATTAGAGGAGACTGGTTATGAAAAGCGGCAAACATCAATGATAAAAACAACAGCGCTGCAGTTTATGTTGGAAGTACCGTGAAAGTGCACAATCCTTTGTTTTCTGTTGGCAAATTGTTAGGGAATAAATTAATGCAACGTTTTTATTGGTCAATACAATCAAAATGATAGGAATTCTTTTGAACGTTGTGCACTTTCAGGTCCACAAAAACCTATAACAAAGGAGTCTGACGGGTTTCAAAACCATTCCACTCAATTAACTATGTTTTGGTACACAAAGTTTTCTCGCTATGGAGGTTTGCAAGCAAAGAACTGAAATCTGTGGTATGTTTTGACAAGTCTCCCCTGATTGGACGAAACGCTTTATGCACGTGTGAGAAAGCTATTGCGCTGCTGTGATTGGCTATCAGAATTTTTTAAGCGGTTTTCTTATGAAGAAAACTTTTTGTATTATAAAGTAAATCTCAGTATTGTCGTGAATGCTAACGCAGAAACTTCAGGATTTCACAGTTTCAAGGGTTTATTCCAGATAGGAAAAGTTCACTGCCAAAGGTACACACGAAATCTAAACCAAACTAACTAAAGAATTAAGACAACATGCTTAAAAACAAGGTACATTGCGATCACTACCACGACAATTTTAAGTGCCATCTTAATTGTCACGCAATGTTATAATCTCACACAGTATGTATATAATTTAATCAACACTAACCATCCAGATCAGTTAAATCCTAAACATTATAAACAAAGGAGATGGTTTTTCAGCAAAACCTCTTGGAAAACGCCTATTTCATTGCCAAAATGCCTGGTCTGGCCATGGTCCGGCCGGCAAGTTCTGGCTTGTGGAAAGCGCCCCTAAAAACTGGCTGTAAATGCAAAACGTATTTTGATCAATACTTCTATGGCCTGTTTCCAAACTCTTTTAAGCCTTCTCGGGTATAAGCCTTGAGAAATCCCCTTGCGAAGTTGTGTGAACTCTGAGGGCTCATAAGCGGCAATTTACGATTTTCTATGAAATGTTGGTAAACGTAGCTGTTAAATACCAACCGCTCACAACAAAACATCGTGCTTGATTAGATGACGCTTATGACGCAGTCGAACGCATCTCCTGGGCCCGGTTCCTGAAAGACCGATTAGCGTTAACCCAGAATTAAAATTTTGTTCCGTTTTTGTATTTTACATTCCTATGCATTGCTTAGGGTAACATTTTGCGTTATCATTACTGTATGTCGAATTAAAGGCCCAACAGTATTTTGTAACCTGGAGTTACATGTTCTTAGACGAGAAAACCGTGCTTGAAATTTGGCTTAATCCTGGATTAAACTTAACCGTCTTTTGAGGAAGCGGGCCCTGATGAACACTAGCAACACACCTGCCACCTCACACGTATTATGTTTGTGTCGGATAACTGACCACCTACCCGTCCCGTAAGTCGCAATTTGTCCTAAGTGAGAAGGAAGTGTTAGTGTTGACTTAGGGGAGGGGTAGGTGGTCACCTTTGTGTCACACGCCTGCGGAACGATCACACGAATAACGCACAACCCCCCAAAACGACCGAATAGGTTATAGGTAAGTTAAGTATGATCGTCCGGGTGAACGTAGTCCTGAACAGGACTGTTGTTGTTGACAGTGACTGACTTTTCGACAACCTGTGCGGTAGTCATCCGTTCAGATTCAAAATTGAATTGTATCACGTCAGTTGATGATATTTTATCTGGTTATTGACCTGATTGGTCAATTAAGTCGCGATATTATCGGCGTCTGTAATGACTCGTAATGTCATTGTCGCGTTTTGATCCGTCTATTGTCGTAGTTACTGAAACAGTTGTTTATTGTTAGTCAAATTGTCAGTTGTCCAGTCATTCTGCCCTAGTTAGTTTTGCTTGAGTCCGTCAATAAGTCGTTTGTATTTGTACGGTGCTGGTAACTGTTGACTAGGATTCAGTGGCGTTTGTTGTAAGTTAGTAAATCACTTTCTAAAGTGATTCGTTAATAGTAGTATGTAGAATACGTAATATATGTCGCAGAGTCCCAGTCGATTTGATGTTTCTTCTGTAAATGGTGTTCAGCAATATGATTGTTGTCGTCACCTTTTCTTGTCGCTCGCTTGTGATCAGTTAGTCACCAGTTAAGGTTTCTGCAGGTTTCACCGATGAAATTGGCCTGGCCATCGCAGCATTTGAACTTGTATACTGCTCCCACTCAGCCCTCTGGTTTGTCTTTGTCCTTAAAATTAGTTAGTAGCCGTCTTAAAGTGGTTATCGGTTTGTGCACAACACGTATGTTGTAGGGTTGTTGTATACGTTCGATAGTTTCAAAGGTGCCTCTGATCTACGGCATTGTCGCTGCAGTAACAGGGCCAATACTCAGACCAACGTTAACTCTGGCATCGTGGGACAAACGATATCATTAACCATTAACAATATTAATAACCTTTATTATTGGTAACATATGATTGCTTTTGAATTAACATATGGTTGTTTCTCCTTGAAACAGATAACAATTTTCGAAACAACAGTTAAACTGGCAGAGCTAGTGACTGATTCTTTTGCCTTCACATTTTTACCAACTGCGTTTTCATTTAATCCGCCCGTGATCAAATTTATGAACTTTTTCAAGTGGGAGAGAGCTGCTGTTGTGTATGATTTCTTGACAGATGAAGGGGCTAAAGTTAAGGTTAGTATTCTGTCAATTTATGGCACAGGGCAAAATGATGACAATTCACTTTTTCATATCAGGAATTGAAAAGATAAAAGCCGTGCAAAATGATCCCCATGCATGAACCTGAATTAAATGTACTTATTTTCTTATGTAGAAATAGTGATAACTAAACGACTAGTAATTGGAAAACTTTGCTCAATGCGATGGTACAAATGGACGTTTGCCTTTTTCCCACTAAAGAAGTCAGTCTAAGTCTGTCTTTATTATGACTGATGCTGGAAGTGGGCGAAGTGAAGCGAGTGCTGTGTTCTGATTGGCCAATTGCTGACCAAATCGGTTCTGTCAGCAAGGCTGGAAATGGGACTCGTTCTCTGAGTGTTTTAATGCACCTCGATTTTACATCCTAGCATTTTATTTACTTCCTAGTAAGCTTTAGCTTTTTAGGTGTTCCGGTCATTAACTACGTGTATAAGGCACCCTTTCTTATCTTGGGATACTGGATTACGTATATTTAAAATTGCATTTGCTGCATCGCAAGTTCCAAGACCGTTGGGGGTGTGAACAAAGTAAAGTTATGTTGATAGTGGCCTTAGCTCGTACGAGTCTCCTATAGCTGATATAGTGGTAGAGCATCTGGACTGGTAACCAGAAGGTCATTGCTTAATTCAACTCCTACAGGAAAGAGAAGTGATGACGTCACAAAACTAAATTTGTGAAATTATGGGATAGGTTGGCATATCCAGAGCCAACAAAATGAGGCCCTCTTGGTAAAAAGCAGCCTTTTTTACTCCCCACCAGTTTGCTTTAAAAAGGTGGGGAGTAAGTATCCCGTACTTTGCGCATGCGCAATTCGTTCGATAGTACCATGTGCTTGGTCGGACATGCTTCTGCTGCCTGTTGCATTTTACTGTTCAAATTCGCCTACTAAATACGTGAAAGCCTAGTACATTACAAACTCCATATAAATCCTTCTAAAACTAGACCTCCATCGTAAGCGTTACGATCCAGGCTAATTTTACAATGATTTGTATGATGTCACCAGAGCATAACGGTACTTATGTCTCAACACAAAGGGGAAATTTCTCATATTTTTCTTTCAGAATATGTCAACCAATCCAGTAATTTCGCAAATTTATATTTTGTAACGTCACCCTTCTCTTCGCTATTGCAAGTACTCCAATGTTTTCTTCCTTGCCGCCTGACTGACCGCCGCGCTGAATGCATAAATAAACATCTTTCCTCAAAATTCTACGAGTCCCCTTTGTTTTCGGCCTTAAAATGGTACCAATTTTCTACTGCATTCCCCTTTAAAAGGAATCCGGTTTACGAACTTTTGCTGTACGCACCTTTTACACACCTCCTCCGTAAATTGTGATGAGTTTTCCCCTTATGCTATTCACACTTTTTCACCCTTCTTGCTTGTCCTAATGACTTTTAATTATTTTATGTTTTAAGGTTGTGGAAGATCTTGCCACGACAGCTTCTTCGAACCTCACTTCACCTCGCGTTAACCTGACGTTTGAACCAATTAACCCACAGCAAAACTTAGCCGAGGGAGGAGTGTTTGAATCTATTAAGAACAGTCTGCAAAGCCTAAGGGTAATTGATCTTGTTTTTTGCTCCTATAACAACAACAATAATAATAATAATAATAAGGTGACTCACTGTGGAATCCAAAGGAGTGCAGTGTTATCCAGGTCAGGAAGGGCAAGCAAGTTGAAGATGCAGCAGACCTCAAGCTGGGCAAGACGGCTTTGGTGGAGAACCTCAAGACTGGGGCCGAGAACATTTTCCTTAGTGTGAGGGTCGTTCATGCAAGTCTGTAGAACGAGAGTAAAAATTAATTAATATCAAGGCGGCTATGGAGCTACATGTATATGAGAATCCAGACCGGATGATGAGAATTGTGCAGATATTTGAAGGGATTCTCCTCACTTGTGAAGGACACACACAATTTAGTTTGGGAACTAGGGACTAGTCTGAATTTAGCCACTCCCTAACCATCGTGTAGCACGCAACAGAGGATCAGAGGACATCCGGTGAGACAATATCTTACGAAAGCTGTGGGAGAGAATGTTAAGGAGAGATAGCAAGGACGTCTGCTGTGGGCCAGATGGGAAGACGACCTGCTGCGTGAACAGGGCCGTTTTGTCTGGTTGAGTGGGTGGGCGTGCGCCCCTACTCCTGCTATCGAAGGGGTTATGGAACTTTACGAGTAGCTCTTACTACTTCTTACTTCTGGTTGACGCCTAAAAGAGGACAGGAAGAAGACTGACACCAAAAGGCTCTAGCGATCTCTCATGCAACTTTCAACACCTCTTACGTTCTCCAGCCCAGTATCCCTCAATAGTATGTTAATATATGTAGTTGAAGGACATCATCTTTTTGCGATCCCATGAGTGGGCACTCATGTTATCAGGTGTTGCACTAAAGAACATGCTCAGAAAGAGCAATCCTTATATTAGGTAGAGGTCACCTTTTTTTAGACTACCACAAAGCTCGCGATTTTAACCTTATTCTTTTAAGGTGTGTTTATCACCATTTGTAGCATACTTGTATAAGTTCAACCCAGGCTTCTCTCTTTGTCAAAGAGCAAGTGTCACTCCTGTAAAGGAGAATTGTCTCCTTGGTTGCTCTGAATAACTTCCGCCTTTTTTCTCTGCAAAGTCACTCTTCCAAATGTTGTTCACTTTGTTTAGTGATTGCCAGGCCAGTGCTGTGCGGACTTTTTTATGTCTCTTTCCTTTGAACATGTACAGCTGCCCAGGTATTTGCGGCTTGCTCCCCTGTCTCTTCCACAACTGTTTGTTTACTTTTTTTACCATCAATTGTCTCTATTTCTACACTTTCAAGGTTGATATACATAACTTTGGTCTTTATTGCATTCTATATTCTCATTGCGTAAAAGCTGCCAGGCTTGCCTAATCTCGCCAGACAGAAGAACAATGTCATCAGCGTAATTCAAGCCACTCCTCTTTTCCTTGTGTGGCTTGCCACTTTGCATGATCAACCGCAATGACAAATAAATATGGTGCCAAAGTCACCAAGCATAACTCAGGAAAATATCACCCCAGTTAAAAATAATCTGTTTCACCGTCAGGGGATAGAGCCTTCCCTTTGATGTTGCTACATTTTAGCATGATTGCATTCGTGATTCTCTCTGGGATGTTGAACATCGCTTGATGGTTAATGGAGACGAATGCTTTACTAAAGTCAATAAGGACCATAATTGATGGTAGATGGTAATTCTTGACTCTTTCAAGGATACCTCACAATGTCAGCACCTGCGTAATGGTAGATCGACCCGGGCGAAAGCCATTCTGGTTATATCGCAGAGATGGATCTATTTTTGGGCGTATTCGATTTAATGGCACTCTGTTTATTAGGTTGGCGACTATCGATGAGTAAGCTGATACCTCTGTCGTCGATGTCACAGCGTTTCAGTATCTCAGGCTCTCCAGGTGCTTTACCTTGGCTTATCTGCTTCTTAGCATTGAGCACTTCCCACACTGTGAATTCAGTCTCTGTTACTCCAAGGTTGTGCAGAACAGGATGAACATTATACAGGGTTGTGTCTTCAGCAGGGGTTCCAGCAGTGAGCAGAAGCCTACCCGAGTTAACGGACAGAGACCGGTACGTCAGACCAAATTAACACCATGTGGAGAATGTGTGGGTAAGGTACTAGAAAGCTTTGCTCAAGTTTTGGCACGCTGTTGATCACTGGCGCAGACTAAGTACATGACCTGGCATAATGCTGCACTAATAGAGCTCTACTTTGACGGAAATGCTAAGGGACCTCAAGCTTGCCGACTCTTCTCCTCCTTGGTACTCACGAGTGGAGCTCAGCCCGTTGTACCTGTCAGACGACGCTCATGCATACTGAGATGTTCCTGTTTATGCAGAGCACACACAAAAAAGTGCAAATTGCTTAGATTTGACCCTGAAGCATAGTATCCTATTGTTATGCATTTCCCATCGGCAATTGGAAGTTCACATCATTATTCTAAATTGATGATGTTATGCGCACAGCCGGAAATACCTCTGTGCGCGTAGACTTGGATGTACATTTCTTAACCAATTATCAAATATGTTTTCATTGATCAGGACAGAGACTATAAAATCTTCATCGGAGAATTTGCTGACAGAGCAGCCGCCTTGGTTTTTTGTGAGGTAAGAAAAGTGGAACTAGATAATTGTTCCCGTAAAAAAGTGAACTGGTGGTATGAAGCGTGTGTGGATATCTGGTGGTGGTGTTGTTGGTGGTGTGTGTGTGGAGGTTCCGCCCAAAAGAGGTACCTTTTTCAGGTTTCAGTTGTGTGAAAGGGCACGGATTTCACCAGTTGAGGTATATGAAAGCGTAGGAAAGTAGGTCCTTAGATGATCTAAAAGGACTAAGAGATGCATTTTATGGCTATGAAAAAAGTCGAGAAAGCGTTCTGGCTTTGTGATTTATTCATACTTTGAATACAGTGCCTTTACAGTAGTAAAAGGGGATGCAAAGTTCTAACCTAGGTATGTGAAGAAGGGGTAATTAATGTCAACTTCTTTACACAATTTGAGTTACTGTAGTTTCTTTTTGGCTGTCTGTAGAATCGTACCTTGTAGCACTCAATAAAGCTTGAAAGGTACGGCTAAATTGGTATAATTTAGACCGTTTAAATTTTAATTTTCCGACAATTATCCCGGCCAATTTTACCCGTAAGTCGCCCTTCAGGAAATTTAACAGCCATGACCAGGAGCGCATCACCCAAGAGAGTCCATTGTAAAAATATCCTGGGATAAGGATTCTTGGTGGAGAAAAAAGGCGAAAACCGTATTTACTCGATTAAACAACGAAAATTGGATCAAAATTGCTCTCAAATGAATGCTACATCAATCATAAGAATGCAGCGTTTATTCGAGGATTATAGAAAAATCTTTACAATTTTGGGACCGATACACCTTTGGGACGATAATAAGGGTGTTTTCTATTTGTCAGAACTGGCCGGCCGGACCATTGCCAGACCAGTCATTTTGACAATGAAATCGGCCTTTTCCAAGAATTTTTGCTGAAAAACCATCTCCTTTCCGACACTATAATTTAGGATTTGACTGATCTGGCTGGATAGTTTTGGTTAACAGTCAAATTCTCATTATGACAGGAAGGGTCTGACCGGTCAGTTCTGACAAATAGAAAGCGCCCGCCGAAGTATCCGCCCTAGAGAGAGATGGCCCTCTAACAGAGAGTCAAATGAAAGGAGTGAAAAAAGGAAGATACATCTCCAACTTTAAGATTATTTTTCTCTAGGTTTCCGTTTTACAGAGGTGTCGGTCTTATAGAGGTACGTGTCCGTTAAGAGACAGTCGACTGTATATGGTATTCTACATCATTAAGCTATCTCGATTCTATCTCAGAAAAAGAACGACGCATGAAAACTCTTTACATCTTTTTGTCTTAAATAATATTTACAAATGATGTTTTATAGTGGACTCTCTCTGAACGGACACCTCCATAAGACGGACACCTCCGTAATACGGACACCTAGAGTTGGTGCCTACCTTTCTTTACTCCTTTTATTTGACTCTCTATAACAGGGCTATAACACAAAACTTGTGATAGCAACTCCAATGAAAGCGGGATAACTTATAATTTCTAGTATTGCGTTGCCTCGTTTATAATAGAGTATACGTGTATTATGCCTAGGGCGTTAACTAAGTATTGCACCATGACATAGGCGTGAAAACCTACAAAATGTTTCTAGAAAGATTGATATAATCACGTTCTATAACCTAAAAATACAAAACTGTCTTAAAGCAACTAAAAAATATTATTAAACAAATGAAAAAAAGAACGTTTCAAAACTAACACTTACAAGTACAGACTACCTGCAATTGGCAAAGCTAATCGGGGCAGGTAGTATGGAGACGTATCACTTAAACGTAATTTACAATCAGTTGATACAAAGGGATTTTACTGAATCAGGCATTAGAAATTCGAAAATCTTCCGTCATTAACTGGGAGCGTAAAGAGACACGTCCTGTCAGCACACGCACATGAGCAAGACAGACAAGCAGTCCCAAAGGTGATCGTCTAAGAGAGAGTTGACTACATCGTCATTTTGTTGTCTGTGATTTAAGACTTTTAATATAAACGACAACCTCGAAAAAACGCTCAGGCGTTTAATCGGTAACGTTGACGGTAACGGGGTCCCCGCTCTGTTGGCCTCTTTCGTACCTAGCCCGTTATTCGATTTCGTTTTTCTCACCAACGGGCCTTGTCCCAGGCTATCTGAAAAATGGTACCTTAACGCAGTTTTTCTAGTATTATTAGGGAGTTTAAGATACTACGACGGCGACAGCGGCAAATACCTCACTCAAAAATTGACTTCTCGATCTATGAAACTTTAGCGCGATTAACCCCAACTCGGTCACTATGTTTTATATAGGCGAACTCTCCCGGAGTTGAATTCTTAAGAAAAATATCCAAGTTTAAAAAGAGTAAGAGAGATTCGTCGTCGTATGTTCACGTTGTCGATGAAACGTGAAATTAGGCAATTCACGTCGTAGTCGTGCAGTGACGGAAAAGAAATGTACAAAAAGGCGTGATTCAAGGGCAGAGTTGTTGTTTTGCTAATCTTCACCAATTGCTCTTTGACGTTCTCGTTGACGAGCCTCCCTGCCGCCCCACTAAAATATATACCTTTCTGACTCTTTTTTTAAGACAATCACCCAGACTGACGAGCCTTCGATCGAGCCACCGAGCCACTTGTATGTCTCATATCTCTCTCGTTCTTTAAATACTTGTCATGACTAACGAGCCACCGAGTCGCTTCTGTTTAAGACCTTAAAGACCTGAAAATATGGCAATGTATTTTCCTGCAAGCCTCAGACTGCTCAGATTCATGTGTGGTAATGGGCATGTACTGAGGAATAAACGATTTTTTTTCTGATAGTTGTATAAAATGGGAATGTACGGACCAGAGTTTGTTTGGATTTTAAACCCGAATGCTGGAACCATAGATGATTGGCTCGATCTTGCCGACAAAGCGAAAGAAAAGATACAAAAAGAGAATCAGGAACAGATATGCAACAAGACGCAATACCAGAAAGCTTTAAATAGAGCATTCACATTTAAGGCACTCATGATAAGGGAGGACGACAACTTCACTACCTCATCAAATCTGGTAAGACTAATATTTCTTTTCGTGAACGCAGCTCCTTCAGTAGATCTGATATTAATAGTATATTTACTAGGGTATCTAAAAGATAGTAATGCTGCGGCACATTCTGTTGATACTGGCATTAGTTAGGCAGTGAGACTTAAAAGAATCAAAAATGACATTGAATGTCCTATTTACATGTTGGAAAGTACTAGAATAATTAATATCAGTCTATAGAAAGAACTCGTGGGAACGTTGTTTAGAAAATGATCAAGTGGTTATCAACTCTGGTTTTCCCACAGTAAATTGTTGGAAATAATAGAAATTCAGATTGTTTATCCATATATTTAATATACGGTGCACGATAATTTCTCTGGAAACACAATACTTTTCTTGCTGTTGTTGCACTTTATTAAGTAACAGTTATTTAGCTATATATTTATAGAAAACAACAACACAAAAAACGGAAAAAAAGAAAGTAGGAATAAATAATTCAGTAGGATTCGAACCCAACACCTTCGACTGGACGCGACTACACCTAACCACTACACCACAGTGGCTGATCACGTAATCGTTAGGAAAAGTCTTTCATTTCATTCCTTTTCCATGAAACTTCCGCCGGCAAGATGATCGCCAGTCGCATTAACCGAGCTATTAACAGTGAAAAAACAATGTAAACGCATATTCCATGGCAATGAATGAATGAAAGAACATATTTATGCTTTTCAAAACGCCGATACACGTCCTTGTCTGCAAAGTAGGTCACAAAACATATGTTTTGTTATCTCGATTTCCGCTGTTATTTTGAAGCGAATGGTCAAAATCACATCTATTTTCGGCTCATACAGTTTCTTGAGAATAGCATTGCATGACATTTTCTCACTTTCACATCACCTTCTAGCAAGCTGGAATTTGTATATCCCCCGTGTTGCGGAGTCGAAGAGCAAATGCTCATCTTCTCGTCAGGTTTAACACCTGGACGAGTCAAACGCTCTTGAATTGAAATCCAATCCCCAAGTTAACCATCGTACTCATCTGAAAGACTCCTGCGTGTCTTAAAATTTGGTAAGACCTCTAACCGTCCTGTAGAAAATTTGCCACAAAGAAAACTCTAAGTCTGAGCAGCGAACGATGCACTCCCCCACCGACCTTCCCCGTGTTTTTATTTGAGTAGTTCGTGGCGCAATGCACTCTGGTTAAATGCAATGCATTGTCGTAAAAAGTGTGGTTAAATGCAATGCATTGTGGTAAAAAGTGATGAATTCGAGAATTCGTCGCCCCTTATATATTTCCTTTAAATCCTGATTATGTTGCTGCTCGCTCCCTTCGGTAGCTCCGCAGCAACAAGCGTTGAAGTAAGCTTCCAGGTTATTTGTTATGATCCAAATTCACAGTAATTTCGATGGCTTCAACTAAAATTCTTCTGTTCAGTGGAGCAGAGTAAAATCCTATAATCCTGATGAGTTTTCAGTTTTGAAAGTCTTCATTTTTTTCTTCCATTCACTCTGCTCGAGTGGCCAAAAATGTGACCGAGTTTTGATGGGGTTTGAGATATGTGAAAAGCGGAAATCGCTTGTTTGTTTCCGGTTTGTTTTAACAAAGTTAAGTTAGGAAGTTTTACGCCCTGGGTACCAGAGATTGGCGACCATTTGAAAGATAGGTATTTGGCAAGAAATGAGCTAATTTTAATTTGTCGTACTTCCATTTGCAGACGGTATCTGAGGCATTTTCAAGACTGGGCATAAATGATCGATCGAGCGATAAAACGAAAAACCTTGCCACAACTTCGTTTGATGCTATGTGGGGCACCATGCTAGCCATAAAAGAAGCTAGTGAAACAAAAAACGTTTCTGATAAATTGGGAAAGAACACGGACTATACAGAAAATCAGGAAGTGTCTAATTTTCTGGTGAAAAAACTTACAGAGTTGAACTTTCAAGGACTAACGGTACGTTTTACTTTTTACTGTTTTATTTTCTATTTTGTGAGAAAGGCGTGGGAAAGATGATTGAACTTAACTTGCCCCAAATTATTTTTGTCATGATTTTTGGTCGGTAATTCTGCTATTTCGCCTTCGCATAGCCGTGAACTCTTTGGCATTCTCTTAAGTTCTACACTCGTAGCAAAACAGCTAAGCTGCCAAGTCGCTTTCTTGCGAGACGTCAATGACGGTATAATCAAACATTTCAGTGACGTTTCAGGAGTGACTGTTGTTAGTAATCTATAAATCTAAGAATCTTCTGTATTCTATCTTCACTTCTCTTTGGTCTTTGAATGAATAATAATAACAATCAGCTAACGTGAACTAATATCTGAAAGACCATCCCGTCTAAATGGCATATTTGAGGAGTTAGGTCTCATTTCATTTTACCTCTAACGCATTACTTTCCTAGAGTGTCCCTCCCGCAGTAGAACCAGGGTTTTTTAACATGGCCTTTTGGTGATCAGTGCATTCCTTCATTGAAGAGGAAAAAAAGACCTTAACCTTCAGGGGCCTGTGACAGTTGTAACCGCCACTCGACCAGCCCTTTGAGAGAACACTCGAAGAGTCAAAATGCTGTAAACGAGAAATGTAAAATCGTGCAGCGCCCGTGAAATAGACAATGCGATTTGTGACTATTTCTAACTACTTACATAGCCCTAGTGGCAAAACAACTATTTGAACGGATCTATCTTCAAGGTATTCTGCAGTGTCCTGGCCCCGTCGTCAATTCAAAGCCTCGTGGCTATAAAATTTACAAGAATGAAATATATTAGTATGTTACATATTTTATTGATTTCCAGGGCCCAGTGTCTTTCAACCCAGACAAAAGGAGAAGAGACGTTATTATTGTTCTACAGCAATACCGAGGTATAAATTATAATAAATTTACGGTATACTCATTTTCTAAACTGTATGCAAGAATTAAAAGTAATGCCCGGTTCATAAACCGGACTTTTCATGATCCGAACCTAAAACAAAGTACAGTCGAACCTCCACGTGCGACCACCTCCCGTAGGCTACCACCTCCCATAAGCGACCACCTTCCCAAAACACCAAAAATATTCTCAGTCAAAGCCTTATACTGGAATCTCTCGTAAACGACCACCTCCCGTAAGCGATCGCGGCCACTTTTTCGGCTGATAGTTTAGAATTGTCTATTGTTTTCAACCTCCGGTAAGCGACAACTAGGCACATGGTCTTACATTGTAAAAATGGGCAAAAAGGAATTTATTCTTTGGCTGTCATTATTGTCTACACATCTATTACTGTGTTCATTAGTTCGATCTATAACTACAGTACTACCATCACCCTTGAGAAAAAGACCCAGATTTCCAGGTTTCAGTAAAAGAAGTTAAGTTTTTGTTCGTCAGACGTTCCAGAGGCATTTCTTTACAAGAAGTCACGTACACAACCAAGACTTTGTAACCTCAAATTTGTAGCGCGTAATCTAATTAAATGCACTTCCGTAAATGAGCTGTCACGTAGAATAGCTAATAATTTTGACAATAAAACTACCAGTAATTGGCAGTGGAAAGTAAACTTTCATTATTTTTTTAGAATAAATGTAACACTCTATTCGGCTAGGTTGAATTAAAAATTTCGCCCCCGCGGTCATCCAACTCTCATAAGCGACCACCAAGCTTAACCTCTAAGTCCCAATATCAACATACAAATTCTCCAAACTGATCCTCATACAATTCCTTTAACAATTAGTTGAGAGAATTTAATAAAAGATCAAAGCATTTTCTCTTTGGTGATCATTTGTTTATTCTCATAACCTAATCTCTTGACAATGTATAGATATTGTTAGGAGAAAATTGATGTTGGTCACCATTGGGCCTAAAGGGTTAAGCCTTTGCAATTTGGGCGGTCGCTCGCTTACGAACTTGGGGCCCGTTTCTCGAAAGGCCAGGTAACTTTTCTGGCCCCAAATTATATATTCAAATCAAAATGTAAAGAATAAAAGCGCGGGATCTAGCTGACAAACCAGTTCTTTTTGTTTTGTTAACAAATAGTTTTATCATGTTTATCTGCAAAACTATTGAAACCTCGATCTTGAATGTAAACAGCAACAACCTTCCGGGCCCGTTAATTATTGGGACTTTCGAGAAACGGGTCCATGGAGCATTAATTATGATAACGTATTTTACAAGCAGTTTTACCGAAATGAACAATTTTCTCCTTTTGAATTTACTTCGACCGGAATTAAGATTGGTGTCTGAATCAATTCACCCGGTCTTAATAATTTGGGTCGGCCTTAATTCGAATTAGGTTGGGCTCATGGGCCTAAGAACTAGGAAATATATAAATCCAATACTTTAATTCGTAAATGAGTTTATTTGCCTGCGCACGAAGCTCAATTAGCCTGGGAGGCAGGCCTTGAAATGAAGTGTAAAACGGACCTCTCCCTTTTCTCCTTTCACTTTAGTTTCTCCCCCTACCCCCCACCCACTTTCTTTGCCTCCCCCTCCCCATTTTGGCTTTGCCACGCACCCTAAGTACCATGGGGAAGAAAATCTGATTATCTATCCATGCGAAAATTATTTTGTCACTTAACCGTCCATTTTAACGTCGGATCATTCCATCCTTATCAGTTTTTGTGTAATGCTATAGTGGAGGATATCATTCAATTACTGTTTTTATTATTATTATTAGATTATTATAATCATTATCTTTATCATTATTAGGTAATTTATGTAAATAGCGCACTGAAAAAAAGAAAGATGGCGAAGATTGAATAAGGTTAATCTCATCTATCAAACTCTGTGAAATCTTGGCTGTGATGGGATATTTAAACCTTTTTCTGACTTCACTATACAGCAGATAAGTTTTTAAGCTTAAACTCGGGTCACATTATCCACACAAATAATATAAATTTCACTGAATTTTATCGCAGATAAAGAGGAAAAATGGGTGAACGTTGGTGAATTCTTCATAAATGAAAGTGGTCAATTAAACTTGAAATTTTATGAAGGCATGGAAGAAACATTATGGGAAGGTATGTTTATAGGCCATTTCCGAGTTCAAAAACTCTCTCGTTCAAAACGAAGCTAAGTGCAAAACCTTTCTTGTGAAAAAAGCTTTGTTTGCACGGGAATAAAAAAAATCATTTTCATGTCAATGGCTTTACATTTAGCCTCGTTTTAAAACAGAGGCTTGGGACAGCTCGAAAATCGCCTCCATTAAGCGGCCACCTCCGCGGTGCCGGCAAATACAAAATAATCTCCGGATTTCCCATTATACTCTCACGTAACTTGTGTTCAGTTCAAAGGTTCAGACTTAAAAGTACTCATGCATAGTTTGCTGATGTGTTTTATAGCTGGAAAAGCTTGACAAACCATCAGACCAATACATATTTTATTAACTGTATACTAATCGGCCTCGTATTTTGCTCAAGATGGACGTGTCCCAAGCGACAGATCGCAGATAATAAAGCAGCGAATGGATACTCCGCGTGCGCTCTTCATCATCTTCTCAACGGTGGCCTCCTTTGGCATAGTTCTAGGGATCATTTTCATGGTATTCAATCGCTACTACCGCGACTGCAAGTGAGTTTCATGCACTCTTTAATAAAGGAGCAAGGTAGATGTTTTACCAGGGTGGGGAGATACCCCCATGGGTAAACTACATTGATATATCCTGGGTAAGAACCATTACGCACGCACAGGAGCCTATGACACTAGTGATGGACTCCTGGCACACATCAATCCAAAAGGATACGGAAACAGTGTTCAGGCCTTCGCAAGAGTTATGGCGGACGTTTCCTGAATGTCTTTTTAAAAAGAGTTTTCTACGGGATACATAGGGTCGCAAGAGGCGATCGATCGATACCGGAGAAGATTGGCTAAGGTTACAACAAATAGTACGGTTTTTGGTCATGAAATTCAGAGTTTGAAAACAAAGGAACGGCGAGTTTCTTGAGCGACTTCAAACCCTTTGGTACAGTTCTGCCTAGTCTTCCACTAAACCTCAGGTCTCCACAGATTCTTTTAATAAGAAAGTTATCGATAAAAGTCAGCTGCGCTCAATGCGCGGTAACGTAAATATCCCACAGTGCTGTTCGAAAAGTGCAGGGGACGTAGATGGGGGAAGGGGGCTGTTACGGGCATGCAGTAATGTAGTTCTGTTGCGGTGGCCCTTCTAAAAATTGGAAAATCTTAGTAGATAAATAAATAAATAAATAAATAAAGACCTTTATCAAATGTTTGAGAGGGTAGAAATATCACGTGATGCAGTGACTGACCGAAATTTAATGGCATGTGAGATTCCACGCATAAAGTATGTTGGATGGCAAAAATTATACGGTTAGGGTCGGGTGAAGCTTAATTTATTGAACAAGTCACCCCAACTCAAATACTTATCACATAATTTATGCCATTTCTCAGGTCATGAGCAAAATCTTTTCTCCTTTTATATCCACAAAAATGAAAAGCAATGAGTATTAGGAAATGTTTACCGGTTTTCTTTTCGCAGTTATGCCGACCTAACGCAATTGTTGGCTTTTTTTCTAGATTTATTCGTCTATCTGCTCCGATGTTTAATGATATCATTGTATTGGGATGTATCATGTGTTTGAGCACAATATATTTATTTGGAATCCGGAAAGTCAACGATGGGAATAGAACCATGCCACGTATTTGCAAGGTGAGGAGTAACGTTAATTTCATGTGGTTATCTCCCAGTCAAACCCCATAATTCTTTCTACATTCAGCATGTGCCACGCGTTCACGGATCATTGTTCATAAATTCACTGTTTTGTTGGAGTATTTGAGAGCTTTTGAAAAAGCCGGTTAAATGAGGGCTTTCTGAAATGAACAAACCTTCGTAAGATAGCTTTCGGAGACTTAATTAAGATATTTTAGTTGTGCTAAATAGGATATTCACATTTGAATAAATGGTTTGACGCATGGGACATTTTTTTAATAGCTGCCTGTGGGTGGGGAATTTGACGCTTTTTCAAGCGCTAGCCGGTGGATCATGCTACCACCTCAAAAGCACTATACCAATTTACCGGAGAATTTAACCAAAAAGATGAAATGCCTAGGCCTAGGGGGTTTGCTGGGGGGTATGGGCGGTTTTGGAATTGACTGGTACATAACTGTGGTAGAGGCAGTGTAACGGACTCCAATAAATTGAACCAAGAGCTACTCACAGCCGATGAAAGGAGATTATCTGAGCCAGACGACTAATTTTCGGACGGTTTTATATATATATTAATTTTAACTACGCTCAGAGATACTACCTATTTTTTTCAGGCTCGTGCGTGGCTTTTGAACATAGGATTCTCCTTGGCTTTTGGAGCCATGTTCATCAAAACCTGGCGAATTTACAAGATTTGCACAAACAAGCGTCTGAAAGTCCGTGTAAGTGTATCTAATTTTTAAATTGCTAGAAAGAAAAAACTTTAAAAATATATTGGAACAAAGCAATTATTGGATTCGGTTTCGTATGATCTGAAGAATTGCGCTGATCTCGTAATTCTTCAAATCCTAATCGGCCTCAACCAATAATTGCTTACCGTATTTATTCGATTAAGCGCCCATCCTGTAGGGAGGAAAAGTTAACAAGCAACTAGCCTCGAACAAGAAGTTCAACCCACCCCACCCACCACCCTCTCCCTCAAAAACCTGACGTGGACAAGATAATTGTTTATTATTTCGTTACTGCCCAATATGCTTATCGTCGACTGACCCATTTGCAGACGTTACGTTGTGAAAAATCGACGAGGCAACACGAGAGAGTTCGCTTATTGACCTCACTGACAATGAGAGAGAAATTGACTAGGTTCTATTAGGAGACTTCCCTGAGGACAAAGTTCTTAGTCGTTTTTAAATAAACTTAAATAAACGGTTAAAAATTCTGCTTTGCTACATCTTCACGTTTTGTTATTATTTACTGTTTTGTTGGAAAATTAACTTTAGTACTTGCTAAAAATAACGAAAATTTAATAGGCGCCCACTCTCGAGGCCCAGAAATTTTATAAGCGCCATAAACACAGTATCCTTAGTTGAAATCATAAATAAGTGCATTCTCTCCGCTATACAATAGAAGTTATTTGACTTGCTAACATCTATGTTCGAAATTTATCAGTTGGGTCCATTGTCTGATTGGTGGATGCTGGCTATGGTATTTGGGATCGTTATGATTGACGTAGTGCTGTTAGTGGCTTGGGAACTTACAGACCCGCTCCAACATGAAGAAGCAGTCGTGGACAAGAAGGTTAGTGGACAGATTACAACCTGCTCCAACAAAGATTTTTCAGCGTATATCTTACAAGATATTAGCACTTGTTGAGAGGTGCTTGTAATGCTGATTTCAGGTTTATGAAATTGCTCTATTCATGTGCTTCGAATTTTTACTGTATGATTTCATGTGGTGCGCGTATATGGCCACATTTATACAAAATGTTATATTTGTGTAATTTTTGGAGGAAAATTCAACTGGTATCACATGGACTTTGAAGCTTCCAAATAACAGTCAGTAACTATAAACACTATTCGCGATCTGAAATAACGCGTACGTGCTCTCCCGGCGAAGTGGCCTGGTCCATGGTATTGATGATTAATACTTGTATTTTCGGTTTTCATTGCAGAATGATCCAGGGGATCACCTCAAAATAATAATGTCTACAATAAATACATGTACGGGAAAAAATGTGGAAATGTGGCTGGCATTGATTTATGTTAGCAAGGGAATTCTTTTGCTTTACGGGCTGTTCCTCGCTTATGAGACCAGAAATGTCGTGTATGCGCATTTGAACGACTCACGAGTCATTGGAATTTGTGTGTACAACGTGGTGGTGCTGTCTACTATTGGGGCGTTCTTGGCTCTAATTTTGAAGAACGAACAGTATGTAGAGTTATACTCCGCACTAAGTGTGTGTATATCTTTCCCAGCTGCAGCCACTATATCGCTGATCTTCATACCAAAGGTAAAACCTGATTTATTCGGCCATTTTCAACAAATAATTTCATTACGATTGTCACGGATTTAAAAGCTCGAAGGTCGCATCGTCATGGAACCACTTGTATTCATCTGACATATCACTCCTCGTATTAAATTTATACAGCCGCCAGGTTGCCTCGTTTCCAGGCGCCGTCTGCACTACTATTGCAGAGCATCACTGATAGGAAAAATCTATCCTTCCCATGACACAACGTGGGCTATGTGAGCGCAAGGAAAGACACCTGTAGTCGAGGCAGGCCGCCCGACGAGTTCTCTCAGTAGAAACCGTCCAGCGTCTTTTAAGGTGGATTTTTACCCACATTCGTACGCGCGTAGATAAAATAGAAATGTGTGGAAGGTCAGGCGTAAACGTAAAAGTTGTTCCTCACTTACACGTTTACACACGGCCTTTCATACATCGCCTATCTATGTATTTTATTTACGCGCGTAGGCGCCGGCGTAAAAATTACACGATTGTGGACTAATCCACCCTTAGGCTGCAGAATACCTTGCACTTCCTGTGTGCCTGACATTTGATGGTGCACATTACTACTACAGTAATGATATTCAAAAAGGGTTGTCGGTAGACCAAAAGAAATGCAATGGATACTCATTATGTTAGCAAGATTCCCCCCAGTATTTCAGCGGGCTAAGCGTGCACACAACGCCGTTACAGGTATTACCGAAGTCGGGATATTCCACAACAGGGTTCATCAATGCCGTAATCCCGACCCAAAATTTCGTGCAATCCCTTAAACCTGATGGGCTTTTGGCATCGCACCTCAAATCCAATCCCGAAACTCGCCCTGATTTGCTTTAAAATCCCGAATCCCGAGCTTCAAGTGAGGGAATTCCCGGATCCCGAGCTTCATGTAAGGGAAATGTCCGATCCCGAGCTTCATGTAAGGGAAATCCCGGATCCCGAGCTTCGTATAAGGGAAATCCCGCATCCCGAGTTTCAAATGAGGGAAATCCTGAATCCGTAAAAACCCACTGGAGACACACAACTAGTTAAACAACACTGTTATCTTCTAATTATTCATTTAAATCGCAAATTTTTCTTTGTAGCTGATACATCGCCTAAAAGCAAGCTCCCTCGACGGAGAAACCGTTGGAGAATCGACCTTGAATCACACTTTTTCTCGTCCATCCATCGACGTAACCAGCACATTTAAGGGCACAGAAATGGGAAGAGAAAGATTCGTAGACGCTCCTCCGTCAGGCAACACACTCGGCGTCTATCAAAATGGAGGTTTCATGGACAGTCTTTCTTCTATTCCTTCACCCTCACCTGCAAAATCTGTAGAAGAACCTGCACATTCGGCAACAACACTAGAGGATTAAAATCTCCGACTAGCTTAAACTATCGTAAGGCACTAACAATTTTTCTTACGCCTCGCATATACGGATCGGTCATATTCTTACGAACAAAAAGCTTCTCATTCTCTTGTAAAATGCAAAGAAACTATGTCCCTAAATAATGGAACAACACACACGTTGAAAACGTCGCTGGCCTGTTGATGGTGAAGATAAGATGGTCAAAACTAAAAATGCCTAGGCGAAGTTGTAACACAGGCCGCCAAAGTTTTTTTTAGCCATACCACTCAGTGAACATTCGGAACACACTGTACTGTTTTGCGGCAGCGCAGTTATTTGAAGTTCTGGTACCAAGAGCTCATAGAAACAGAAGAAAATGCTTTGAACTTTCCGACGTACAGGCTTGAGAACATTTTTTTGTGGAATTCAAGCTCTACGAGAAAAGAGCCAAGGATAAATTATTATGAAACCTTTCTAGTGAACAACACGACTAACACTAACAGTTCTTATTTGATAAGTCGCCGGGCGAGATGGGATGTAAACATGCCTCTATGTGCATCGTGCAACCCTTTGGTCTTAATAGCATGTCATAGTAACAGGTGGTGCTTTGCATAAGGGGCTTTTAATAAGCCCCACGTCCTAACCTACCGGAACAGGGCTGGGCGCCCTACCCCACCAGGGTGGTCTCCACTATAAGGTGCAAAGCTAGGCATTGAAATTAAGGTTCTTGCCCGCCAGTAGCTAGAGAAAATATTCAAAAAGAGAGTGAAATTTTAAGCTTATTTGTTGGTGCAAGAGATCATAATAGGACTATTATGGCTCTTGGTTGGTGTTATCCTTTTAATTACCCGGGTTGTTTCTAAACTCGAGGAAGCGCGGTTTTGCTTATTCTTTTAGTGACTGTTGATTGTTTGCTTGTAGGGAGGAAGATCCCAGAAGGCGGGTCATCCTAGAGCCACATATCTTCTCCTTTTAGTTAACTGGATGCAAAAAGTTGTAGTTGTCCCTACACTGCGAGAAGAGGCTGCATTTTGCGGTGTCGTGGTGAACTGGCGTGCGAAAAGTACTTTTCGCAGGCCAGAATGTAGCCTCTGCTCGCAGGGTAACTTGGATACCCCGCAAACGATCCTTTAGTTCTATAGAAAAAAAACAAACATGATTGCCGGGATTTCGACCGCCAAGGATCGACAATTTCTTCAGTCATTACAACTTTCAAGCGTGCAAGGCCAATAACCTAGCGACGCAGTGGAAAGCCGAGAGATCAATAGTCCATTTTACTGTTACGGGTGAAAACGAGGCTGGAGGTGACCGTTTATTGATACAACCAATCTCCTTTACTATCGTAACCATGTTTTTCTTATGCTAACTAGTATTTTGTAGCAATTTTCATAAGAAAAGGGAAGGAGGTTTGTATCAACATAAGCTCAAACTCAGCCTAACATTCACTCAGGGGCTAGCGTTCTTAGCTCTGTAAAATGGATAACACGATATAATCAGAAAGAAAATAGTCTTAAGGCTCATCAGCCTCTCGATGAAGAAACGATTTAGAAATGACCAGTTTCAGAAAAAGATGTTTTTACCCAGCCCCGATCGACGTGTCCTTCATGTACAAGAAACGAAAAGTAGAAGGTGAAGATTTTTTTATCCTTTAACTAAGCCATATAGTGTATTTACCACTTTAACTAAATATTTTATCATTGCATTAAGTTGTTCCGCCTTATAGGATCTTTCTCCGTCCCTCCCTCTTTTAATTTGAGACTAAAAAAAGCACAGGTAAGTCAGGCGTATTACCTATTTATACATCGATAATAATTTCCCATACAAACTCTTACATTACGCTACCCTGCGAGCATCTCGAGAGAGAGGCGGGGTCGTAAACAAGCCAACTATGCGAATAACAGCAACGCGAACGATTCCGCACATCCTAAAAGCCATGCCGTAAAGAAACTTCTTCTCGCAGGATAACATTACGCATTAACATTAACATTACGCTAAGGCTACCTGAGACTACATGTCAGAGAGGGCGAATAATTAAGAACCTTAAGCACAACATCGTTGTTTGAGTTAAGATGACATGGGACATTTGTCTCTCAACAAGAGGGAATGCTCTCGATAAATAGAGAAAGAATTGTCTAGTTGGACAAAATAATTTTAGATAATTATTGCGTAAGTTAAGAGCTACATCTTTTTATTTAGGAAAAGCATGCAGTGTAAATTGAGGTTGGATTCAGTTTTACCTATTTAAAAACGTTGCTTATGTTCAGATGTTCAGAATTTTTTAAAAAAATCTTCTGACCTTATTATCACGTCTCTGTAAGTTTGTTTTAAACGTTTTGGGAGAATTTGTTAAAAAATTAAAATAGTCTTTGTAAGCCAGTGTGAGCTTCCACTCATTCTTTAAACGTTTTTCTTTCTGTGGGTGGTGGGGGTGAAGAAGCTAAGGAAACAGATTGTGATTCACTTACCAACACGCGCGCGTGCATTGCTGGCGTAGTGCCAAATGAATGGCCGAAGCGCCAAATGAATGGCCGAAGGTCTAAAGAATTTTGTCCGAGATTGTAGCGATGTAAAATGGAATGAATAATCTGAGCAGATATTCTATTTTTACTCTTAACCCAGTTTCAATAGAACCAAAAAAACTTCTCAGTTACAATAAGTTTTTCATTCACAGAAGGTCCATGAATCATCCGAACCACGCGAAGAGTGCAGAGTTGACTAATCCTTGGTTAAGAAAACATCCCATCAAAATTTTCCGGTATCTGCATAGCAGATGAAGCGTGGAACGTTTCCTCTCGATAGCTCTATTATATTAATCTTTACCGTGACTGCGAGTAGTCTCTTGTTTTTCTTTTAAGGCACAGTAAGGTGAAAGCGGCGAAGCCGCAAGGAAAGAGTGCGGAAAAAAAATTGCTCTCTGCGCTCCAATCTCTGCTCCCATTAATTTGCACGATTTAATCTTTTCACTAACGTCTCGTTGCTCTGAGAAAAAAAGGACGACGGCTTCCGGTCTAAACTTTGCCTCTTGATATGGACAGAAAAGGTTCCCCATCCCTATACCTTCTCTTGACAAAATTAATGGTGCCTCATTCACATACCTTGTTTAGAACGTTGCATCCCTTTTAGCTGCTGTAAATGCGCTGTCTTCAAAATATGAAGAAATCCCAAAACTAGGGAATTTTCTCGACGTTTTCACAGCCATAAATTCTTCTGTTAGCCCTTTTAGGTCTTTTTACAGACGGAAATGACAAATTTCCCTCCCCTTTCACATACTTCAACTAGTGAAATCCCTCACCTTACATATACCTGAGGCCCGACGGGTACCTCTTTCGGGCGAAGCCTCCCCCAACTCCTCTATGGATAGCCATTGAATAGAGCAAATGGTTGTCCAAATTGTTTGCTCGTCTCCATGCAGTTGACATAAAAACAGCGAAGTCACCAAAGACCGTTCCCTTATTCTAACGTGTTGTTTGTTCCGTTTGTGACCGTAACTCGGGCGCCGTACCAAGGCATCAAGTATGAACGCTGCCTATAAGTCATTATCAGTTCTCAGGAATTGAAGCGGTTCCAGCTTTTCAAGTAACCAAATAATACTTCGTCATAAAACCATAATGTCGAAAAAAACTAAGGAGTTTTCTTTGAAAAATAAAGACAAAAGCGAAGACTAAATAAATTACTCTGAAGAACGTTTGTTGTAATGAGCTAAGAGAAAAGAGTAAGCAACTCAATTTATTACCAGACAAAAGATAAAAATCGCGCATTATTGCTTGTTGCTGACAGTGTGGACGCGGGGAGGGGGTTGGGGTCTTATAAAAGCTGACAAGGCCTTGCTACCTGTGATTTAAGATCATCGTCTCAATCAGACTATCGCGTTATTTGGCAGGATCACGTTCAGCCGTTTGCGTTGCCTCCTTCATTTTTCCTTTTCTTCCTTAGCCAATCATCGAAATGAAAAGGGAAGGGGAAGCAAAAGAATCCACTCTTTTGTTTCAAAAGAGTAGGAAACGTAGACCCCTGTGGTGTGGTCTATTTCTCATTGGAGGTGAGGGGGGGGGGGGGGGGGGGCTTTTATGGGCCGGAGTAGTTGCGCTGACCCTGTCGAGAACTGGCGAATCTAAATAAACTGAAATGAATTGAAATAATAGAATTTCTGTGAAAGTAGAGCATGGTCGAAGCTGATAGCAGCGAGGACGTCACTTTAAAAATAGATTCGCGCAGGATTGATGCTTTGCTAGTTAATCACTACTTCCTGCAATTTGATGTTCTCTGAAAAGATGTCAAAGAATTTTTAAATGAGAAAAACTCGAATTCAAACCTTTTTTGATGTAAGTTGTTTGGTTGTTTGCCGTGACTCATCCGGCTAAGCGTGCTGTTTTTAAAAGTTTCAAGCCCGAGTACCTGTGTTCCGTGGTTCTTTTAGTAAAAATATACATCGGCGAGAAAAAAAAAGAAGTAAAAGATTATTAAAAACTCCCCGCCCCGGCAGTAAGAAATTCTGGAAAACTAGCGTGGGCGTTTAGGCAGTTACTTAGGCCATCAGCCGAAGAAAAACACAAACACGAGCAATAACATTTGTTCGACATGCAAGAAAACAGTTCAATATTTGAGCGGACAGGGCGTTTGTTTCTGAATCCAAGGTAGAATTCACGAGTATTCGATATCTTCCATAGGTATATTGGAGCATGAAAAGCAATTGAATGTTATGGTAATGAAAATTCCTTTTTTAATGTCGGGTTGCCTCAAACTTAAATATCCCAGCAACTGGGTACGTGGAATTTTTAAGCTTTCAAATTATGCTAGCAGGCATAATTCTTTTACCAAGAAACATGCACGTATGAGCCGATATCCTTTCTCAAAAGACGTGTATAGACTTTTTAATATATATAGTTAATTGTTAACAACTTGGCGATAATTTCAAGGCTTGCCGTATCGGTAAGAAGGTCGGATTTAGTTTTACCTATATTAGGGAGTGACAAATCAAATGTTCATTTAAGAAGGTTTTCGATGGGATTAACAGGGGCGGATCTAGGATTTTTTTTAGGAGGGGGTGCACTCGTCTCTTGGTCTAATTCAACACCAATAAACCACATACAGGGTGTCCCAAAAGTTCGTTTCTCTAACTTCATGCGCTATAACTTTTGATCAAAACTTTATTTTTACATGAAATTTCTAGAAGATATTTATGGCTCTATCGAGTACTTGCATTCAGAATTTCAGTGACTGGCATGCCCCCTTTGTTTTTTTATAATATTTTGCAGCTGTTGCAGCAGGGGATAGGAAGGCATACAGCGTGTAGACCCACAGATGATCCATTTTGAGCTTTTTTATCATTTGGTGCACTGGAGAAATTTCAACCCCCAAACAATACTTCTTTACATTAGGCATCTGAAAAAAATATATTTGGGGCATTCATTAAAAAAAGATAACCATCCCGGCCCCCTTCCACAGCAAGGCTTTTGTACTCCTTCACAAAATTTGAGACGAGCTGAGCGCGTTATATTACTCGGCAGACTAAGCAGAGTCTTTTTGCCATCTCAGGGGCCTCTAACCTTCGCTTTTCATAAACCTGCTCTAGACTTGGCTCGCTAACTATGCGAGAGCTTCCTCGTCGAGTCTCCTATTTTGTATCTATCTTTCTTTAAAACTATTTTAGCTTCTTTTTTCAGGACTTTTGGTCTTCCCCCTCGTTTCTTGCCTTCAAAACCTTTATTTCTCCATGATCATTTTACCACCCAACATTCGGATTTTTCCAGTTTTTTTAGCTGTTACTACAACTGATAAACCAGAAAATCGAAATATACATGCTTATGCTGTCACGTACCTGAATGTTTTTGCGCTAAGGAGGTTTATCTTTCGTGATTTTACAAAAAACAAGGAAGGAGTTCGAGCAATTCGGGCTATAAAATACGGAAAATATGTGGAAGGAAAATATACTCGCGCTCGCGCACCTTTGGCGCGGAAGTACACAAATAGAATATTTCCGACAGAAGATGGCACAACAAGTATGAGAATAGTGAATTAGATTGAAAGAGACAACTTTTGTTTAAATGATTTGCTTACCGAGTCCAATAGTACTGAATTACAGAGTTATAAAGTAGAGGAGCGAATTTTTGGGACACCCTGTAGTTTTTTTTTCCAGAATACCAGTTGTATTAGAAAACCGCAGGTCATCTCAGAGGGGGGGTGCGCACCCCCTGCACCCTCCCCCTAGATCCGCCCCTGATTAACCTCCCGTAAAACAGCAGGCAAACTGAACATTTTAGTCGTTGGACAGAATTTAATGGAAATTTTCAATCGTTAGTCTTATTAGAAGAAGTTAATATTGTACGGCTTTTTACGGCATGACATGTCTTTTGGTAGCCTTTGAATCCAATTTCAGCCATTTTTCCTCTATCGATCCCGAAAAGATTCTTAGTCTAAACTAATCTCGTACCCAGATCTCACTCTGTTTTACACTGAAAAGTGAGATCTGGTAAAGGTAACCTGAGATCAGGCTCTATTTTCGTTTCGCTTTGAAAATTACATTCCGGCGGGCAAGACGAAACGAAAAGAGAGCCTGATACAAACCTTTAACGAAATGTCTGCCGCCCACTTTTTTGATTGATTGACATTTGCCGAATCGGCCAATCAGAATTACTTCCGTAGCTTGTTTTTCTAGTATGCAAATTTCTCACGCGTGGGTAAAATGCAGACTGGCTGACTTAAACAATAGCTTTTATTTGTTAATTTTTTCAGCTTAAAATAAAACAGTCAGCACAATCACATTTAACTTCTTGAGAGATTAAGGGAGATCTCGAAGGTTACTTCTGTTGGCGTAGAAGGTAAAAAGTTTTCAAAAAGATGGCGACACGATGTTCTACTAGTTTTATTATTTTGGCTAGGCGCTCTGGAATTTAAAATACTGAAATCTCTATTTTTCCGTTGTCGTGATATTTTCCTCGGCAATTTCCCCCGATTTTCAGTACATAAATCTTTAAAAACAAAAGCAAACAGCCAACGAGCGAGGACACCAGTTTTCTTGGTTTATTTTTAACAAAAAGCGTAGTCAAAACAACCAGTCTGTGAACACAGAAAATTCCTTGAACAGCCATGCGATATTTTTCGTCTAATACTTCACAGTTGGCGATTGAGGTTTCTTTCGCAGTGAGCATCCGCTTGTGTACCCCATTCAGAGAAGTCATTCCCGGCTAAACTTTCAAATGAAACCAGTTTTAAGATGGACAGTATTTTGATTTGCACCCGTTTGTTGGTAAATCAAAATGCACCTTGTTAGCGGTCAACAACTTGCAGAGGGATTCAACTGCGCGATACACTCACTTTCCGTATATAAAGCAAATCCTGAGAAGATATGAACAACCACGTGAATTTTCTGAATTTCCATGGCACATATTAAGGCATATTTTCCTACCATAAGACCATAAAACAATCAAAAAGACAGCAAAATCGATCCTTCTCTCCACCGACGACGGATCGTTCACGAAAACAACCACGCGAGGAATAAGCGCTTTCAACTTCCGGCGTTTCCGACAGCCAATCAGATATTGTGGCATTGTTCTAACAGCCAATCAGCGTTACGGCCAAAATCTGGCCGTAACGAGCACAAACTTGTGATAGTTTGTATCAGGCCCAATTTCAGCGGTAGCCGTTAGAGAGAATGTATGAGAACCGCTCAAATTGGGCCTGATCTCAGGGTTGTGTCTAAATCATACCGTCCAAAAGGACAGCCGAGGAGTACTAGGAAAGAGTTTCCGATTCGGGCCGACTTCGGAAATTCTCGAAAACATCCAATATGGCGGCTCAAGCGTGGTGAAAACTGACAGCCAAAGGAGCCGTTTTATCGCCAGAGAAGCGTGATTTACGGTATTGTTGACGCAGTTTACGTTTATTGTGAGTTTTGAAGTCTTCTTAGTCCTGTATAG